GAGTCATTCATCAAAATCAGTCAGTTTTTATACAAAGTAGTGTTTGAATTGCTCAAGTATCTTTGTAGCTAAGTCAGTGAACATAAAAGTTTGAAATGTAACATTTACCAGTACCTGAGTTATAATCTTCGCTTGGCTCCCATAATCATTTGTACTTGACTTAACTCTTCCAATCATTTTGTTATGAATCATAACTTATGATCATCTGATGTGAAAAAGTGGGCAAGGATCAATGCGCAAATCATTTAATGTGGTTTGTTTGAAGCACATTTAATATGAGTTTTTCAGTATTAGCCCGTGTTTTCAGCCATATCAGTTCGAACATATGTACCATAATGATGATCTTTTGTGAGTATGATGAAAAAGCATCAAAAATTTATAAATTACCTTCAAATGACCTCTCAAGGTCAAAGGTCAAATTCCCGAAAAATGACCTCTGATGACCTCGAAAGTCTTTTCTGCACATCTGCACAAATTGTTTGAAGTATATTTTTAGTTTCAAGTGATTCCGGCAAGTGGTTTAGGCGATATGGCCGCTGACAGAAACCAAAAAGACGATTTTCAAAATGGCTAAGCTGAGTTAAAATCTTCGCTTCGCTTTGCTACGCTCCGATAATAATCAAGAAAATTTAAGTGCTGAGCACAAAGATGAAGCTTCAAAGATGAACAAAATTTTAAGATGAAAATATGTAGTTAAACACAATAGCAAAGCTTAACACAGCAACATATAAGTTTCACAAAAACGAGCTGGGCCCATAACCTGTTGGTTTAAGGCAAAAAATTTATTGAACAGTAAGAAAGGTTTACAAGTTTACTTCTCTGGGTCTACATCACAACTGTTGTTGGTTTAAGGTTAACTCTTATTTTTAAGAGGAGATTCAAATTTACTTTTTCAACTGTCATCTTCATCACAAAGACATTTGTAAGATGACCTTTAGGTTATTGAAGTAAAAACTGGTTTAGTGAAAGGATAAGTTAAGGAGAAAGTATTGAGAAGAAAAATGAAGTAATTATGTTTGAGCTTTTTAAAGCTAAGTTGGACATTTGTGAAGCACACTGCGAAGGGTTGAGTCAATTATTTTATTCTGAAGATGATCAGAGTTTAAGACAATTAGTAAAATGAGTCGGATTTGAATAACACATGAAAATCATTAATTAATAGTAGAATCAAGGAAATATCATGTTTGGGTTAAATTTTAAGGCATCATTAAGTTTAATTAAATGAAACTTACATCTATCGAACGAGCTTGAAAAGGGCTTTCAAATGATGTACTGAATTAATGATGAAGACATTAATTGTTGGTGAAATAAGATGATTCTTTGAAATATTCAATATTCTTGGAAAAACATGAAAGTTAAATTATATCGGTTTGTAGCTCAACACTGGATCAAGTTACAGACATGAAAAATATAAGCATTAAAAGTATTTTAGATGCTCTTTCTAATGATATGTTGATTGTCTTTGTCGGTTGTTTAATTCTGTTAATTTAGTGGGGTCGCCAGGATTACTTTCACCATTATATTCCCTATGTAAATACATAGAGTTTTGACGCCGGGCAAGTTAATGTTTTAAGAGATCGAGTCAGGTTACAGTAATCAATTATATATCATTAAATAGATCTCAAAGAGACGAAGCTAATGATATATAAATCAATGTTGAAAATTATTTGGTTGATGAATAGATGATGCTCAAGTTTGAGTCCAAAAAGTGAAAAAATTTAAAAATTTAAGGTTAAATGAAATTAATGATAAATATGCTTCTAAGAGTGAATCTGTTGTAGTCATGAAGTCTGATTATAACCAACAAAGGAGTAGGTGAAAGTATGGAGCTTTTAGGCTCAAATCCCCTTGACTTTTTAATTTAAATGAATTTGAATGATTTAGACATTTTTAATTCATTTTTTTCATGATTAATCGAAATAATTTAATAATTTGTTCTAGTTTAAAACAATCAACAAAAAAATTATGAAAAATTGAATTAAAATTGTGAGTGAAGGTTTTAAACAATACTTCCATAGAGATTATCACGAATTCCAAGCACTTTTTGGATGCTCATACATTGAAAGCTTGTACAGCCTCGAAAAAAATTGTTTTTTCATGATGAGGAATGAAGATTTTTCAACAGTTTGATGCCTTTTAATTTTAATCTGAAAATTAGTTCAGCCGAAGATGAATAGAAATCAGGAATCGAGCTAGCAAAATATTTCAAGTTGATTCCAAAAAGGTTAATATTTCTCGAATTAAGTCAAAAACCATGAATTTTACTTGTACCATTGTTTGCGCTTTTTTCTTGATTTGCTAATTGGTTAGATAAAGTGTGTTTTTTGAGAAATCTCTCCATATGTTCTAATGTTAACGCCTTTTTCCGTAAAAGTAAAGCCTTACCGGAAAATGATTCGTGATGATTGGAAGCAGATGATTGAAGAACCTCTTTATTGGTTAAATCCAAAAATGTATACTTGATAAGAACAAGTAATTGATTCTGTCATTTTATATATTTTTCTCTGTCAATAACCAATTCTGTGGTTTTGTTGATTTTCAGTTTATTCCAATTATTTCGATATCGACGATAAAGAAAGGAGTCCATTTGGTATTATGGCTACTGAATCTCTACTGGTAATCAAAGCAGGTTATAAAAGCTCAAGCTTTAATGATTTCCTCGATATTGAATATTCATTTATTGTCAAAAATTTACTTCGGTTAAGCACAGCATAATATTCGTTTATTTGAGGAGCTCAGTTAAATCAAAAAATCTGGAAATCAGTTAAATTAATTCAATCTAACAGATTCACTAATAAAAAACCTCTAAATACCGTAAATTGAAACTAGTTGATATAATCAGCTCAAAAATTCAGATATGAATAAATTAATGTACTCAAAATAATTATTTAATCAAAATAAAATTAAAATTGAATTTGAACCAAAAGAGGAGTTTGTTATCTCAATGCGTCACTTTCAAAGTAAGACGAAAGGTTCACTGGCGCCATTTAGTCTAGTCTAACTGGTGCAAAAGTCATTCTCTGATTGGTTAAATAATCACCTCGGCTAACAAATTGGGATTCTAATACATTAACGGCTTTATTTTGTTTTCTTACAAAGAGTTTAACTCTATTACGCTTTGTCTTAAACCGAAAAGGCGAAAATGAGCTGCTACTTGAAAAGCTCACCACTTTTTTGCCAAACTGTTAAAGCAAACGCTGAAATATGCAGCTTTGAAGAGTTTGAACAGCGATCGTCTGCTGAACTATTTATTATTTAACTGACTACGTACATTGTGCATTGTGAGTCAAATGTTGAGCCATGATCTATTGGAATCAAAGGAAAACAAAGGTATGCAGTCTTAGCTCTATCCTAGCACTGTTATGATAAGGCTAAAGTTGCGATACCAATAAATGGCTCTGATTTTTTTGTAAAAATAAGTGAGAAAAGACTGGATTATGGATGAAAAAGCTTTCAAATTGATTCTAGTTGGTTGGAATACGGTTTTATTTACATCGAAATGGATAACGTAATAAACCTGGGCACCATTGCTGACTATTTTGATGTCAACAATTATTTGATAGATGATTGTATAAGTCATTTACATGACAACTTTTCAATTGAACATCTACCTGTTCTTATACCTCAAGTTACTGAAACTTCTGCATCAACTCTGGTGCTCTTATTGTTTTCATTTGTCGCTATTTCACAAACATAGTGACCCACTGTTTGGTTGAACTATCCAGTTGAGACGATTGAGTATATTTGTGCTTTGAATCTTATGATTTATTCAGAAGTGCAAGTATTCGATGCAATCATGAAATGGGTCCATTTCAAAGCTGATTCTAAAAATGCTATCTTAAAGGATTGTTAAAGTTAATTCGATGCTGTCATTTGGAAAATAAAGATTTATCTAAAATATTCATAAAGGAAAATGCATTGGTTAAATCTTCTGAATTTGAGTCAATAACTTGCTCTATCGCTGAAAAAAATGTGATTGTAAATGGGATCGAACTGAGCAGAACATTTCATTGCCATTGAGGAGCTAATGCTGATAGAGTTATTATTATCGACGAGTCTACTAAAGCACTAATTCCAATTTTCAATAGTAAATCGATCCACGGAACATCGTATCAGTAAACAACTCAATGCACTCTTTTGCTACAATGTTAAAACTGCAAAGTGGAGTTCAATGGGACGTCAATATCATTAATTGTGATATCAGATCTGATGATGGTCAAAGGAATCGGATGAGCTTTTAACTTTCACCTCAACATTTCTATCGATTAACGCAGTAAACTTTGCATTGATCTTAATTTGAATAAATGAAGCAACGATTATATGATATCGTGTAGCTACACTCATTTTGAATAAAAAAATCTTTTTCCAAGTTCCCTTAAATTTTGTTGCATTTTCGCTAAAAAAATGTCGTATCAAAAGGCAAGTTGCCAAATTTATATTTATACATTGTCAACATTGATTGTGATTTTTACAAATAGCTTTTACAAATTAATTGGATTTGTTATTTCAACTTTCGTTCAGTTTTTTCACTGAACTTTTGGCTACCTGATAGAGCAGGATTTATAAGAAAAGCTACTTATATAAAGTGTAATGAATTGAATTTGTTAGGCTAACATTATTATTTATTAGAAACTGATTACCAACTTAAAATGGTTAATCGAACATGGAATATCGTATCAGTTAGAAACATAACAGAGATTTCTGTAATTATAAACTGTCAAATCGAAATATAAATTAGTTTTTAGTTTTGCATTGAATCATGAATAAAATCTGCCTCCAACCGAATCAATTCACTAAAACAGTATTTACATAGGGACTGAGAAGTTATTAGAAATAATAAGTTAAAATGATGGATAACTAGATAAACAGCTTTTTTAACTATTATTAGATTATTAAAGTATTATGATAAATTAACAAGAGATGGCGCTTTTTCAATTATAAAATTTGTAAAAGTCCAGTGTACCAGACAGTCGGATTCAAAGTGAATCGTCTGTTGATTTTGCTCTGAGCTTTATTTCAATATTTACAATTTTATGTTATAATTTGCCTTATTTCAAAAACCATGGACTTATTAGAAACTGATGAGCTACTTAAAATAGTTAATCAATCAACGGAATATCAAATTAGTAAAAAACTAATTCGTGAAGTGCCTTATTTTGGTAAGTTGTTGAGCCATGAATGTTTGGAATCAAAGGAAAGTAAAGTTGAACTGGATTTTGATGAACAAGCAGTCAAATTATTTTTGAATTGGATTGAATTCGATCATGTTTTGATCGAAATGAAAAATGTAATAAACCTGTGCACCATGATTGATTACTTTGGAATGGACAATAATTTGATTAACGATTACACTACTTATTTTCATGATAATTTTTCCACCACACACCTTCCAGCTGTGATTCCACAAGTGACTCCAACATCTAAATTAATTAACTCTGGGGCTCTCGATGCTTTCATCTGTCGCCATTTCTTGAAGATAGCAGGCACAAAGGTTTGGTTAAACTATTCTGTTGAGACCATTGAATATATTTGCAATAAGGATTTAGTGATTCATTCAGAAATGCAAGTCTTCAATGCTATCATGAAATGGGGCAATTTCAAGCCTTATTCCAGAAAGGAACACCTTGAAACATTGTTAAAATTAGTTCGATGGTGTCATTTAGATGATAAAGATTTGGATGAAATAAAGGAAAATGATTTCATCAAATCAGCAAACGTTGAACCGATATTTTGCACGCCTATCCAATGCGATGGTGAATGCTCCTTCAACAGAATCAATCAATACTATTTCGTCCTGATTGAGGAATTGGATGGTACAGATTTGCAAATCAAAGTGCTGGACAGAAGTTTCATGTCTTTTATCAAACGAGTTATACAACTAGATGAATCATTGCCTTTGCATCTTCTTCACAATGAAACTGTTTCTGATATAATTTTTGATTCTGGAAGGAAGATGATTCGTGTTGATTGGAATCAGAACAAGTATCGTTTGCTTGATTTAAATGATTATAAATCTCATTATCATAAAATCAACAAAGGTATTCTTGAAAAGACCGAGTAAGTAATTAAGTGTTATTCTGTTTTTCTCTGTCAAATTACCAATTTCAGTGCTTTTCTTACTATCTTTTGAATAATTCTTTATTTAAATTTTAATGATTGCCATTCAGTTATTGTAGAAAAATTGTTTCTGCACTTTATCCAATTTCTTTATTTTTCTTTTTTACATTTCTTTCAGGGAAAAAAGCTATTCTTTGGATACTTACTGTACATTTGCTGATAAATATACTTTCGAAGGCTCACTTCTCGAATTCAATGAAAAGTTTATTTTGGTTGCGGAAAATTTAATCTCCCGTGAACCTGCTCTTGGAGAGTTTTCTAATTGTTATTCAATAAACTTGTTCTGTTGGACAGCACCGGCTGATAGCCGAATTGAGACATTCTTCCGTAGTTCTGACATGAATTATCTGACAACTATTTTGAATAATAAAATTTATATCATGAAAGATAGGTGTGAATTGATCCAGTTCAATATTGAAAGCCAAGAGATGAAGAAATTTAGACGTAAAGGTACATCAGACTTAAGTGATTTAATTTTAACTTCCATGCCAGTTCATGATGATAAAGTTATTTTGATCGACAAATCCACAAAAGTTGTTGAATGTTTCAATGTCAACGATGAAGAATGGACTCCATTTGGTCTTATGTCTAATATTTGTACTTCTACTGGTGATCAAAGGAAGTCCAATAAGCTGTTGACTTTCACCTCAGCCTCATTGCCGATAAACACTATTAGATCTTGCATTAAACGTGAACGAAAATCTATGGAATGATGATTATTTTACTAATACTATTGAAAACTAACTAAACTAGATTCATTTAATTTAAATTAAATTACTTCGAACTTGTCTTCGAAAAATATATTTAATTGAACTTATTTTTTCCAAATAAAAAGTCAATCCTATTGTAATAATTTTTGTAGCGATTCATTTTCATTATTTACTTTTTTCTATTCTTAAAGTTGATAGATAAGTTATCCAGCTCAATCATTAACATAAACTCTTTTGGGCCAGTGTGTAACTTATCTTTGAGTGTACCAGACAACATCATCTGTAATACTAACATCTGTAATCTCTATTTCTAGAAAATTTACAATTTTGTGTTTGAATTTAAATTCGTGAAATAATCATGGACTCATTGGAAGCTGATGATCAACTAACAATTGTGAATCGATCAACAGAACATCGTATTAGTAAACAACTAATTCGCAAAATACCTTATTTTGAAAAGATGTTGAGCCATGACTTGAAGGAATCAAAGGAAAACAAAGTTATACAGATGAACAGACTTTAGTATCGTTTCTGTATTGGGTTGAATTCGGCTCCAAGTGAACCCAACATCTAAATGTATCAACTCTGGTGCTCTCAATTCTTTCATCTGTCGCCATTTCTTGAAGATAGCAGGCACAAAGGTTTGGTTAAACTATCCTATTGAAACCATTGAGTATATTTGTGCCTTGGATCTAATGGTTTATTCAGAATACCAAGTATTTGATGCAATCATGAAATGAATCGATTTCAATACTAATTCCAGAAAGGAATATCTTGAAAGATTATTAAAGTTGGTTCGATGGTGCCATTTGGACAATAAAGATTTGACTGAAATAAAAGAAAATGATTGCGTCAAATCTTCAAACTTACAACCAATATTTTGCACTCCTGTTCAGTGTCATGGTAGTTGCACCTTCAATCGAAACAATCAATATTATTTTGTCCTGGTTGAGGAATTGGATGGTTCAGATTTGCAAATTGAAGTTCTTAAGAGAAACTTCATTCCATTTTTAAAACAAGTCATTAAGCTAGATGAACCAATGTTTTACCATCTTTTTAACAATGAAACTGTTTCTGATATAATTTTTGATTCTGAAAGGAAGATGATTCGTGTTGATTGGAATCGAAATAAGCACCAACTGTTGAAAGTATTGACAGACGCTTCCGTGATTCTAGAAAAATTTATCTGACAACTATTTTGGATAATAAAATTTACATGATAGATGAATCACGTCTTGAATTGATACGGTTCAATATTGACAGTCAAGAGATCAAGAGATTCACAAATAATATTAAATTGAGCTCGTATGATCTAATTTTAACTTCCATGCCAGTTCATGATGATAAAGTTTTTTTGATCGACAGATACAAAAAAGTTGTTGAATGTTTCAATGTCAACGATGAAGAATGGACTCCATTTGGTCTTATGTCTAATAGTTGTAGCTCTACTGGTGATCAAAGAAAGTCCAATGAGATGGTAGCTTTTACATCAACCTTTTTATTAACAATATTAGATCTTACACTCACCGTGAACACAAATTAGTGGAATAACGATTCTTCCGTTGATATTATTAAAATTCAAATTAAACTTAATGCATTTTATTCAATCATGTTCTGCTTCATAGAAGATCATATTCTCATTTTAATAATTTATATGGTCATTGATTTTGATATTATTTACTCGTTTGCTATTCGTTAGGCTGATAGATAAGGTATCCAGATCAATATTTTTTGTTAATTACCTCAATCAGTCTCTTACTCGATTTTGACTCTTCTTTGTGTACTTGCTGAATCACTAACAATTTGTAAGAGCTGAAGATTGGAAAGAGATTTTAAAGATGCACTGATAAACTACAAAATAACGTAAATACAACTAGTTGGTGATGTAATCAGCCTCACAAAGCATTCAAATGTGAATAATTTAATGTACTCAAAATAATTATTCAATCAAATTAAATTCGAACCAAAAGATGAAAGTTTGTTATCTCAATGCGTCACTTTCAAAGTAAGACAAAAGTCTCTCACTGGTGCCATTCAGACTAGTCTAACTGGTGTAAAATCCATTCTCTTATTGGTTAAAATAGTCAGCTAACACCATAAATGGAGTTTACGATATTCGTGTTGATTGGAATCAAAAAATTATCGTTTGCTTGGTTTAAATGATTCCAAACACTGCATTAAAATCCATAAATGTATTGTAAAGAAAAGGTAATTAATCCTGTTATTCGACATATTTTCCCCGTATCTGTTGATTAGCAATTCCAATGCTTGTCCGATCTTTTAGTTTAGATCAGTTTATTTTTATTGTTAAATAGTTAAATCTAACTCGATATAAACACTTGTGAACCCTCTTCTTGTTTAGATCTTTTCGCTTTTTATACAACTATTCTTACAAGCCAATCAGTAGAGGAAATCAAATTACAAGTTTTTAAATGTGAAATAAATGAATCAGATGTAAAGGGTGTTGCGGATAAAAATTGGAAATTATCTTATTTTAAATTATGATAACAATGAAGATAACAAAATTTAAAGAAGAGACAAAAGGAAAATAGTTAAAAATTGCTTTTTGTCAGTGATTTTTCTTAATCTAAGGTAAGATAATTTCCAATTTTTATACGCAACACCCTTTACTAATGGTTGTTTAAGAGGTTGTCAGTTATTTTTAGTAAACTATTAAACATCTTGAGAAAAAAGAGTTATCAGTTTATAAATTATGTTGAACAATTTGAACTGTTGAAAGCTTTTAGCAAAGAGTGATCGTAACTTTAATTAACGTATGTTTTGTATTTCAAAATTTTTCCGTTTCTTATTTTTGAAGATGCACTGGGTAAACCAAAGAGTAATAGACTCTATTAAATAGAGAGTTATACTTTTTGGGGTAAACTGACTAGGTTTATGTGATTAGTTAACAAAAGATGGCGTTTTTGAAATTGTAAAATGTGTGAAAGTCCAGTCTAACAGACATTCTTGTTCAAACTACATCTTTTTTACTCAAACATTTTAAATTTGATTTTTGTTCAGTTAAATTACAATATTGTGTTTTAATCCAAATCTGTGAAAAGAAATAATGAACTCATTGGAAACTGATGATCAACTAACAATTGTGAATCGATCGACGGAACATCGTGTTAGTAAAAAATTAATTCGCAAAGTTCCTTATTTTGAAAAATTGTTGAGCCATGAATGTTTTGAATCAAAGGAAAATGCAGTTGTACTCGATTTTGATGAACAAGCTTTCAAATTATTTCTAAAGTGGGTTGAATTCGATCAAGTGGTGATCGAAATGATGAATTTAATAAACCTGTGCACCATGATTGATTATTTTGGAATGGACACTAAGTTAATTGACGATTGTGCTACTTATTTTCATGATAAGTTTTCAATCAAACACCTTCCAGTTGTGATTCCGCAAGTGACTCCAACATCTAAATTAATTAACTCTGGGGCTCTCGATGCTTTCATCTGTCGATATTTCTTAAAGATAGCGAGCACAAAGGTTTGGTTAAACTATCCTATTGAAACCATTGAATATATTTGTGCCTTGGATCTAATGGTTCATTCAGAAATGCAAGTTTTCAATGCGATCATGAAATGGATCGATTTCAAGCGTAATTCCAGAAAGGGCTATCTTGAAAGATTATTAAAGTTGGTTCGATGGTGTCATTTGGATGATAAGGATTCTGTTGAAATAGAGGGAAATGATTTCATCAGATTCTCTTTCCTTAAAGATGTATTTAGCCCGCTTGATCAACGCAATGATGTCAACCGAACGAATCAATATTATTTTGTCCTAGTTGAAACATTGGATGGTACAGATTTGCAAATCAAAGTATTTGACAGAGACTTTCTGCCATTTATTAAACGAGTCATCAAACTAGATGAATCATTGCCTTTGCATCTTCTGCACAATGACCATGTATCTGATATAGTTATTGATTCGGGAAGGCAGATGATTCGTGTTGATTGGAATCAAAATAAGTATCGTTTTATTGGTTTAAATGATTATAAATCTCATCATTATAAAATCCAAGAATGTATTCTTGAAAAGACTGAGTAAGTAATTGACTCGTTATTCTATGTTTTTCTCTGTCAATTACCAATTTCAGGGTCTTTCCGATATTCCAAATTGTTCGTATCATGCATTTATTTTTAATTGCCATTCTGTCATTGTCAGCTATTCAGCAGAAAATGTTGCATTATATCACTGATTATTTTTCTTTTGTTCTTTTTTCTTTTTTTAGGGAAAAACAGTATAGTTTGGCTACGTACTCAATATGGGCCGTTCAACATACTAGCGGAGCTTCGCTACTCGAATTCAATGATAAGAGTGTTTTGTTGGCGGAAGAAAGAATCTCCTGTGCTCCTTCGCGACTCATGTCAGATCCCTTTGACTCATATACAAACAAATATTCCGACTATGAATTAAACATGTGTTGTTGGACAGCACCAACTGATGGTCAGATTTCGAGATTCTTCAATAGTGGAGAAAGAAATTATCTGACAACTATTTTGAATAATAAAATTTATATCATGAAAGATAGGTGTGAATTGATCCAGTTCAATATTGAAAGTCAAGAGATGAAGAAATTTAGACGTAAAGGTACATCAGACTTAAGTGATTTAATTTTAACTTCCATGCCAGTTCATGATGATAAAGTTTTTTTGATCGACAGATACAAAAAAGTTGTTGAATGTTTCAATGTCAACGATGAAGAATGGACTCCATTTGGTCTTATGTCTAATATTTGTACTTCTACTGGTGATCAAAGGAAGTCCACTGAGCTGTTTGCTTTTACTTCAGCCTTTTTACCGATAAACATTATTTTATCTTGCATGCGTGACTGATTGGGCGCGGGATTTCCGTAAATCAATGGAATAACGGTTATTTTGCCAATATTGTCAAAACTAGCTGTATTGAATGCATTTAATTCAAATTAAATTTCACGTCGAAACCTTCGAAAAATATATTTAAATGAAATTATTTTTGTCACGAATAAAAAAGCAATCATATTGTGATAATTTTCGTGGTCATTCAATATTATTTACTCGTTTCTGTTCATAAAGTGGATAGGTAAGATATCAAGATCAATTTGTAACATCAATTCTCTTGCTCTTCTAATTGTTTTTATTATTGCACAGTTGTATGGGCAATTATACCGTACATCAATACAATGTTATGCAAAAATACCTAACTAACGAGAAATGAGACATCTAAATCTATCAATTATGATAAGCTTTTGAATTTCACCTCAACATTTATACATGTATCGATGGACACTATTGCATACATGCTATTGAATGAACTCGAATGAATGTAATAAAGATTCTCGAATAAGGTGATTCTACACTTATTTTGACAAAAAATTCTCTATCACTCTAAAGGACGAGGACCAAAAGAATAGGGAAAACTGCCTAAGAAATAGATTTTTTTTAAATCCGCGTCTAAGATGTAAAATTTTATGCTGATTCCAAAAATTAATTCCATTTTTCGATATGATGTATAGTTTTTGCGTTATCAGGTAAAAAATCGCGAAATGTTGAAAATGGCCTGAACCAGTTTTGAGTGACAAAGTATTTTAACTTTTTTGAATACTTTCGACTATATTATACCTAAAAAATATATCAGAATATTTGTATCATCGGGGCGTCTATGACTTTTTTGATAACGCTCGATATCTTTTGCGGGTTTTTAGCCTTTTTGGCCACTTAAATGATTTGAGTGACAAAGTATTTTGAATATTTATCATATATTCGACAACGCTCTATCCAAAAAATGTATCAGTATAGCGGTATCATCGGGGCATAAATGCAATTTTTCAAGAAAACTAATATTCTTAGGATTGAAAAATAGTATACACGCCCCGATGATACCGCTATACTGATACATTTTTTGGATAGAGCGTTGTCGAATATATGATAAATATTCAAAATACTTTGTCACTCAAATCATTTAAGTGGCCAAAAAGGCTAAAAACCCGCAAAAGATATCGAGCGTTATCAAAAAAGTCATAGACGCCCCGATGATACAAATATTCTGATATATTTTTTAGGAAAATTTTACATCTTAGACGCGGATTTAAAAAAATCTATTTCTTAGGCAGTTTTGGTCTTTATCCTTTGTTACCTGATAAACTAATATATAATATAATATAATATAATATAATATAATATAATATAATAATATATAATAATATTATAATATGCTAATATAAATAAATAGTGACCTATCAAAAGGCGAGTTTATATTTCTATGTTGTCAACCTAGAGCTGAGTATCTTTAGCATTCAACATAACTCAGTTTACCGACTGGTTAACTATAATAATTTCAAGCGATTTTCGCATTGATCAAGCAAAATAAATTCATTCTAACCGAGACCAATTTTCATTCTATTTCTCTAATTTGTCTTGACAAGTTTCTCAAGAATCCAATTCCCTTGAAATCAAAACCAACTTACTTGCATCAATAAATTGAGTTTTACATTCGATACTGTAATTTTCAACATACATATGTAAGTGAAAAATAGGCATTTTGTTTTAGATTTGGTATGAATTGATTGATCTAATGAACTTTTAGCTTTTACTTCGACTTTTCTTCCGATAGACGCTATCAGATCTTACATGAATCCTGAACGTTCATAAATGAATTATGATTATTTCTTTTGATATTGTCCCGATTCAGTACACTGAATTAAATCCTTGAGCTTAACCATAAAAAACCAAAACTTCACCTTTGGTGAATGATGTAACTTAATAAATTTTGTAATTTGTATTTTGTGTGATTTTTATTCATTTCTCTTCGTCTTTCAATCTTCAATTGAAGCACCAATACTATCGACGATGTCCCTTCAAACAAATCAATTTGCCATGGTTGATACATTGAATTTAAAGGATTTACAAATCAAAGTACTGTAAAGAAATTTTCTCCCATTCATTGATCAAGTCTTAAAATTAGATAAATCTATGCTCCTGCATGGTGACCATAAGATTTATTAAAAGATTGAGTAATCAATTGATTAAACTGAATAAATTTTTAGGCCAATAAAACATTGAATTAGTTCAGTATATCGCTTAAAAACTAAAATCTAACTCGATGTAAACACTCGTGAGCCCTTTTCTTGTTTATCTCTTCCCTCATTATTACTCAAAAGCTAATTAGTACTTGAAATCAAATTACAAGAGGAACTAGCTTTTTTCCACCACTTTTTTACCGTCTTTTCACCGTATTGTCCACCACCCAATCTAACACATTCACCAAATTAACCAAATCAAACATCTTCACTTTTTAAAGAGACTTTTCGCAACAAAGTTGGCTCTAAAGATACACTGGGTAAACTGACGGACCCGAAGTTTATCATTAATTAACAAGAGATGGCGTTTTTTTCAATTATAAAATGTGTGAAGTCAAAGCTCTTCTTTGGTGAAAGTCAAGTGTACCAGACGACATCATCTGTAGTACTGACTGATATTAAGAGTTACACTGAAAATATTCTGACAAGTATAATATACTCTTTTGTGAATCGTCTGCTTTACTTAAACATCTTTATATTGATTCTGCACTGTAATTTGTAATTCAAGAAAATTTACAATTTTGTGATCGAATTTAAATTAGTGAAATAATCATGGACTCATTGGAAGCTGATGATCAACTAACAGTTGTGAATCGATCAACGGAGTATCGTATTAGTAAACAACTTATCCGTAAAATACCTTATTTCGAAAAGATGCTGAACCTTGATTTAATGGAATCAAAGGAAAACAAAGTTGAACTTGATTTTGATGAACAAGCTTTAGAATCTATTTTGAATTGGCTGGAATTCGATCATTTTTTTATCGAACTCAAAAATGTAATAAATCTGTGCACCATGACTGATTATTTTGGAATGGGCAATAATCTGATAAACGATTGCGCTACTTATTTTCATGATAAGTTTTCAATCAAACACCTTCCAGTTGTGATTCCGCAAGTGACTCCAACATCTAGATGTATCAACTCTGGTGTTCTCAATGCTTTCATCTGTCGCCATTTCTTGAAGTTAGCAGGCACAAAGTTTTGGTTAAACTATCCTATTGAAACCATTGAGTATATTTGTGCCTTGGATCTAATGGTTCATTCAGAAATGCAAGTTTTCAATGCGATCATGAAATGGGTCAATTTCAAAACTAATTCCAGAAAGGACTATTTCGAAAGATTATTAAAGTTGGTTGGATGGTGCCATTTGGATGCCAAACATTTGTCTGAAATAAAGGAAAACTTTAAGCCGTTACATTGCACACCTGCTAAATGCAATGGTGATTGCCCCCTTTACCGAATTAATCAACATTATTTTGTCCTAGTTGAGACATTGACTGGAACAGATTTGCAAATCAAAGTACTTGACAGAAATTTTATGTCATTTATTAAAAAAGTTATCAAACTTGATGCTTCAATGCCGTTGCATCTTCTTCACGACGAACATGTTTCTGATATAGTCTTTGATTCGGGAAGGCAGATGATTCGCGTTGATTGGATTCATAATAAGTATCGTTTGCTTGATTTAAATGGTTATAAATCTCATTATTATAAAATCCGCGAATGTATACTTGAAAAGAAAGAGTAAGTAAGATTGTGTTAATCTACATCGATATATTTTTTCTCCCTCTCTGTCAATTATTATAATTATCAATTATTATCAATTATAATTAATGCCATTTTTTGAGATACATGAAACAAATCTTTAAACTTTTCAATTATGCTTTATTTTTAGTGGCGTATGTAATGCTTTGGGTAAGACAACCGATTATTACAGTTCTAAAGGATCACTTTTTGATGTTAATGGAAAGTTTGTTCTTACTGCTGGTAAAGGAAACACATTGTGCTACTGGCTAGCACCGACTGATAAAAATATTGAGGAAAGCTACTGTAATTCTGGGTGCAGTTATCTGGCAACTGTTTTAGATAATAATATTTACACTATGAAAACTAATATTGAATTGATCCAGTTCAACATTGACAGTCAAAAGACCAAGAAATTTACACTTAAAGGTAGATCGAACTTTGGAGACTTAATTTTAACCTCCAAGCCAGCTTATGATGATAAAGTTTTTTTGATCGACAAATCCAAAAACTTTGTTGACTGTTTCAATGTCAACGATGAAGAATGGAGTCCAGTTGGTCTTATGGCTAATTATTGTAGTTCTATTGGTAATCAAAACAAGTCCAATAAGCTGTTAGCTTTCACCTCAGCCTTTTTATGTAAAGACATTATTAGGTCTTGCATTAACCATGAATGCAAATAAATGGGATACCGGTTTTTTTCTAATGAATTAAAAGATAACTAAACTGAATAATTATAATTTAATTCATTCATCTTCTACTACATAGAATATCCTATTTTCATTGAAACTATCATTTCCACAAATAAAAGTCAATCTTATTGTTAATAAGTTGTGTGATCATTGATTTTGGATATTATTTCTTCGTTTTCTATTCATCAGGTTGATTGATAAGATATCCAGATCAAATTTTAGCATTACAGAACTTTGATTATTTCTCAATTTTAACGAGTTTTGAGCAATTATGCATCAATATAATGCAATGGAAAAAAATAGTAACTTTTTCATTGAATACTGAACAGTTTTCATGATTTTCAGTTATTTTTAATACATTTTAGTACAAGTAAATAATATTTTTCTTTCATTTTTTCAGAAGAAGCAATGCAAAAAATACTTTTTTGCAAAGATTTTTGATTCAATATTATGAATGCATTGTATTAATAGTTTTTGACAATTTTCAATTCGCCATTTTGACTAAAAAATGAACTGATCCGTTTTACAGAGACTAAAATTATTTCTCAAAATAAGTGCATTTCATGGTTAGCAATCAAAATTTACATCAGAGTTGATGAGTTGAGGGACGAAATGAGTTTAATGAAAAAAATCTGATTCCATAAATGAAAAAAATGCGATCGAAGTTTAAACTTTGAACTCGATTTTCTCGAGAACTGTTGCGCAGAAAAAAATTTATTGCACAAATGAACCCTGTTTTTATTCCTTATAAACCTACAAAGTTGCAAGTCATATGAAACAACCTAATGTTATTGCATCATTTTTATTTTATTCGTCCATTTGCCTAAGTATCCATTTAGAGTAGAAATGACAAGAGTCGAAGCGAAGTTCAAGGCTGATAAACTCAAAACAGTGAATCAAGCAAAGAAACATGTTTTAAAAACTAAAATCTAACTCGATCTTAACACTTGTGAACCCTCTTCTTGTTTACATCTTTTCCCTCAACATTCAACTACATTTGTATAACTCAAAAGCCAATTAGTAATTGAAATCAAATTACAAGATTCTAAATGTAAAATAACTGCATCAGATGTACTAATGATTGCGTGAGAAGTTTCAATCTCAACCATTTTCAGTTAGGAAAACGATTATCTTGAGAAGAAGTGTTATCTTTTACAAATCATTTTAAATAATTTAGCCAGTTAAACTGTATGAGTGGTTAGCAAAGAGTAAAGTTTACTTTAACGAACATTTTCAAATGTTTATAGCTTCTTTGTCTTTAAAGATGTAACATTATACATTGGGTAAACTTGAACTGTACAGTCACTGTAGTTTACTAAACTAATTAACCGAAGCTCAGAAAAGCAACAAGAGATGGCGTTTTTTTCAGTTATACAAATGGGTTGTAAATGTGTGCAGTACATGATGAAATCATATTCAATCTGATTTACCATTATAATCTTACGACGTTTTACGGAAGTGAAATTTTCCTTTAAATACTCCTACAATTTTGTGTCTTAATTTAAATTGTGCATTAACCATGAATTCATTAGAAACCGATGATCAACTAACAATCGTTAATCGATCAATGAGACATCTTATTAGTAAAAAACTAATTCGTAAAGTGCCTTATTTTGAAAAGTTGTTAAGCCATGATTTATTGGAATCAAAGGAAAACAAAGTTGTATTGGATTTTGATGAACGAGCTTTCAAAATGTTTCTAAATTGGATTGAATCCGATTATATGTTAATCCAAATGCCATATGTAATTTACCTATGCAACATACTTGATTATTTTGGTTTGGACAATAATCTGATTGACGATTACACTACTTATTTTCATGATAATTTTTCAACCAGACACCTTCCAGCTGTGATTCCACAAGTGACTCCAACATCTAAATGTATCAACTCTGGTGCTCTCAATGCTTTCATCTGTCGCCATTTCTTGAAGATAGTAGGCACAAAGGTTTGGTTAAACTATCCTATTGAAACCATTGAGTATATTTGTGCTTTGGATCTAATGGTTCATTCAGAAATGCAAGTTTTCAATGCGATCATGAAATGGGTCAATTTCAAGCCTGATTCCAGAAAAGATTATCTTAAAAAATTATTAAAATTAATCCGATGGTGCCATTTGGATGATAAAGATTTGTATGAAATAAAGGAAAATGATTTAATCAAATCAGCCAACGTATTTTGCACACCTGTTGAAGGCAATGGTTATTGCACCATCAACCGAATCGATCAATATTATTTTGTTTTGGTTGAGGAATTGGATGGTACAGATTTGGAAATCAAAGTGCTTGACAGGAATTTTATGTCATTTATCAAACAAGTCATTAAGCTAGATGTATCATTGCCTTTGAATCTTCTTCACAATGAACATGTTTCTGATATAGTCTTTGATTCGGGAAGGCAGATGATTCGTGTTGATTGGAATCAAAATAAGTATCGTTTGATTGATTTGATAGACTATAAATCTCATCATTATAAAATCCATAAATGTATTCTTGAAAAGAACGAGTAAGTAGAAACTGCTTACTTCACTTGATCAAATTCTTTAATTTTTCATTATGTTACTTTTTGTTCATTTTTCTTTTTTACCTTTCTTTTAAGTGAAAAATGCTATAATTTGGAATCAGATTCTAGATTGGATTACACACGTGTCAAAGGTTCACTTCTCGAATTCAGTGAAAGTTTTTTTTTAATAGCTGATAAGTTCATAAGATATACTGGTCCAATGCAAGATTTGAATTACTGTTGTTGGACAACACCAACTGTTGAAACCATTGAGAATTGCTTACAAAATTCTGACAGAAATGGTCTGGTAACCGTTTTGGATAGTAATATTTACATTATGAACACCCGTTATGAATTAATCAAGTTCAATATTGACAGTCAAGAGATCAAGAGATTCACAAATAAAATTAATTTGGGCTCGGGTGATCTAATTTTAACTTCCATGCCAGTTCATGATGATAAAGTTTTTTTGATCGACAGATACAAAAAAGTTGTTGAGTGTTTCAATGTCAACGATGAAGAATGGACTCCATTTGGTCTTATGTCTAATAACTGTAGCTCTACTGGTGATCAAAGGAAGTCCAATAAGATGGTAGCTTTTACATCAACCTTTTTATGGAGTAAAATCAGATCTTACATTAGCCGTGAACGCAAATTAGTGGAATAACTACTATTTCGTTGCTATTAAAAAATAACTAAACTGAACGAATTCAATTCAAGCATCTTCTGGTACATAGAAGATCTTATTTTTATTAAACTCATCTTTTTCACGAATAAAAAATCAATCATATTGCAATAATTTGCTTTTCTATATTATTTACTCTTTTGCTATTCGTTTGGTGATAGATAAGGTAGTCAGATTAATCTTCAACATAAATTAAACGAACAATTACCTATCTATCGAATGGACCGACTTCAGAAAAACTAAGGCATAATTAGCAGATATAACTCTAACTTCCAGTCAAGCCAATGATGATCGAGTTTTTTGATTGATAAAACCGAAAAAGACATTCACTGTTGCAACATAAAAAGTAGAGAATGGAGTTGAGTCGATCTTAAGATTAATAATGGCTCCACTGATTGTCGAACGGGCTCTAATAAACTTTTAGCTTTTACTTCAGCTTTTCTTTCGATAGACGTTATTAGACCTAACATGACCCTGAACTTTCATAAATAAAATAATTATCATTTCGTATGATATTATTCCTCAAAAAACTGATTAATTTAAGCCTTGAGCTTTCATTACAAAACTACACCTTCACCTTTTGTGAATAATAAAACTTAATGAGTTTTGTAATCATTGGCTTTGTTTGATATTTATTCATTCCTCTTCTGTCTTTCAATCATTAATTGAAGTATCGATACTATCGACGATGTCCTTTCAAACAAATCAATTTGCCATGGTTGATAAATTGAATAATACAGATTTGTAAATCAAAGTACATGTACATGTACATGTGATTCATCAAATCAAAGTGATTTGTGATGATTGAAAGGAGACGAAACATCGTTTGATCGGTTTAAATGGTTATAAATCTCATTAAAATCTATTGGTTAATTCCAAAATGTATACTTGATAAGAACAAGTAATTAATTCTGTTATACATTTTTCTCTGTTAATAACCAATTCTGTGGTTTTGCTGATTTTCAGTTTATTCAAATTATTTCAGTATCAACCATAAAGAAAGGAGTCAATTTGTCTTATGGCTAATAAATGTATCTTTACTGGTAATCAAAGTAAGTTATTGAAAAGCTCAAGCTTTAATGATTTTCTCGATATTGAACATTCATTTATTACGGAAAATCTACTTCGGTTATTCACAGCATATTTGAGGAGTTTAATATGAACTCAGTAAATGATATAAAAATGGTCATCGGAAGATAAAGATTTTAGCTATTTAGTGAGAATAAGTTTCTGGAATTACTATGATCCTTATTAGTTCAATTATTCCTTGTCTTAATAATTATTCAAATCATTTTCCCTTCTTATTTTTCAGTAAAGTATATGAATTGGACAATTGTTGTGCGTCTTCAATTGAAATCTGCGTGATTCGCCACCGACGATGGCGAACTTAAATCTAACTCAAATAAGACTCTTCTTCGGGTACTGACTGTATTAATCAGTCTACAAACCCTTTAGTTTTTCAAAAGATAATCTTTCCAGATGCTACTTGTTATAGTTGGTCTTTTAAAACTATATGATTATAGCTGCGTATTCATTCGTTTATAACTGAATCTAGTGAATTCAATTATTAATTGAGACAACTTTCTTTTCCCACTGCAAAAGCTATCAAATCTGACTTTTTCGACTCTGGACACACATATCTGGCAACTGTTTTGGATAACAATATTTACATGATAACAAAAAATTTTGAATTTTTCCAGTTCGACGTTGATAAAAGTAATGAGTACAAGAGGACGAAAATTGACAGATTAGAAGATTTCACCTTCGATAATTTACTCTTAACTTCCAGTCTGGCTAATGATGATTAAGTTATTATCATTGACAAGTGCACAAATACCCTCTTTTGTTTTAATGTTATAACGGGAAAATAGAGTTCAATTGGTCGAATCAGTGGTAGCAGGTCCACTGATGTTCAAAGCGTATCAGATAAGCTTATAACTTTCATCTCAACATTATATCGATGGACACTATTGCATCTGAACGCGAATAAATGAAATAAAGATTTTCGGATAAAATGCTTCTAAATGATAAAATTTCTTTTTCCAAATGCCTTTATTTTGTTAAAATTTTGCTAAATTTAAAAATAATGACCTATTGAAATGCACGTTATAAAGTTTATATCCCTAAATTGTCAATATATATCGTCATGGGAATGGTCAACCAAAAGCTTGCTATTTCAATCATTCAACATACAATAGCTCAGCATATTCAATCCCCATATTGCCAGCTAAAACTCATCTCAAGCGATTTTCTCATTGTTCACCATGATTAATTTTCATTCTATTCAATTTTTCTTGATAAGTTTCTTAATTATCTAATATCGATCTCACTTGAAGAAATTAGACGAAATCAACTTGCATCGAAAAATTGAGCTAAATACTGGATCTGTGAGCGAAAAAATAATTTTAGAGCATTTCGTTTTACAGTTGATAGATGCTTTGTTAAAAGATTTATCAAAAGGTTGAGTTATCAATTGCTTTTTTGATCAATTTTTGTGACACAATATTTAACATAGATCATAGAAATAACTGCCAATTTAATCTTAATAATCAAATTAACAACCTAATTTAACCCGTGCGTTAAAAATTCCCTGTTTGGCTGAAAAAAATGAAAGTTTACTCGAAAAGAAGGAAGTTGATCAAAGAAAAATACAAATATCATCTGAAAACTCTCTTCGATATCTTATCATTATCTTAATATTGTAATTAAATCAGTAATTCTGAATATAATCGTGATTGGTATCTACGAAAGGGCAAAACAAAACTACCGCCAGAAGCTGTTGATCCAATGAAATCAAGTATCACTTGTCAATGGATTGAATCCAAGGAGATAATTACTGAGTGAAAATAGACTTTACCGTTAAAATCATCTGTTCAACTGACAAAGTTGTTAGATTTTTTCGTGCCTGTCAACCAAATAAAATTGAAACTGTTGAAGTTTTGCTAAAACTATGGATTCATTAGAAACTGGTGATAGAATCACAATAGTGAACCGTTCAAAAAAACATCGTGTTAGCAAGGAATTAATTCATGAGATACCTTATTTTGAAAAGATGTTGAGCCATGATTTTGACGAACAAGCCTTAAAAGTGTTTCTCAATTGTGTTGAACTTGATTACATGCTCATTGAAATGGCAACCGTGATAAAGGACAGTGACAGATTCTGCCTGTTTTTGAGCCAGAGATTTTTCAATGCCAATCGATAGAGGACACTCGACTCTATAAGTAATGTTCAAAACCTTACAGAAAATTTCGGACCTAAGGCCGAAAAAACGTGGTCAAAAGTCGAATTTTTTTAAACAGTATTTTAAATGTAAATAAAGGTTTTTAGTACTGAAAAAATGTTGAAAAGCGCAAAAAAGCTGTTTTCTATGTACATTTTGAATAAAAAAACACTTTTGCAAGTTCCTCTAAACTTCGTTGCAATTTCGCTAAAAAAATGTCATATCAAAAGGCAAGTTATCAAGTTTATATTTCTACATTGTCAACATTGATTGTGATTGGAATGGTCAACCTAAGCTTATAGATCATATTCTTGGCATAATTTTGACTATTAAATTATTAAAACTGAAAAATTCTTTTGGAATTTTGAGGATTGCAAAATGCCTTAAAAATTCGGAAATAAAATTTACTCCAGAATCAAGTAAGGGCCGATAAAAAAGCCGATATTTGATCGCAGTGAGTGTAAACATTCGGTCACATTTGCTTGTTCACAAGTATCATAGCTGGCAGGTCAAATGACTCAATTACTTCTTGAATACACAAAATGAGAATAAATTACATATTACACAGATTCGATTAATAGAGTATTATAATAAATTAGCAAGAGATGGCGCTTTTTCAATTTTAAAATGTGTGAAAGTCCAGTGAACCAGACAGTTTGACTCAAACTAAATGGTCTATTGATATTGTTATTTAGCTTTTTTCCATAAAATCTACAATCTTGTGTTAGAATTTTCCTTTTTGCAAAAACCATGAACTCATTGGAAACTAATGATCAACGGAACATCATATTAGTAAACAACTAATTCGTAAAGTGCCTTATTTTGAAAGATTGTTGAGCCATGAATGTTTGGAATCAAAGGAAAACAAAGTTGAACTGGATTTTGACGAACAAGCTTTCAAATTATTTCTAAATTGGATTGAATTCGATCATTTATTGGTCGAAATTAAAAATGTAATAAACCTGTGCACCATGATTGATTACTTTGGAATGGACAATAATCTGATTAACGATTACGCTACCTATTTTCATGATAATTTTTCCACCACACACCTTCCAGCTGTGATTCCACAAGTGACTCCAACATCTAAATTAATTAACTCTGGGGCTCTCGATGCTTTCATCTGTCGCCATTTCTTGAAGATAGCGGGCTCAAAGGTTTGGTTAAACTATCCTGTTGAAACCATTGAATATATTTGCAATAAGGATTTAGTGATTCATTCAGAAATGCAAGTTTTCAATGCGATCATGAAATGGGTCAATTTCAAGCCTGATTCCAGAAAGGACTATCTTGAAACATTGTTAAAATCTGTTCGATGGTGTCATTTAGATGATAAAGATTTGTGTGAAATAAAGGGAAATGATTTCATCAAATATACGAGCTTTAAAGCGATATTTTGCACGCCTGTCCAATGCTATGGTGAATGCTCCTTCAACAGAGTCAATCAATACTATTTCATCCTGATTGAGGAATTGGATGGTACAGATTTGCAAATCAAAGTACTTGACAGAAGTTTCATGTCTTTTATTAAACGAGTCATCAAACTAGATGAATCATTGCCTTTGCATCTTCTCCACAATGAAACTGTCTCTGATATAATTTTTGATTCTGGAAGGAAGATGATTCGTGTTGATTGGAATCTAAACAAGTATCGTTTGCTTAGCTTGAATGATTATAAATCTCATTATTATAAAATCCACAATGGTATTCTTGAAAAGAACGAGTAAGTAAACGGTTCTACTATAATTCTAAATTCTATTTTAGTATAATTCTGTTTTTCTTTGTCAATTTCCAATTCCAGTGCTTTTCTGATCCTTTAAATTATTGCCTTTCAGTTATTGTCGATTATTCGGTAGAAAATTTTTTCTGCACTTTATCAAATTCCTTTATTTTTCTTTTTAAATTCTTTCAGGGAAAAATACTATCCTTTTGCTGCTTACACCAAATATGCTGCTAAATATACTCCCGAAGGCTCACTTCTCGAATTCAATGAAAAGTTTGTTTTGGTTGGAGAAAATCTCATCTCCTGTACACCTGTTAATCTTGCTACTGGAGTTATTTCTAAAAACTATTCAATAAACTTGTTCTGTTGGACAGCACCGGCTGATAGCCGAATTGAGACATTCTTCCGTAGTTCTGACATGAATTATCTCACAACTATTTTGGATAATAAAATTTATATCATAAAAAATGATCCCGTGAATATCTATGAATTTATCCAGTTCAATATTGACAGTCAAGAGGTCAAGAGATTCGCAAATAAAATTAGATCGAACTTGGGTGATTTAATTTTAACTTCCAAGCCAGCACACGATGATAAAGTTTTTTTGATCGACAGATCCAATAATGTTGTTGAGTGTTTCAATGTCAAAGACGAAGAATGGACTCCATTTGGTCTTTTGGCTAATATTTGTAGCTCTACTGGTGATCAAAGGAAGTCCAATATGCTGTTAACTTTCACCTCAGCCTCTTTACCGATAGAAACTATTAGATCTTGCATTACACGTGAACGAAAATCGATGGAATAATGATTATTTTACTATTGTTATCGAAAACTAAACTAGGTGCATTTCATTCAAATCAAATTACTTCGAAATTGCCTTCGAAAAATATATTCAATTGAACTTATTTTTTCACGAATAAAAATTCAATCCAATTGTAATAAGTTTTGTGGTCATTCATTTTCATTATTTACTTGTTTCTATTCTTAAAGTTGATGGATAAGGTATCCAGATCAATTTGTAACATCAATTCTTTGGCTCTGTTCAATTATTTCAATTATTTCACGATTGGATGACAACTCATCCTTCCACCTTGTACAACTCTTATAATTGGTTGCTGTATGGTTCAATCACTACTTGATTTTGACTCTTCTTTGTGTACTGACTGAATTACTTAAGATTGGAAATCAATTAAAAAGATTCACTGATAAATACAAAATAACGTGAATACAACTAGTTGGTGGTGTAATCAGTCTCACAATGTTAATAAATTGATGTACTCAATTGTTGATTAATCAAAATGAAGTTAAAATTGGCCCAGAAGAGGAAAGTTTGTTATCTCAATGCGTCACTTTCAAAGTAAGACAAAAGTCTAGCACTGGCGCCATTCAGTTCAGCCAAACTGGAGTGAAAATCATTCACTGATTGGTTAAAATAGTTAGCTAACACCATACTAGGAGTTTACACTATATTCGTGTTGATTGGAATCAAAAAAAGTATCGTTTGCTTAGTTTAAATGATTATAAATCTCACTGCATTGAAATCCATAAATGTATTGTAAAGAAAAAGTAATTAATTGATTATGTTATTCTACATATTTTCTGTTGATTGAAAATTCAAATGCTTGTCCGATCTTTTAAATTGCTCGTTAGATCAGTTTATTTTTATTGTTAAATAGTTAAATCTAACTCGATATTAACACTTGTGAACCCTCTTCTTGTTTAGATCTTTTCGCTTTTTATACAACTATTCTTACAAGCCAATCAGTAGAGGAAATCAAATTACAAGTTTTTAAATGTAAAATAAATGCATCAGATGTACTAATGGTTGTTTGAGAGGTTTCATTCTCAGTCATTTTAATTAAGAAAACATTCATCTTTGAGTTCAGAAGAATTATCAGTTTACAAATCATGTTAAACAATTTGAACTGTTGAAAGTTTTAGCAAAGAGTGGTCGTAACTTTAATTATTAACGTATGTTTTGTATTTCAAAATTTTCTCGTTTCTTATTTTTCAAGATTCACTGGGTAAACTGACTAGGTTTATGATTAGTTAACAAAAGATGGCGTTTTTGTAATTGTAAAATGTGTGAAAGTCCAGTCTAACAGACATTCTTGTTCAAACTGCATCTTTTTTTACTCAAACATTTTAAATTTGATTTTTGTACAGTTAAATTACAATATTGTGTTTTAATCCAAATCTGTGAAAAGAAATAATGGCTTCATTCGAACTTGATGATCAACTAACAATTGTGAATCGATCGACGGAACATCGTATTAGTAAAAAACTAATTCGTAAAGTGCCTTATTTTGAAAAATTGTTGAACCATGAATGCTTGGAATCAAAGGAAAATGCAGTTGTACTCGATTTTGATGAACAAGCTTTCAAATTATTTCTAAATTGGATTGAATTCGATCATGTTTTGATCGAAATGAAAAATGTAATAAACCTGTGCACCATAATTGATTATTTTGGAATGGACACTAAGTTGATTAACGATTGCGCTACCTATTTTAGTGATAATTTTTCAATCAAGCACCTTCCAGTTGTGATTCCACAAGTGACTTATACGTCTTATTGCATAAACTCTGGTGCTCTGAACGCTTTCATCTGTCGCCATTTCTTGAAGATAGCAAACACAACTGTTTGGTTAAAATATCCTATTGAAATCATTGAGTGTATTTGCCATAAGGATTTAATGATTCATTCAGAGGTACAAGTTTGCAATGCGATCATGAAATGGATCCATTTCAAGCGTAATTCCAGGAAGGGCTATCTTGAAAGATTATTAAAGTTGGTTCGATGGTGCCATTTGGATGATAAGGATTCTGTTGAAATAAAGGGAAATGATTTCATCAGATTTTCTTTCCTTAAAGATGTATTTAGCCCGCTTGATCAACGCGATGGTGTTTGCATCAACCGAACGAGTCAATATTATTTTGTCCTAGTTGAAACATTGGATGGTACAGATTTGCAGATCAAAGTATTTGACAGAAATTTTCTGCCATTTATTAAACGGGTCATCAAACTAGATGAATCATTGCCTTTGCATCTTTTCCACAACGAAACTGTTTCTGATATAGCTATTGATTCGGCAAGGAAGATGATTCGTGTTGATTGGGATCAAAATAAGTATCGTTGGATTGACTCAAAGGAATTTAAATCTCATTGTAAAATTCAAGAATATATGCTTGAAAAGAGCGAGTAAGTATTGCGAGCGAGTGATTCTGTTATTCTAAATGTTTTTCTCTGTCAAACACCAATTACAGTGCCTTTCCGATCTTTCAAATTGTTCGTATCATGCATTCATTTTTCATTGCCATTATGTTGTTAGTTATTCAGCAGAAAATTTCGCATTATATCACTGATTATTCTTATTTTTATTTTTTTCTAGGGAAAAAGAAACTAGTTTGGCTACGCGCTCTATGTGTGCCAGTAAATATACTAGCGGAGCTTCTCTACTAGAATTCAATGATAAGTGCGTTTTGTTGACGGAAGATATCATCTCCTGTACTCCTTCGCCTTTCCTGCCAGGTACTAGGTCACCAATTTTAAGCAACTGGTTTGAATATAAATTAAACTTGCGTTGTTGGACAGCACCAACTGATGGTCAGATTGCGAGATTTAATAGTTCAGAAAGAAATGTTTTGACAACTATTTTGGATAATAAAATTTATATCATGACAAGTAGTCGTGCATTGATCCAGTTTAATATTGACAGTCAAGAGATGAAAACGTTTGAACGTAAAGGTACATCAAACTTGGGTGATTTAATTTTAACTTCCAAGCCATCACATGATGATAAGGTTTTGTTGATCGACAGATCCAATAATGTTGTTGAGTGTTTCAATGTCAAAGACGAAGAATGGACTCCATTTGGTCTTTTGGCTAATATTTGTACTTCTACTGGTGATCAAAGGAAGTCCAATATGCTGTTGACTTTCACCTCAGCCTTTTTACCGATAAACATTATTTTATCTTGCACTTGTGACTGATTGTGCACGTGATTTGCGTAAATCAATGGAATAGCACTTATTTTGTCAATAATAACAAAACTAACTGTATTGAATGCATTTGATTCAAACCAACTTTTATTTCGAAACCTTTGAAAAAATATATTTAATTGAAATTATTTTTTGCAACGATTAAAAAGCAATCATATTGTGATAAGTATTGTGGTCATTCATTATTTTTACTCATTTCTGTTCATAAAGTTGATAGGGAAGGTATCCAGATCAATTTGTAAAGTCAATTCTTTGTTTCTTGTGATGGTTTTATTTTTACACAGTTGTATGGGCAATTATACCGTACATCAATACAATGTTATGCAAAAATACTCAACTAACGAGAAATGAGACATCTAAATGCATCAATTATAATAAGCTCTCAACTTTCACCTCAACATTTATATCGATGGATACTATTGCATCTGAACTCGAATGAATGAAATAAAGATTCTCGTGATTCTACACTTATTTTGACAAAAAATTCTTCAGCATAGACTTTGTTACCTAATAAACTTTAAATAATGACCTATCAAAGGGCGAGTTTACATTTCTATGTTGTCAATTTAGAACTGAGTATCTTTAGCATTCAACATAACTCACACTCGACTGTCAGTTTACCGACTGGTTTAACTAATTTCAAGCGATTTTCTCATTGACCAAGCAAAATAAGTTCATTTTAACCATGACCAATTTTCATTCTGTCTCTTTAATTTGTCTTGATAAGTTTCTTAACTATCCAAAGTAATCGTTTTCCCTTGTAGAAATCAAAACCAACTAACTTGCATCAATAAATTGAGTTTTACTGAATACTCGATACTGAAATTTTGAACACAAGTGAAAAAAAGCATTTCGTTTTAGAGCTGGTAATACTGTGACAGATCTTTGACTAAAAGATTTATCAATTAATTGAAGTGAATAAACTTTTAACCCAATAAAACACTGGGAAATTTCAGTATATCGCTTTTGAAGATCCTATAAATTAACCCGTTGAGAAGTTTGTCAACAAACCAAATCGAAAATTGAAAAAAAACAGAATTAATTCCATAAATATCAGAGGACCAATGAAAACTATTCCCTACTACCTGATCTTTCAGTGTGTATGGTTTTGAGTAAATGCTCATTCATCCATCTTCTTGTATACATCTAATAACTGATTGGTCGAATGGTTCAATCACTACTCAAACACAAATTAAAAAATGGTGTTTTAATAGTCATAACACACTGGGTTCATAGAAACAATGACCTAAACAGTTAGATCGTTAGTTTACGAATTTAGTCGATACTTGCATCAACTGACCAAAGAGTCACTGACTGATGGGCAATGTATTTCATATTTGATGAAAATGCCATCTCTTGTCAATTATTATGAACTCGTGGCAGTAAGTGTTAAATTTTTGAGTTTCTTTGAATTAGTCGCGAGGTGGTGTTTTTTCTTTACGCCTCAAGTTTGTATTACAAACATTGTAAATCATTTGCAACTTGTAACCTGAATGGTTAAGGTATTGATATAAAATATTAAGTTGTTTCAGAAAATTTGACATTTTTTATTTACTTTTGTGTCCAGTATGGATTCATTAAAAACTGACGACCAACTTACAATAAATAATCGACGGAAAGAATATAAAATTAGTAAAAAACTAATTCGTAAAGTGCCTTATTTTGAAAAGATGTTGAGCCATGACTTAAAGGAATCAAAGGAAAACAAAGTGGAACTGGATTTTGACGAACAAGCCTTAAAAGAGATTTTTCATTGTTTGGAATTCGGTTACATGTTCATTGAGATGGAAAGCGTAATGAATTTGTGCAACATGATCGACTATTTCGGGATGGACAATGATTTGATGGATGAGTGTGTTGACTATTTTCATGACAATTTTACAATTGAACATCTTCCAGTTGTTATGCCTCAAGTTACTGCAACATCTAAATGTATCAACTCAGAAGCTCTCAATGGTTTCATCTGTCGCCATTTCTTGAAGATCTCAAACACGACTGCTTGGTTACATTATCCTATTGAAATAGTTGAATACATACTTAATCTCAACCTGATGATTCACTCCGAAAAACAAGTTTTCGATGCTATCTTCAGATGGATCAATGGTGATTCCAGGTCTAGAATGCGTTTTCTCAGAAAATTGTTAAATTTAGTTCGATGGTATCATTTGGAAGACCTAGATCTATCAGAAATAAAAAAAAACAAATTTTTTAACCGTGCAGGTTCGGGACCAGTTTTTTGGCTGCATTGGAAACGTAATTGTCATCGTGCTTTCAATCGAGCTAAACAAAATTATTTCATCATGATCGAGCATGTAAGCGGCACAAATTTACATGTGAAAGTAATTGATAGCAATTTCATTGTGTTATTTGTTCGAAAAGTCGAATTAGATAAATCAATGCCATTGCATGTTTTTCATAATAAACATGTTTCTGATATCATTTTTGATTCCGGAAGGAGAGGAATCCGAATCGATTGGAGTCTCAGTAAATATCGTTGGCTTGATCTTTCAACATTTAAATGCCCTCATCTTGAAACCATTAAATGCATTTATGGAAGAAGCGGGTTAGTACGTATATTGATTCTGTGCTCTTAACTCATATATTTAGCTTCACCATGAGTATATTCGCATATTTACCACAATGCACTAATAAAAATACATTCGAGGTTTCACTTTAGTTGTTTTTTGTATGATCGCCTTAAGCCAGGCTAAAGTTTTCACATCTTTGTGAGGATTAATAATGAAAATTTTTAATCGAAGTGAATTTACTCACAAATATGGCATTTAGCCCTTCAATTTATTGAATTAGATGTTACCCATCAGAAATAGTTACAGGTGAAACCTTGACTGTGCTTTTATTCCCCATTGTATTCGAAATATTATGTTTTAAGGATTAATCAAAAAAAAAACTTTTTTATCCATTAATTCAGAGAAAAGAACTGTTCGTCGGATAATTTAAACAAAGATTTGTATTTAGGCGCGCTTGGAAGTGCACTTCTCGAAACTACTGAAAAGTTCATTTTGATTTATGATGGTTATTTTTCAAGATCATTGAGTGAAGGTTTTGAAAAATATTTTCATAAAGATTTTCACGATTTTCACGTTACTTTTTTGGATGATCATATTTACGTCTTGAATAGACTCCTTGTTTTAACTCGTTATGACACTAATTACTGCCCTATCGAATGGACTCGCTTCGAAAATACTCGTGCAAAATTAGCAGATTTACTTCTAACATCCAGTCAAGCCAATGACAATCGAGTTTTTTTGGCTAATAAAATCACAAAAGATATTCACTGTTACAACATAAAAAGTAAAAAATGGAGTTCAATCCATCTTAAGATTAATAATGGTTCCATTGATTGCCGAACGGGCTCTAATGAACTTCTAGCTTTTACTTCAGCTTTTCTTTCGATAGACGCTATCGGACCTTACATGAACCCTGAACTTTCATAAATAAAATTATTATCATTTCGTATGATATTATTTCAGACTCAAAAGGATTACGGATTTACGCATCAAAGTACTGTAAAGAAATTTTCTCCCATTCATTAAACAAACCTTAAAATTAAATCAATGTCTTTTCATAGTCTTGACAATGAACATGTTTCTGATATAGTTTTTGATTCGGTAAGGAAAATGATTCGTGATGATTGGAAGCAGACGAAACATCGTTTGATCGGTTTAAATGTTTATACACTCGGACTTCACTTCGAGTTTATATCTCATAACCTCTCGATGCAGTTGTTTAACTATCACGTAATTGATTCTGTCATTTTATATATTTTTCTCTGTGGTTTTGCAGATTTTCAGTTTATTCAAATTATTTCACTATAAACGATAAAGAAAGGAGTCCATTTGGTCTTATGGCTAATAACTGTATCTCTACTGGTAATCAAAGGAAGTTATTGAAAAGCTCAAGCTTTAATGATTTCCATTTATTTAATGATTGAATATTCATTTATTACCGCAAATTTACTTCGGTTATTCACTTTCATATTTGAGGAGCTAAAGATTGGAAATCAGTTAAATTAATTCAATCAAACAGATTCACTAAAAATAAACCACAAAATAACGTAAATTGAAACTAGTTGATGATATAACCAGGCTCACAAATTCAAATATTAATAAATTAATCGACTCAAAATATTAAAATAATTATTCAATCAAAATAAAGTTAAAATTGAAGTTGAACCAAAAGATGAAAGTTTGTTATCTCAAACAAAGTCTCTCACTGGCGCCATTCAGTCTAGTCTAACTGGTGAGAAACCCATTCTCTGATTGGTTAAAATAGTCACCTCGGTTAACTACAAATTGGGATTCTACATTAAAGGCTTTATACTGTTTTCTTGCAAAGAGTTTAACTCTGTTACTCTTTGTCTTAAACCGAAAAGGCGAAAGTGAGCTGCTGCTGCTTGAAAGCTAACCACTTTTTTAACCAAACTGTTAGAGCAAACACTGTAATATAGCTTTGATCAGTTTGAACACCGATCGTCTGCTGAACTTTTTATTATCTAACTGACTACATTGTGTATTGTGAGTTATTTCAAGGATCTTCAATTTAAAGTGTGCTATTAAGCATGGATTCATACAAGACTGATGGTATGCTTACAATTGTGAATCGATCAACGGACGAATTAGTAAACAACTAATTCGTAAAATACCTTATTTTGAAAAGATGTTGAGTGATGATCTATTGGAATCAAAGGAAAACAAAGTTGAACTGGATTTCGATGAAAAGGCTTTTAAGTCGATTCTTGATTGGTTGAAATTAGATTTTATCCTTATCGAGATGGATTATGTAATCAACCTGTGCACCACTGCTGACTATTTTGGTGTCAACAATTATTTGATGGACGATTGTACAAGTCATTTTCATGACAACTTTTCAATTGAACCTGTTGTTATACCACAGGTTACTCAAACATCTAAATTAATAAACTCTGGTGCTCTCAATGCTTTCATTTGCCGCTATTTCTTGAAAATAGCAAACACAACGGTTTGGTTAGATTATCCTATCGAGACTATTGAATATACATGTATTTGGCCTTTACATTTATACTCATCTCAAGCGATTTTCTCATTGTTCACCGTGATTCATTTTCATTCTATTCAATTTTTCTTGATGAGTTTCTTAATTATCTAATATCGATCTCACTTGAAGAAATTAGACTAAATCAACTTGCATCGAAATATTGAGCTACATACTGGATCTGTAAGCGAAAAAATAATTTTAGAGTATTTCGTTTTACAGTTGGTATTGTTGATACAGTTGTAGATGCTTTGCTAAAAGATTTATCAAAAGGTTGAGTTATCAATTGATTAAGCTTGTCTTAATTTTTGTGGCATAATATCTAACATAGGTGATAGAAATAACTGTTAATTTAATCTTAATAATCAAATTAACAACCTAATTTAACCCGTGCGTTGAAAATTCATCGTTTTACTCGAAAAGAAGGAAGTTGATCAAAGAAAAATACAAATATCATTTGAAAACTTTCTTCGATATCTTATCATTATTTAAATATTGTAATTAAATCAGTAATTCTGAATATAATCGTGACTGGCATCAACGAAAGGGCAAAACAAAACTACCGCCAGAAGCTGTCCATCCAATGAAATCAAGTATCACTTATCAATGGATTGAGTCCAAGGAGATAATTCCTGTGTAAAAATAGGCTTTACTGTTGAAATCATCTGTTCAACTGACAAAGTTGTGAGATTCTTTTGTGCCTGTGAACCAAATAAAATTGAAACTTTTGAAGTTTTGCTCAAACTATGGATTTATTAGAAACTGGCGATAAAATCACAATAGTGAACCGTTCAAAGGAACATCGTATTAGCAAGGAATTAATTCGTGAGATACCTTATTTTGAAAAGATGTTGAGCCATGACTTGAGGGAATCAAAGGAAAACAAAGTTGAACTGGATTTTGACGAACAAGCCTTAAAAGTGATTCTCAATTGTGTTGAACTTGATTACATGCTCATTAAAATGGCAACCGTGATAAATTTGTGCAACATAATCCATTATTTTGGTATGGACAATGATTTGATGGATGATTGTGTCACCTATTTTCATGACAATTTTACAATTGAACATCTTCCAGTTGTTATACCTCAAGTTACTGCAGCATCTAGATGTATCAACTCAGAAGCTCTCAATGGTTTCATCTGTCGCCATTTCTTGAATATAGCAAACACGACTGCTTGGTCACATTGTCCTATTGAAATAGCTGAATACATACTTAATCTTAATCTGGTGGTTCATTCCGAAAAACAAGTTTTGAATGCTATCGCTAGATGGGTCAATAATGATTCTAGGTCTAGAATGCGGTATGCTGAAAGATTATTATATTTAGTCCGATGGCATCACTTGACAGATGTGGATTTTTCAGAAATAACGAAAAATGAATTTCTTAAATCTGCAGGTTTCCATCCAGTATTGTGGCAGCGTAAAAAACGTAATTGTCATCGTGCTTTCAACCGAGTTAATCAAAATTATTTCATCATGATCGAACATTTGATTGGTACAAATTTAAACGTCAAAGTAATTGATTCTAATTTTGTTCAGTTGTTCGGTCGAGAAGTCGAATTAGATGAATCAATACCATTAGACGTTTTTCATGATGAACATGTTTCTGATATCTTTTTTGATTCTGGAAAGAGAGGAATTCGAATCGATTGGAGCCGCAATAAATATCGTTGGCTTGACCTTTCAACTTCTAGAAACTATTATTCTAAAATCGAAAAATACATTAATGGAAGAAAAGAGTAAGTGAAATTATTCTGTCATAGCATATTTTCATTCTCACTGATATTTATCTGCCGAGCTAATGTTTTTCACATCTTTGTGAAGATCAATAATTGTAAAATATTTAAACAAAGTGAACTGAGTCTCAATATGGAATTGTTCAAATGAATGATTGAACATATTACATGAAAAAGGTTGATTGTCATCTTCAATCAATTATAAATGTATCTTAAAGAGAAACAAGGCCTCAAAATTTAGCCTGAAATCCGTAGAATGTCATGGGAGGGATGTCCACCGAAGGGAAACCTTGATTCTGACTTTTTTCCTTACATTCGATTTATTTCTAGTGATTAATCAAAAAATTTTCTTATTGATTCATTTATTCAGAGCATTCTTTACGCCTGATAACCACGGAAATCCAACATCATACAGAAACCATTTTATTGAAAATGCACACCTCGAAACTACAGAAAAGTTTATTTGGCTTTATAAATTTAGTCATTGTGCATATACTTATGAAATTTGGCATAGAAAATGCGACCATAAAGATTATCACGCTACTTTTTTGGGTGATAATATCTATATGTTGACAAGCAGCCGTGATTTTATTCGGTTGGACTCTGTTTTCCGTGAGATCGAGAGAATAGAACTCAAAAATATTAATGGGAAATTCGCGGATTTACTTCTAACTTCCAGTCAAGTTAATGATGATCGAATTATTGTGGTGGATAAGAACACAAAAGACTTCCTCTGTTACAACGTCAAAAGTAAAAAATGGAGTTCAATCGATCTTAAGATTAATAATGGTTCCATTGATTACCGAACGGGCTCTAATGAACTTCTAGCTTTTACTTCAGCTTTTCTTTCGATAGACGCTATGAGATCTTACATGCATCCTGAACTTTAATAAATGAAATTATGATTATTTCTCATGATATTGTCCCAATTCAGTACACTGAATTAAATCCCTGAGCTTTAACAAAAAAACCAAACTTCACCTTTGGTGAATGGTGAAACTTAATAAATTTTGTAATCATTGGATTTGTGTGATTTTATTTATTCATTCCTCTTTCGTCTTTCAATCTTCAATTGAAGTATCGATATTATCGACAATGTCCCTTCAAACAAATCAATTTGCCGTGGTTGATAAATTGAATAATACAGATTTGCAAATCAAAGTAATTGACAGAAATTTTCTGCCATTGGTAGATACAAAAAAAACGATATCTTTTGTGGCAATATCAACGATGAAGAATGTAGCCCATTTAGTCGCATGATTAGTCATAATTTTGCTGATGAACTAGAGCAGGTCAATCTCAGCCTTTTCATGATAGACATTATTAAATCCAGTTGTGGTTTAAAAGATTTTTGGCTCAACCTCATATGCAAAATTTTATATCGGCTCTGATCAACAATAGCAAGACTGAAGCATGTGCAATCTATTAATTGCTATGTCAGAACGAGCTATAATTTTTTCCAAGGAAACTCAAAATCCTCCTGAGAAAACAATGCAGAATATTGCCAGTGAACTCTTCCTTGGAACTAAACAACATTTTGCAGATATCGAGTCTCATCTCGAGCATTATTGGGGATATCATGCTTTCTTCTGGATGACACCAAGTTCCCGTTGGGTTCCTTACCTGTTTTCCTTAAGCACTGCATTGGTTCATAAATTACCAAAATCATTGCTAGCATCGATATCTAATGAAGAGTATGGAACTCTTTTGACTTACGCAACCTGGAAAGCAACCCCTTTCTTTCCCATGAATGTCTCTAATTATGTCAACAATTGTTTCAGTAGAGCTTACAGCAGTTTACTCTGCATCGTTAATGGCGTTGACTTTCAACAGTTGTTGGTTCCAAAGCAATCAAGATGGATAGTTCCAGATGATGGAAGTCGAATCACAAAACCATTCTCTGAATCAGCCGACAACAGTTTCCTCGAGAATCTAAGCAACATTGATAAAGAAAAAAATCCAGTTCTCTGTTATCTTATGAAAAGCAAATCTCTCATACCCTCTGGTGACGTTATCCTTCATGCTCAAGGTGGCGGATTCATAATTGATGCTCGTCTATTCCATGAATCTTATTTACGTGATTGGGTTCAAAAATTGGATGGAGCGGTTATTGTAAATGTCATTTACAGTCGTTTTGTGCGATATCCGTGCGCACTTCAAGAATTTATCGATGAATAAATGTAATAAACCTGTGCACGATGATTGATTACTTTGGAATGGACACTAAATTGATTAACGATTGCGCTACCTATTTTAGTGATAATTTTTCAATCAAGCACCTTCCAGTTGTGATTCCACAAGTGACTTATACGTCTTATTGCATGAACTCTGGTTCTCTCAACGCTTTCATCTGTCGCCATTTCTTGAAGATAGCAAACACAACTGTTTGGTTTAACTATTGAAATCATTGAGTGTATTTGCAATAAGGATTTAATGATTCATTCAGAGGTACAAGTTTTCAATGCGATCATGAAATGGATCCATTTCAAGCGTAATTCCAGGAAGGGCTATCTTGAAAGATTAGTAAAGTTGGTTCGATGGTGCCATTTGGACGATAAGGATTCTGTTGAAATAAAGGGAAATGATTTCATCAGATTTTCTTTCCTTAAAGATGTATTTAGCCCGCTTGATCAACGCAATGGTGTTTGCATCAACCGAACGAATCAATATTATTTTGTCCTAAAAATTTAGTTGAAACATTGGATGGTACAGGTTTGCAGATCAAAGTATTTGACAGAAATTTTCTGCCATTTATTAAACGGGTCATCAAACTAGAAGCAACATTGCCTTTGCATCTTTTTCATAATGAAACTGTTTCTGATATAGCTATTGATTCGGCAAGGAAGATGATTCGTGTTGATTGGGATCAAAATAAGTATCGTTGGATTGACTCAAAGGAATTTAAATCTCATTGTAAAATTCAAGAATATATGCTTGAAAAGAGCGAGTAAGTATTGCGAGCGAGTGATTCTGTTATTCTAAATGTTTTTCTCTGTCAAACACCAATTACAGTGCCTTTCCGATCTTTCAAATTGTTCGTATCATGCATTCATTTTTCATTGTAACTGAGTTTACCGACTGGTTTAACTAATTTCAAGCGATTTTCTCATTCATCAAGCAAAATAAATTCATTTTAACCATGACCAATATTCATTCTATTTCTTAAGTCTTGATAAGTTTCTTAACTATCCAATGTAATCGTTTTCCCTTGAAGAAATCAAAGCCAACTAACTTGCATCAATAAATCGAGTTTTACATCCGATACTGTAATTTTGAACACAAGTGAAAAATAAGCATTTCGTTTTAGAGCTGGTATTACTGTGACAGATCTTTGACTAAAAGATTTATCAAAGGTTGAGTTATCAATTAATTGAAGTGAATAAACTTTTAGCCCAATAAAACACTGGGAAATTTCAGTATATCGCTTTTGAAGATCCTATAAATTAATACGTTGAGAAGTTTGTCAACAAACCAAATCGAAAATTGAAAAAACAGAATTAATTTCATAAATATCAGAGGACTAATGAAAACTATTCCCTATTAACTATTGGCCATAAGATGTGATCTTAAGCGGTTTAATTACCTGTTTGCATATGTTAATGTTTATCGATAACTAAAAAAAGTTATCGATATACAATGTATTGTTTTATCTAATTTATCGATAACTATCGATATTTTTATTGTTATCGTCTAACTCTATTTAGAGTCCGCAGCTAGCCATGAATTTTGGCTTATCCGCCACGCTTATGATGGCTTAGCCAGAGCCATGTATCTGCTGGCTGAGCCGGCTCGAAATCCGCAGAAGATTGTATGGCTCGAGTGACTGAAGAGCCATTCAGGGAAAATCAGACTAACTTTTTTCAAAAAAATTTTACGATTTTGAATCATTCATTACGATTAGCTCCTGATAAACTCAATCCGACTAACAATGCTCAATTATATTCATGAAAATTTTGATTTTTGTCTAATAATTATGATGATTATGATTTTTGTGTCATTTGTTCACCTGAAATTATGAATGAAACTGATTTTTTTTAATCAATTCAATAGCTAAACGGATTTAGCGCCGATTTTTTGTAGCGCCGGCTTAGCCGGCTAAGCATCCGCCAACGAATATTTTTACTCTTATCCGCCATTCGTCAATGAATTGGCTGGCTGCGGTTTCTAACTCTATTAGATATGTCATGCTACGAAAATGAAAGTTTACTCGAAAAGAAGGAAGTTGATCAAAGAAAAATACAAATATCATCTGAAAACTCTCTTCGATATCTTATCATTATTTAAATATTGTAATTAAATCAGTAATTCTGAATATAATCGTGATTGGCATCAACGAAAGGGCAAAACAAAACTACCGCCAGAAGCTGTCCATCCAATGAAATCAAGTATCACTTTTCAAAGGATTGAGTCCAAGGAGATAATTCCTGAGTGAAAATAGACTTTACCGTTAAAATCATCTGTTTAACTGACAAAGTTGTGAGATTTTTTCGTGCCTGTCAACCAAATAAAATTGAAACTGTTGAAGTTTTGCTAAAACTATGGATTTATTAGAAAATGGTGAAATCACAATAGTGAACCGTTCAAAGGAACATCGTATTAGCAAGGAATTAATTCGTGAGATACCTTATTTTGAAAAGATGTTGAGCCATGACTTGAGGGAATCAAAGGAAAACAAAGTGAAACTGGATTTTGACGAACAAGCCTTGCAAGCGATTCTTAATTGTTTGGAATTCGGTTCCATGCTCATTGAGATGAAAACCGTAATACATTTGTGCAACATGATCGATTATTTCGGGATGGACAATCATTTGATGGATGATTGTGTTGCCTATTTTCATGACAATTTTACAATTGAACACCTTCCTGTTGTTATACCTCAAGTTACTTCAACATCTAGATGTATCAACTCAGAGGTTCTCAATGGTTTCATCTGTCGCCATTTCTTGATGATCGCAAACACGAGTGCTTGGTCACATTATCCTATTGAATTAGTTGAATACATACTCAAACACAACCTGATGATTCACTCCGAAAAACAAGTTTTCAATGCTATCTTTAGATGGATCGATGGTGATTACGGGTCTAGAATGCGTTATCTCAGAAAATTGTTCAATTTAGTTCGATGGTATCATTTGGAAGATCTAGATCTATCAGAAATAAAGAAAAACAAATTTTTTAACCGAGCAGGTTTGGGACCAGTATTTTGGCTGCATTGGAAACGTAATTGTCATCGTGGTTTCAACCGAACTAAACAAAATTATTTCATCATGATCGAGCATTTGAGTGGTTCAAATTTACACGTGAAAGTAATTGATAGCAATTTCATTCAGTTGTTTGTTCGAAAAGTCGAATTAGATGAATCAATGCCATTGCATGTTATTCATAATGAACATGTTTCTGATATCATTTTTGATTCTGGAAGGAAAGGAATCCGAATCGATTGGAGTCTCAGTAAATACCGTTGGCTTGATCTTTCAACTTCTAAATGCCATCATCTTGAAATCGTAAAATGCATTTATGGAAGAAGCGGGTTAGTATATTGATTCTATTGATTGATTTATTGTAAAAATTATTTTTTATTTATTCATTTATTCAGAGAAAAGAAATTTTCGTCTGATAATTTTCACAAAGATATAAATTTATGCGTTATTGGAAGTGCACTTCTTGAAACTACTGAAAAGTTCATTTTGATTCATGATGGTTATTTTTCAAGATCACTGAGTGAAGGTTTTGAAGAATACATCCGTAAAGGTCCTCACGATTTTCACGTTACTGTTTTGGATGATCATATTTACGTGTTACATAGATGCCTTGATTTATATCGTTATAACTCTAATTACCGCTTCATCGAAAGAACCCGCGTCCAAAATACTGATGCAGAATTCGCGGATTTACTTCTAACATCCAGTCAAGCGAATGATGATCGAGTTTTTTTGGTTGATAAAACCACAAAAGATGTTTACTGTTACAACATAAAAAGTAAAGAATGGAGTTCAATCGATCTTAAGATTGATAATGATTCTACTGATTGCCGAACGGGCTCAAATGAACTTTTAGCTTTCACTTCAGCTTTTCTTTCGATAGCCGCTATCGGACCTTACATGAACCCTGAACTTTCATAAACAAAATTATTATCATTTCGTATGATATTATTTCAGACTCAAAACACTGATGGATTTAATAATTGAGCTTTCATTACAAATCACACCTTCACCTTTTGGTAATAATAAACTTATGAAGATTTGTAATCATTGGATTTTGTTTGATATCATTTATTCATTTACCGCGCGTGTTAATTTTAATCCAAGTATCGAAACACAAAATTAGATAAATCAATGCCTTTACCTTCACAATAAACATTTTTCTGATATAGTTTTTGATTAAAGAATTAAAATGACTCATGATGAATGGAAGCAGACGAAACATCGTTTGGTCGGTTTAAATAGTTATAAATCTCATTATTGGTTAAATCCAAAAATGTATACTTGATAAGAACAAGTAATTGATTCTGTTATTTTATATATTTTTCTCTTTCAATAATCAATTCTGTGGTTTTCTTCAGTTTATTCAAATTATTTCAATATCAACGCTAAAGAAAGGAGTCCATTTGGTCTTATGACTAATAAACGTTTCTTTATTGATCTCAAAGGCAGTTATTGAAAAGCTCAAGTTTTAATGATTTCCTCGATATTGAATATTCATTTATTACGGAAAATTACTTCGGTTATTCACAGCATATTTGAGTAGTTTGATATGAACTCAGTAAATATTATAAATGTAGACATCTGATGAATTTTCACTAAAGATTTATCTAGAATGAGTACGTTTGGTTATAACCAACGATGGCGAACTTAAACTATCATAAGCCAAGTGTGACTCTTTGTGTACTGATTGAATTACTTTAAAGCTAAAGATTGGAAATAAATTAAGTTGATTCAATTTAAAAGATTCACGAATGATAAACCACTAAATGCGTAGTACATTAAATAACGTAAATGCAACTAGTTGATGATATAATCAGCTCACAAATTCAAATATGAATAAATTAATGTACTCAAAATAACTATTTAATCAAAAAAAAGTTAAAATTGAACTTGAAACAAAACTACCGCCAGAAGCTGTTGATCCAATGGAGTCAAGTATCACTTATCAATGGATTGAATCCAAGGAGATAATTCCTGAGTGAAAATAGACTTTACCGTTAAAATCATCTGTTTAACTGACAAAGTTGTAGGATTTTTTCGTGCCTGTCAACCAAATAAAATTGAAACTGTTGAAGTTTTGCTCAAACTATGGATTCATTCGAAACTGGCGATAAAATCACAATAGTGAACCGTTCAAAGGAACATCGTATTAGCAAGGAATTAATTCGTGAGATACCTTATTTTGAAAGGATGTTGAGCCATGACTTAAAGGAATCAAAGGAAAACAAAGTTGAACTGGATTTCAACGAACAAGCCTTAAAAGTGATTCTCAATTGTGTTGAACTTGATTACATGCTCATTGAAATGGCAACCGTGATAAATTTGTGCAACATAATCGATTATTTTGGTATGGACAATGATTTGATGGATGATTGTGTTACCTATTTTCATGACAATTTTACGATTGAACATCTTCCCATTGTTGTACCTCAAGTTACTGCAGCATCTAGATGTATCAACTCAGAAGCTCTCAATGGTTTCATCTGTCGCCATTTCTTGAAGATCGCAAACACAAAGGTTTGGTTAAATTATCCTATTGAAATAGTTGAATACATACTTAATCTTAATCTGGTGGTTCATTCCGAAAAACAAGTTTTTAATGTTATCTCTAGATGGGTCAATAATGATTCTAGGTCTAGAATGCGGTATGCTGAAAGATTATTATATTTAGTCCGATGGCATCACTTTACAGATGTGGATTTTTCAGAAATAACGAAAAATGAATTTCTTAAATCTGCAGGTTTCCATCCAGTATTGTGGCAGCGTAAAAAACGTAATTGTCATCGTGCTTTCAACCGAGTTAATCAAAATTATTTCATCATGATCGAACATTTGATTGGTACAAATTTAAACGTCAAAGTAATTGATTCTAATTTTGTTCAGTTGTTCGGTCGAGAAGTCGAATTAGATGAATCAATACCATTAGACGTTTTTCATGATGAACATGTTTCTGATATCTTTTTTGATTCTGGAAAGAGAGGAATTCGAATCGATTGGAGCCGCAATAAATATCGTTGGCTTGACCTTTCAACTTCTAGAAACTATTATTCTAAAATCGAAATATACATTAATGGAAGAAAAGAGTGAGTGAAATTATTCTGTCATTTCATTGCATATTTTCATTCTCACTGATATATTCTTATAATTTTATCTGCCGAGCTAATGTTTTTCACATCTTTGTGAAGATTAATAATTGCAAAATATTTAAACAAAGGGAACTGAATCTCAAATATGGAATTGTTTAACAGAATGATTGAACATATTACATGAAAAGTATTGATTGTCATTGTCAATCAATTATAAATGTGTCTTGAAGCGAAAAAAAGCCTCAAAATTTAGCCTAAAATCCGTAGAATGTCATTCGTTAGAAAGGCAGCTTATGTGATTCAAATGAAACCTTGATTTTGACTTATTTTCATTACATTCGATCATTTCTGGTGATTAATCAAAAAATTTTCTTATTGATTCATTTATTCAGAGCAAAGAGCTTTGCACCTGTTAGCCACGGCAATCCAACATCATCACCAAACGGTGTTATTGAAAATGCACACCTCGAAACTACAGAAAAGTTTATTTGGCTTTATAAATTTCGTCATTGTGCATATATTCAAAGTAGTTGGCATGAGAAGTTCGACCATAAAGATTATCACGCTACTTTTTTGGGTGATAATATCTATATGTTGACAAGCAGCCGTTATTTTATTCGGTTTGACTCTGTTTTCCAGGAGATCGAGAGGTCAAGATTTAAAAATACTTTTGGGGAATTCGAGGATTTACTTATAACTTCCAGTCAAGTTAATGATGATCGAGTTATTGTGGTGGATAAGACCACAAAAGACTTCCTCTGTTACAACGTCAAAAGTAAAGAATGGAGTTCAATCGATGTTAAGATTAATAATGATTCTACTGATTGTCAAATGAACTCTGATGAACTTATAGCTTTTACTTCGGCTTTTCTTCCGATAGACGCTATCAGATCTTACATGAATCCTGAACTTTCATAAATGAAATTATGATTATTTATTTTGATATTGCCCCAATTCAGTACACAGAATTAAATCCTTGAGCTTTAGCAAAAAAAAACCAAAACTTCACCTTTGGTGAATGATTAAACTTAATAAATTTTGTAATCATTGGATTTTGTGTGATTTTATTTATTCATTCCTCTTTCGTCTTTCAATCATCAATTGAAGTATCGATATTATCGACGATGTCCCTTCAAACAAATCAATTTGCCGTGGTTGATAAATTGCATGATACAGATTTGCAGATCAAAATTAATTGACAGAAATTTTCTGCCATTGATAGATACAAAAAATCGATATCTTTTGTGTCAATATCAACGATGAAGAATGTAGCCCATTTGATCGCATGATTAGTCATAATTTTGCTGATGAACTAGAGCAGGTCAATCTCAGTTTTTTATGATAGACATTATTAGATCCTGCATTAATCGGGACTCAAATCGCTGGAATACCGATTATTTTGATAATATTTTTAAAACTTTTTAAACTGACCGCATTTAATTAAATCATTTTCTACATGGACTTTCATAATTTCATCAAACTATCTTTTTTACGACTAAAAGTCAAGCATATTGTGGTAAGTTTTGTGTTCATTGATATTCGATATTATTTACTCGTTTCTATTCGTCAGGTTGATAAATAAGGAATCCAGATCAATTTGTAACATCAATAATCCATCACTTACCACATGCTATAAATCCAACTATTATTAATAATTCAGCTCCTTTCAACTCATTTGATCATTTCTCAATTGTATGTGCAATTATTTACATCAATATAATGTCATGAAAAAATACTTACGATCGTTAGCTAAGAAAATGAACAGTTTTCATGATTTTCAGATATACATGTAAAATATCTTTCTCTTACATTTTTTTCAGAAGAAACAATGTAGAAAAAGAAAACCTTTTTTTTGGTTTAAAAGATTTTTGGCTCAACCTCATATGCAAAATTTTATATCGGCTCTGATCAACAATAGCAAGACTGAAGCATGTGCAATCTAATTTCTAATTATTAAGGAAATTTAAAATAAATCGACAACGAGTTTTAATTTAATGATTTTAAATTTTTGATACAACTATTAAATAACTTTTTAAACGAAAAATTTTTTAAACTTTGTCGATTTACATCATTAACTAGTAATTCCCTGCATCACTTGATCATCGACTAACTTGATTTCCTTGAGTTTTGGCTTTTGGCTATTTCAATTTCTAGCTACAATTTCACGATAAATTATCACTTGGGTTCAATCTAAGTCTTTATTCAGCAAACAAGTTGTTATTTATAATTTTATTTTCATGCGAAAGCATCAAATATCCATTAGATTCAAACTGCGATACAACCTGCTAAAAATTAGATAATATTCGTAAATATTATTGACATTTCTGTAAACTGCTAATTGATACAAAATAAGTTGATTTAGGACAATCGGTTGCGAGCCTAAAAAGAGTTAATTTGCTCGTTAAATAGCAAAAATTGGCTATTTTCAGTTGATCCATTACTTGTCATTGGTATCGATAGCTCACTATTTTCACAATATTGCCACTGGCAACCAAAATAATTATCATGTTGCCGCTCAACCATTTATTTGTTTTGTTTCCCTGAATTCGGGTATAAATAAGTTTTATTTATTGCAAATGTTTCAGTTGAAAACGTTCCAAACGTCCCAACTGTCGTGATTCCTTTCAATTGGTCTTTAAAATTTTTCCTGTTCTATGGCTAGTCATTTGTGTCCCTTATCTAGGTTTAATTTATGTCTGATTATCGAAAGGTGATTATGAGTAAATGATTCTGTGATTATTCTGCCCCTGACCTGGATATTCATAGTCAACCAGTCAACAGTCAACAAAGTGCTTATGCATCTGTTCACCATTATCGTTACAAAATCTTCACCATCAATGATAACTCTGCATGTATTGCCTTTGAGATTTAGTTGATCATGGTAAATCTCTTTTGATCTGATACTCAAAATTTATCTCACAATCAAAATGTACATTTGAAATGCTACCCTATTTCACTGCTATTCTGAAATCATTCCATGGACAAAACATCAAGCTTACTCTCAAAATATAGTGGTCTCAGTTTTTGTTTACTTGCTTATAGTTGTCGTCTCTGCCAATCATTTTATATTGTATAAACAATAATTTATTACTGTCATTATTGTTAACCATTATCATCAGCTGGAAGCAAATGGATCAAATGGATGCATTGGTGGTCCAATTGAAACTGTCTGATCAAACAAAAGGCTTGGAAAATTTGATTAACTCCTTGGAAAAACTATCAAGACTGTGTAAAACCTTGATACATTTAGGACCTCGATATGATTGGAAAGACCTTCCTTACAATGGATATCGAAGTATCGTGAAATTGTGTAATTTATTTACAACCAATGTTATTAAACCAAGTTTGAAAAGTAACAAGATCAACAGAGAATCACTTGTTGGAGTAGTCAACCTATTAATTGCAATGTCAGAACGAGCTATAATTTTTTCCAAGGAAACTCAAAATCCTCCTGAGAAAACAATGCAGAATATTGCCAGTGAACTCTTCCTTGGAACTAAACAACATTTTGCAGATATCGAGTCTCATCTCGAGCATTATTGGGGATATCATGCTTTCTTCTGGATGACACCAAGTTCCCGTTGGGTCCCTTACCTGTTTTCCTTAAGCACTGCATTGATTCATAAATTACCAAAATCATTGCTAGCATCGATATCTAATGAAGAGTATGGAACTCTTTTGACTTACGCAACCTGGAAAGCAACCCCTTTCTTTCCCATGAATGTCTCTAATTATGTCAACAATTGTTTCAGTAGAGCTTACAGCAGTTTACTCTGCATCGTTAATGGCGTTGACTTTCAACAGTTGTTGGTTCCAAGGCAATCAAGATGGATAGTTCCAGATGATGGAAGTCGAATCACAAAACCATTCTCTGAATCAGTCGACAACAGTTTCCACGAGAATCTAAGCAACATTGATAAAGAAAAAAATCCAGTTCTCTGTTATCTTATGAAAAGCAAATCTCTCATACCCTCTGGTGACGTTATCCTTCATGCTCAAGGTGGCGGATTCATAATTGATGCTCGTCTATTCCATGAATCTTATTTACGTGATTGGGTTCAAAAATTGGATGGAGCGGTTATTGTAAATGTCATTTACAGTCGTTTTGTGCGATATCCGTGCGCACTACAAGAATTTATCGATGTTTACTTTTGGTTAACCAAGGGCGGTGAAGATGTAATCAAAACCCTTGGATTTAAACCTCGACGAATAATCTGTCTTGGAGATTCTGCTGGTTTTTTTCTTCTTTTAACTATGTGTTGTGCTGTTCGGGATATTCAATTGATCTCTCCATCGGAAATTTCTCTTTATCCTGAAGCTCTCATGGGTATCTGTCCTTTTCCTTCAATAGGAGCTCCGAATGTTTTCTCATCCTTTCTGCTCACCTATGTAGATTTTTTTCTCTCTCCTTCTTTGATTATGCATTGTATTTCATTATACAGCACAGGAATTCTGTTCGACTCTGAATGCCTTGATTTCGACAATAACAATGAGAACAATGGCTCTGAGACATCATCACCGCCCTGGTTGAAAGAAGCAACAGCTTTAACATTTTTCGAAAATTTTTATCATACTTGGATCAAAGAAGGTAAAAGTTGGCATGACTGTGATCCAGATGAATTTCATTCTCGAACCAACAAGATAGCATCTCGCATACCGTTACCTTATATTTCCCCTCTATTATCTTATGATCTCGACGCTATTAATGATTTGAAATTATCCTTAATCTCAACTGAATTCGACCCCTGTTTGGACCTGTGCATTGAATTAGCCAAGCAGTGGAAAGGAAAATTATCATTTGATGTGATCGAAAACATGGCCCATGGTTTCTACGGCTATTATTCACTTAGCAATGAATGCTATAAAGCAACTGAATTTTGTTTTAAGAGACTTAAAGACGTTTGTTCATAACTTTTCACGACTAATTTAAACATACCTTTAGTGAATTTTTTTTCTTCAAATTCTATATTTTTTCTAAAAGCCTGATGAAAATTGTAATAAATTACTCAAGCAACAATTGCAATATCAAACGAAACTCAATTTTTAAATGATTTATTCAAAACCAAGCCTAGTTCTTATAAAGCTTCAACCATGATAAGCTCATTTTTTATTAACTTTCAATCACTTGTCATGTTGTGTGTACATAAAACCAACTGATGACGAAAATTTGCTTCAAGCATCAATAATCATCTCTTTGATTCGCTGAATCAAGGTTCTGAGAAGTCGAATCTTGAAATTGAAGGTAAGGATTCACCATTTAATTGGTAAGGTTATGCAAAAAACTCAATGATGAACCAAAATGAATGCTGCTCTTCAAGTTTCTAGAGATGATTTTCGTGGTGAAGATTGGCAAGCTTTCAAAAATCATGGCTGTTATTGAATCCTTGTGAGTTGTCTCATCTTATCCTGAAGCGTAATTTATTTTAATTGTGAATTAAATGAAATGTTATGCTCTTAATGCTCGTTAGAGGTCACTAGCAAGTTTTTCAAGTTTCTCCATTTTTTTCATATATAAACTTTCGCGTTTGGTAAATTGACTTCACTTCGTTGTTAATCGATTCACTTATTATATTGATTCCTCCATAAAATACCAAAAATGAATAACTTCTATTGTATTCTGATATTCCTGTTTGTTATTTCATCCCTCCATGAAGTCTGCAACGCCAACAGTAAGTAATTTCCAAACAACCTTTAGCCTTGTTTACATTGGTCACCATCATCTGTCTTTTGAAAATCAAGCATTTCGCTATTCTCTGTATTGCTTGACTTTATATGTTTCTATGTTATGTCATTTAGATTCGTAATGTTGAGCGACATTGTTGAATTTCGAATGCTTTTTACTTGAAGACTTTCTGAAAACTGACCACATATCCTATGTTTTGATTGAATCTTTTGCTCTTTTTCTTTAATATCTCCAGTTTATGGTTATAATGTTACTATTGTCACCTCATCGGACAAGGATCGAAAATTTGACAGTGTCACTGGAAAATTCAAAATTGACATGAAAGGAAAAGATGCTGCTGGTAAAAATTTCAGTCATTACATCGTTCTAAATCCTGAGTAAGTTACATTTAATACCCATCTTATCACATTTGTTTGTCAACTTATTTTCATGAAAAACTCTTATTGGTTTAAGATTGAGCTGTTGAATTGAATTTGATGACTGTAGATAAAATCCACTTTTAGAAGTATTACAAGTCTAACTGAAAGATTTCATTCTTATAGTTTTGTATTTGTGGTAAGATTTAGGTTAAGCTCATCAAAAATATTGACAAGTCGGAAATAATCGCATCATGAGTTACTTACTACCTTAACTTTATTTGATCAAGATAATTGAACCTCTTGAACCGTCCTTTGAATTGTGCAAGTATTGCTTCTAATCAATAATATATTGTCAAACAGGAAACAAATTATGGTTGATTAATAGCATGTTGATTAGATTGATATAAGTCGTTTTGTTTATCACATATGACAATGAAAATATTTTTAATAAAACATCTTGTTTACTTCTTTCAGTGGAGATGAAATAAAATTCAATAAGAGCTACTCATTCCCAGCTGCTGCACAGTATCCGATTGAAAATATCACTGACGTTCATTTGAGATGGACATTGAAATCACCATTCAACCCTATCTACTTGATCAACAAACCCAAAGTTTATTTCGACCGGATTACACTTCAGGCTAACCAACTTGAGCGAGGAATGTAAGTATCTTTCACCCACCTTTCATCTTTCGTTTGACTATTAGACCAATCAACGTAACTAATGAGTTTTTTTTCTATAGAACTACTCTTTCAACCAGAATCTACTGTGGAAAAAAGAGGAAGCCAGTAGGAATAAGACACGACGAAGGTGAACTCTTCGAAACCTGCCTTCCAGTTCCTCTCTACCCGATCCCGGGACTCACTGCTTAATCGTGACTAAAATATGGATGTCTGTCCAAAAATTCGTATATCAACAGGGTTATAAAAGTCACTTCTGTAATTGTTTATGCAATATCTTAACTGCTTAATCTAAAAATTTATGTAATGTTCGGGATAAATAACAAAACTTATTACTAATTTATTAGTAAAGTGACCATTCAATTGTTTAAAATGTATTGAAAAAAGTATAATTGAGTTTTGATTTAAAATAATCATCGTTCTAGGTTAGGGGTTCAAGGCTTTCCCAAAAGAATAACAATTTTGAACTTGAGTTACAATTTAGCTGCTATTTACAAGAATATTTTGCGGGGTTGTTGGTTCATTCGCTAACAAATTGCATTTTCCAGCATCAAATCTTTACAACACTGAACAATCAAGCCGTCAGCATTTGGAATTTTTGGCACGCAAAGCTCTCACTACCCTGGAAGCAGATTCCCGACCGAGGATAGAGCAGATGAATGAACTTGTTTCAACAAGATTATCAAAATTGATTCCAGTTTCAATGCCCATACCATGAAGCATATAAACTAGATCTTCCGTGGCTACATTTCCAGTGGCACCTGGAGCGTATGGACATCCACCGAGACCGGCGATTGACGAGTCAAATGTTGAAATACCAAATTGGAGAGCAGTATAGATATTGGCCAAAGCCATTCCAAAAGTATCATGGCAATGAAGAGCTAAACAATCCAACGGAATGCGACGAGTTACTTTTTCTAATAACCTTTCCATTGTTCCGGGATTTCCAACACCGATTGTATCTCCAAGAGAAACTTCATAACATCCCATTTCATGCAATCGTTGTGCATATTGAGTAACCTTGTCGGGATCAACTTGACCTTCATATGGACAGCCAATGACACAAGACAAATATCTAGAAAAAATGAAAATCATTAGTTTAAATTAAGAATCTGTCATGATACGAATATCATGCTAAATTTTTAAATACTAACCCTCTGACATTAAGGCCTGCTTTCAATGCCACTTTCATTATTTCTTCAACTCGAATAAAACCCTCTTCGATAGAGCAATTAGTATTGTTCCTGTCGAGAAAACAATTTATAAATGCATTAGTTGCAGCAAAATCAGCATCCAGATTTCACGTGTTTTTTCTTTATCGGATAATTGTTGAAAACGGAAAATTGCTCATTGAGTGGACCTACTTTGAGAAAGCTTCTGTAGCTGCAGAGAAAACAGCAATCTCTTTGACACCGGATTTGATCGCATTTTCCAATCCATTCAGATTTGGCACCAAAACAGGATAACTCACATCATGTTTCTTTTCAATTTGACTGTACACTTGTTTATTATCAGCCATCTGAGGTACCCATTTTGGTGAGACAAATGAAGTAACTTCAATCACCTTCAAACCACAATTGTTCAACCTGTTGATTAAATCCACTTTTGTAGACGTTTCGATCACTTTTTTCTCATTCTGTAATCCATCTCGAGGTCCAACCTCAACGATTTTGACTGGAGATGGGTAAAGCCTTAAGTTGTTGAAGCTCTACAAAAAAAGAGGGAAAACATTCATTAGAAATCACTGATTTAATTATTTTAAAATTCACTAACCCGAGAGATTAACCTGTTGATTGATGAAGCCATCACAGCAATTGATTGTTAAGTAAACACAGCATGGTTAGCTCCTTTTGTTAACAATTATCTAAACAATTATTTACTGATATCACTATTGATAAACAATCATACTTGAAAAGATGGATAAAAAGATATCCTATCTAAAGTATCAGTATCCGTATATCAATTAAATATGATATTTTGCTTGATTTTTCATTAAATGGCACATTCATTAATTTATAGCCCAATAAAAAAAAGAAATTTAATATTCAAAAGGTCTAAAGATGCCAGAAATATAAGATTAATCAAAAAGATCTTATAATTGCTAATGCATTGGCTTCACACTACAGTAGATCTACTCGATCCCATTCCAAGATTTGCTACTCATGATCAAAGCAATTTGCAAATAATTTTTCCATTTCAATAAATTGAAAATCATCAAACTTATTCATCAAAATGACAAATAAAGCTTTGAAAGGTATTAAAGGTAATTCCATGTGCACTTCAATGTAAAACTAATACAAATGAATATTTTGATGAAAAGCAAATTTGTAAATAACGTCAACTTTATAAGATCAGCAACTAAAAGGGGAAATTTTATTGAATTATTCAATTAAAATTAAAACCAATGAAACTTCAATGTATTGCCTTCACTGGAGCATCATTACCAAACTTATTGATCACATTGGTTACATAATTGATGCTTTCATCAATCTGTTTATCATTAAAACCTTTCAATTCAAGAAACTCTTTCAAGCTCACACAATTAACCCACTCTTGATATGTACAATTATAAATTGATCCTCCTAAATAACAAGGTAAATCCTCTGTTTTGGTTGTTAACTGGTTGACAACTGAGTGATCTGATACAGCAATCAAATCTCGAATGAATCCAGGCAGAATAGTTCGTATTATTGTATAAATGGTTTTAAATTTCCAGTCCATATTACAAAATGTCAGCGATTCAATAAACGGAGGATAAATGAAGACCAAAATGTTGATAATTTCCTTGATGATGAACAAATCAATCTTTGAATTGGCACAATCAATAATCAATCTTGGCTTGCAATGGTTAACATCGATAATTTTAATCATTTTCTCGACACTCCAAGAAACGTATTGATAAACAAGTGGAAGCAGATATTTTGGTGGTGAAGGGAAACACAATCGTAATATTAATGTTGGTGTTCCGCCGCAATTGGAAGGTACAAGAGTAACAAAAGTAATGGAATGCAATTCTTTCGGGAAACTTTCAGCTTTCAATGAATTTATTTTATTTTCCAATTTCCATGAGAATAATTTCTTTGCTGATTGTAAGGCTCGTTTAGAAGACAAATTAGTTTCCAGAAAAGCTTTCATCACGTAGTTTGATTGACTTATCAATTTCTGGTCAGCTTCATCCCAAGATGCATATTCTGGACAGTTGATTAGCTCTTTACGTAATTGTTCAACATCATCAATCGATCTGCAATTTCAAATTATCGTAATTTTTATTTTTAAGAAACCATTATTAGAGGTTTGATTTGATTTATCGCAAATTTGCAAATGATTAAACTTGATATTGGATCATGAAAACTTGTATATTTTGGGTAAATAAGGGGTTGAGAGTTTAATAAATCAATTTTTAGCCAGACTTACCTTGAATCTTCCCTGGGTTCATTTGATATTTTATCACTATTCACAACCATGTTTGGTTTTGCTGCGTCAGTTGATATTGCTGAGAAACAAATTGAAACAATTGAATATCTATTTTGTTATTTCAACTTGAGTTTTGAAATGAAGTTTGACTAGACACTGGAACTGATTAAGTTTATATTCAAATTGTCTTTACATCTTGAAAGGCTTTGGTTTGATTTTCCAGGTGAAAACCTGTTAGTCCAGGTTCATTTCAAGAATAAGTGTTTCTCTTTGTACTTTCATCTAACCATCCAAAGTAAATGATTGCATGACTTCACCTTTATTGCCATGATTTCCGGGTCTAATCAACAGTGCACAGAATGAAATTTAATATTAAATCTATTAGGTTTTTTGAATGAGGTTTTGTCACAAAAGTCTCTCGACATCAATAGTTTTATGAAACAGATTTGAATCTATGAGTTTGAGTTTGAGTTGAACTATGACAATCTGACCTCAATTGAACATAAATATGTGATTTATTTAACCATTTATTTGATCACAGACTTAACATAACAATCAGAGATAATTATATTGTCCCAAATCATTCATAGCCTAAGGTTACTTTTATTAATGATTTAAAGTGCTTCTTCCTCGTTTTATAAGTCAATGCCCTTAGTTATTTGTAATGTAAGACAAAGTTAATGATTGTTGAACAATTTTTTGAATAACACAATGAAATGGTAATGTTATTAAAACAATTGCACTTAGATGAGACTCTAATTGGGATTGATTGTCAAATTAATTGCAATCAAATCAAACTTACAATGTAACTTTTTAAACAAATCGTATTGACAAGTTGAGTGCATTTTTTAAAGCTCCATCTAATGGTCGTGAAAAGATCTATTAAAGTTGATTACCAGGAAAGAGAGATTTATGCTCACTAGATGACGCTGATTTGGTGATATCATTTTATCGTAATTTAAATGAGATTTGATAACAATTTATCGTAAATTAATTGCGCTAGAATCCAATCTTAAATTAGTAACTCTTCATTCAAGGGTTACTAATTTCAAATGAAGTTTACTAATAAATCATAACTTTTTTTATGAATGCAATTTGTTGGCTCTTCGATTGTCCAATTAATATCAGATAATTAACTGCTATTAATTATCAGCCAGTTATTACCTAAAGGTATTATTTTCTTGATTTTCTTGATTCACTGAACTAATGTTAGTTCTCATCCTTTCTTTGTATCAAGTCTAACTCATTCTGCATCAAACTTTTGTTGTACTCCTTGCATTTCTCACAGCTTCTGATTACACCTAATGTTATAACTCATTGTTGATTTTAAAATGAAAAATATAATTTTTGTAACAATTTACGTTCTTGTGTTAAACTTAGTTCATTCAAGTGTCATAAGAGACGATGAGCTTTATATAATCTACGAAAAGGGTCAAAGTGGTGAGTAAAATCTTAAATATTTGAAGTTGCTCTGCTAAATTTTGGTAATTGATCCTAACTAACTAACTTTGCATTTGATACTCGACTTTTAGTTTATCTGTACAATGTAACTTTATTCACGACATCGGATCCATCCAAGAAATTTGAATCTGTTGAAGGACAATTCTTGATCAATCTTGAAGGGAATACGGATTCTACTTTTGATGTAAATAATTATCTTCCCCTTGACCAAAAGTGAGAATAGCTTGATACTCGATCTTGTTTGTTTGCAGTAACTGTTACAATTTTTACCCTAATAGGTCTAATAGCATAAGTTTCAATGAGAGTTACATGTTTTTGTTAACAACCACACATTCATTGGAAACAATCAACAAAATCAGTATAAAATGGACTGGAAATGATCATGCAATGTACCTTAATCATACTGTCTATGTTGATAAAATTGTTTTGCAGTTAGTGACGGAAAGGTAAGTTCAGATGCATTGGAATAAATTCAAACTAAAATGCTTTTTTCAATATTTGTACTAGAATTCCGATTCCGACTAAAATATTCTGTGGACAAAATGATAAACCAACTGCACTCGAACCAGATAAAGGTGAATTGATGACTCAATGTTCTTTTGGTCCACTTAATTGGATTCCTTGGTTAAACTTCAACATCCCAAGTAACATCAAGGCAAATCTGGTTCAACTACATATTGTACAGCATTAAACTTTCTGGTATCTTGGACATTCCAGAATTTATTCTTGATGAAATTTCATCAATAAAGTCGACGAAATTTAATATTTACTCACTAGACTAATTTCAGAGCTGGATGGCTCATTAATATGAGAAATAATTAAAGTCAATGATTTCAACACTAATCTAGATCAACATTAACTAACGAGTTTGTAAGCCTTAAGGTAATTTTGTACCTCAATTGAGTCAATTTTACTCTCTGACAGAGAGAGTCTCTGTGCTCTGCAAACCAGCTGAAGAAGCAACCAGTTGCTTCAACAGTCGGCTTAAAACCGGTTTCTTTGTAATTTTTTTATTGTGTTACCTCTTTACTTCTTTATACACAAGATATCATTTTAAGAAATATTTATTGTTATTAAATGTATCGACCTTCGTCCATGTTTGAAGTACCAAAAATTGTTTTAAACAATGTCTAATGTTATTAATAAATTCACCCGAAGGAAACCAATCCAATCGGAAGAGGATAAGACTCAGCTTAAGCGATGTTTAAATTCATTCGATCTCATTTCATTAGGTAAGTTCATATTTACCCTGACAGTTCCAGCATTAATATATTAATATAATAATATTACATCGTAGGGTCTAAGTTTAGAAACAATCACCTTTGTCTTGGTCAACCGTCTTTTATATTTTTCTAATAGTTTGTGTTTTGAAAAGCTTCTAGATGCGACTTGACTTGAATATTATTTTCATTCTTACAGGTGATTCTTACTTCTTAGGTACATGTAATTTACATGATGTAAACAGTTGACAATATCATTACGATCTTAAATCTTTGTTTCGAATACATAAAATATCTATTATATTTCAATACTTATTCATGCATCCGTTTTTTATGCCAAGCTCAATTTTTAACCGTTTCAATTTTTTGTCTGGTTATTGATTTATGGTTTGATCTCAAATTATTAATGGCTTTAAATATTTTTGTGTAATGTCGATTTTTGCAGCTGTTAAATATCTAGTTCCATTGTTTAGATAATTTCAGGTGATTCTGGTAGATATTGGGTAATAACTTTACAGTTGATGTGTAAAACTTAAGGCAAGAAATAGTCTTTTTGAAAACAAAAACTTCTCTACTTCAAATGGGTCTTTTTATCAGGAAACTTTAATCGTTTTTTTTTGCTTTCCAGGTGTTGGCTCTAGTTTAGGTCAAGCTGTCTATATAATAATTGGTCAGATAGTTAGTCGAAAAGCTGGTCCATCAGCTTTAATCTCATTCGGCTTTGCTGGCTTAGCCGCGTTTTTATCAGCAATGTGTTTTGCTGAATTTGGTAGTATAACACCAAAAGCAGGATCAGCTTATATTTACGCATACGTTACTGTTGGTGAATTGGTTGCCTTCACAATTGGCTGGAATCTTTCACTTGAATATCTTGTCGGTCAGTTTACCAATCAATTGCAAAGTCACACTTAATATCATTTACGATATCTTGCGTTTCCAGGCACAGCATGTTCTGCTCGTGGTTTATCTGAATACCTTGATGGATTCCTAGGTGGAGCATTTTCCAACATCTTTAAAAATTATTTTCCAATCAATATTCCGTTTTTTTCTCCATATTTCGACCCAGTATCATTTATGACAGTTTTAGCTGTTTCTGGTAAGTGAACACAGCAGCTTTAAATTAACTATTCTGATTCAATCTAATTAACATCTCTATTTTTCTCCTCAGTAATTATCGGATTTGGGGTTCGAGAATCAATCAGAGTAATTCATGTTTTCAATCTGGTCAACCTTTACGCAACCTTTTTCATAATTCTTTGTGGCTTGACGGCTATTGAATGGTCAAACTGGAGATTACCAGAATCATCGATACCAGAAGGATACGGAGTTGGAGGCTTTTTCCCTTATGGTATCAATGGAATGTTATCAGGAGCAGGAACAGCTTTTTGGGCTTTTATTGGTTTCGATTGTATCGCAACTACTGGAGATGAAACTGAAAATCCCAAGAAACGAGTTCCATATAGCATTTTTGCTACTGTTATAATTGTCGCCTCGGTTTTATTTTTGTCCAGTTTTGTTGCAACTCTAGTTACACCTTATTATTATCAAGATACAGCATCACCATGGGATGAAATATTCAAGATGCTAGGCTGGTCAGGCTTTCCTATTTTAATTATAACAGCTGGAGCCTTAACAAGCTTGATTGGAGCCGTTTTTGGTGCTCTTCATCCGCTTCCAAGAATCCTTTATGCCATGTCTTCAGATAGATTAGTTTATTCATTTTTTTCCAAAATCAATTCTAAAACACAAACACCATTTTTTTCAACTTTACTGGCTGGTTTTCTGGCTGCTCTTTTGGCTGCTTTGTTTGAATCTCGGGATCTCGCTGATCTTGGTTCAATTGGCACTTTATTAGTCTACGCAATTGTTGCCGGAGCAATCTTAGTTTTAAGGTAAAAGCTCAATTTTTAATCTTAAAAGATTGTAATCATTTTCATATTAATACTCTAGATATGTCGATTTAAACGAGACGGAAGACTTGCTTATGCCAGACGACTATCCAAAAAGATGGGACGAAAGATTGATTCGAAGTTACTTCAGACTAAAATCAACATCTCATCTAATCATGTTTCTCCTTAAAAGTATTTGTAAGTTTTATATTTCATTAACGATTGATAATGAGAATTAATCAATTTTTTATTCCAATAGATTTAATGATCTTCGTTCTGGTCACAGCTCTATTCATATACCAACAGTTCATTCCTGAAAGTTCATTGGCTGGATATTTTTGCTTAATCTTAGCATTAATAACAGTTTTTCTTATAGTCGTTTTAAGTAACCAACCTCAAAAAACACGCTATGGTAGCAAAGATTACATAGTAAGTTTATTCAGAATAAAATTAAACCCTTTGAAGAGGATTTGTATTAATTTAGAAATTTAATAATCCATTATTTTTAGGCTCCTCTGGTCCCCTATCTACCATGTTTAAGTATTTTCGTAAATCTTTACTTGATGAGTCGATTGACTCTTTTGACTTGGTCTCGATTTACCATTTGGACCCTTTTCGGTAACACATGAAAATCAATCAAACTATAAAATAGCATTAATAATTATTTCATTATTTCAGGTGCTATTATATATTTTACTTTTGGAATCAAAAACAGCATTGGATATCTAAAAAAATCAAACAGTTCAGATGATTTTGAAAAATATACTCGTAGGAAAAGCTATGGAACATTGGAACACTAAATTTCACCTGAATTTGAGTCAAAATCTAAAATGTGACTTTTTTAATATAATTTTTGACCAAATTGTACTTTTTGTTGATTATTACAATTTAGCTGATATTTTTTTGTTTATCATGTCATTGTGTTATTCATTTTTTCAAAACTATAACTAACTACCCATACTGCTAGTACATGTATTTGATTTGCATGTTAATAGTTCTTAATGGTCGATTGTAAAACTTCAGAAGTTTTGAGGGGGGAAATTCACCAAGTTGCTCCTCGCATTTCATATGTTAGAGGCTACTTAGGGCCATTTTATGCTTATTATGTTCGATATTATCGTTATGGATAATAATTATCGATATTTTAGCCCGGCAATTGAACATATGTTAAATTTCGATAATACTCGATATTTTGGCCCAGCCTCAACATCGATATCGAAAAAAAATGGATATTGCACATCACTAATTCTGGTCATCACCTGTGACCTACTCTACTTGATTCCACTCAAACCCAAACCTATTATTTTACTAAATTTAAGTTTTCGACAATGGCTTCATCGGAGACTAATGACCAACTTACAATTGTGAATCGGTCAATGGAACATCGAATCAGTAAAAAACTAATTCGTAAAATACCTTATTTTGAAAAGATGTTGAGCCTGGATTTGAAGGAATCAAAGGAAAACAAAGTTGAACTGGATTTTGATGAAAGGGCTCTGAAATCGTTTCTCAATTGGATAAAACTTGGTTATATATTCATCGAGATGGATTGTATAATAAATCTTTGCACCATAACAGACTATTTCGGGATGGAAGATCATTTGATACGAGATTGTAAGAATTATTTCAGTGAAACATTTTCTAGCGAGTATCTTCCTGTTGTTATACCTCAAGTGACTTCAACATCTGCATTGGTCAACTCTGATACTCTCAATACTTTCATCTGTCGTTATTTCTCGAAAATAGCAAACACAAATGTTTGGTTGGATTATCCGATTGAAACAATTGAGTACATTTGTGCTTTGGACCTGATGATTCATTCAGAATACCAAGTTTTCGATGCAATCATCAAATGGGTCAATTTCAAAGCTCATTCTAGAAAGTGTTATCTTGAAGGATTGTTGAAATTAGTTCGATGGTGCCATTTGGATGATAAAGATTTGCCTAGGATAAAAGAAAATGAACTGTGTGAATCGTCTAATTTAGAATCAGAATCATCCAGTCATTGCAAATCCAAATGTAACTGTGGCATGGATCGAACTAAACAAGGTTGCTTTGTCGCGATTGAAGAAATAAATAACACACATTTACGTGTCAAAGTTCTTGACGGTAATTTCCAGCCATTGATTAATGAAGTAATTCAATTAGATGGATCATTGCCTTTGCATCCTTTATATGGTAAATATGTTTCTAATATTCCATTTGATTCTGGAAGACAAATGATAACAATTGATTGGAAACAGAACAAATATCGTCTACTGAATTTTGTTTATTATAAACATCATTACTGTGAAATTCATAGATTAATTTTTGGAGCTCAGAACAGGTTAGTAATCCATAATCCAAGGTTCACCTTCCGAACCTAACGCGAAGTTTCCTCTTTGATGAATACTTTTAATGTTCTAATGTTTTATAACATTTTTGTACATTTCAGTGTGGAATCCCATATTGAGAAGGAAAAATCATTTAATGAAAATTACACACGTAACCATTTACTTCTCGAGGCTGCCGAAAAGTTTATTCTTGTTGATAATGATGAATATAAGTTCAGATATTGGGAGACTCCATCTACTATGGACATTAATAATGCTGATGTCGCCAACTATTTTTACTTGTCAACTATTTTGGACAAAAATGTTTATGTGCTGACAAAGGATCTTGATTTTTTCCAGTTCAACATTGACCGTAATATTTTTGTAAAGATGAGACTTGAAAGGTTTATGGATAAATTGAAATTCAATAACTTAATTTTAACATCCAAGCTAGCTGGTGATGATGGAGTTATTTTGCTTGATAAATCCACAAAAAATGTTCTCTGTTTCAATGTCACCACTCAAAGATGGAAATCAATCGGTCGAATCATTGATTCTAAAAGCGAATTTCCTGTTCTTAAAACTTTTACCTTTGGATTTGTATCAACTGACTCGATTAACCTTTGTTTGGAACGTGAATTAACACAATAAAAGAAAGTTTTTTTGAAATTTTTAAAATTACAACGAAATTAATAGTATTGTCTATCCAACAATCCTATCCTGTCCTATCAAGTGCAGGTATACTCCATGAAATATGGATTGGCAATAATCTAATAGCATTTGAAATAAAATGTTGCTTAAATTTAATCGGTGCTTTAAAATGAAAGATTTTACAGTTAGCGGAGAAAAATAGAGCTGCACTTCAATTTAATTAATATGTCAATCAATCCGAATCCAGGATATCTTGATTTATTTCACAGTGATAAACTTTTCGAGTATCGTATTTGGGCTATAGATGTTCGATATTATCGTTATCTTTAATAATTTTCGATATTTTGGCTAAAATATCGATATCAGGAAAAATGGATATCGCACATCACTAGTTTTGGTCATCACCTGTGACCTGTCCTACTTGATTTGCCACTATTCAACTCCTAAACCCAAACCTATTACTTTTCTAAATTCAAGAGTTCAACTATGGATTCATTAGAGACTAATGACCAACTTACAATTGTGAATCGATCAATGGAACATCGTATTAGTAAAAAACTAATTCGTAAAGTGCCTTATTTTGAAAAGATGTTGAGCCATGAATGTTTGGAATCAAAGGAAAACAAAGTTGAACTGGATTTTGAGGAAAAGGCTCTAAAATCGTTTCTTGATTGGATTGAACTTGGTTATATATTCATCGAGATGGATTATATAATAGATCTTTGCACCATATTGGACTATTTTGGAACAAAAAATCATTTGATACAAGATTGTTTTAGCTATTTCAGTGAAAAATTTTCTAGCGAGTATCTTCCTGTTGTTATACCTCAAGTGACCTCTACATCTGCATTGATCAACTCTGATACTCTCGATACTTTCATCTGTCGTTATTTCTCGAAGATAGCAAACACAAATGTTTGGTTGGATTATCCTATTGAAACTATTGAATACATTTGTGCTTTGGACCTGATGATTCATTCAGAATACCAAGTTTTCCATGCAATTATGAAATGGATCGACTTCAAAGCTGATTCTAGAAAGCGTTATTTTAAAGGATTGTTGAATTTAGTTCGATGGTGCCATTTGGAAGATAACGATCTATCTAAAATAAAGGAAAATGAATTGTATGAATCTTCTGATTTGGAACCAGAATCAGGCTCTCATTGCAAATCTAGTTGTAATTGTGGCTTTAAACGAACTAAACAAGGTTGTTTTTTCGCGATTGAAGAACTGAATAACAAACTTTTTCGAGTCAAAGTTCTTGACGGTAATTTCCGGCCATTGTTTAATGAAGTTATTCAATTAGATGAATCATTGCCTTTGAATCTTTTATATGGTAAATATATTTCTGATATTCCATTGGATTCTGGAAGACAAATGATACGAATTGACTGGAAACAGAACAAATATCGTCTACTAAATTTTGATTCTTATAAACGTCATTACGTCGAAATTCATAGATTAATTTTTGGATCGCAGAACAGGTTAGTAATCCATGTCCTAAATTAATATATTTGCCTTGAATTATTATCCAATCATTTAAGGAAAATTCCTCTAGCTCTTAATGAATACTTTTAATGTTTTATAACATTTTTGTACATTCTAGTGTGGAATCCTATATTGAGAAGAAAAAAACAGACGACTTAAGTACTATGTCAATATATAAAACTTTACTTCTCGAAGCTGCCGAAAAGTACATTTTTGTTTGTAGCGATGACTATGAATTCAAATGTTGGGTGAATCCATCTACTCATGGTATTTATTTTGCCTTCGATTTCGATGGACTTACTCACTTGGCAACTGTTTTGGACAACAATGTTTATGTGCTGACAAGTGATCTCAAGTTTTTCCAGTTCAACATTGACCGTAATATGTTTGAAAAGATAGAACTTCCTAGCGTTGAAAATAAATTGAAATTCGATAACTTGATTTTAACATCCAAGCAAGCTGGTGATGGTGGAGTTATTTTGATTGATAAATCTGCAAAAGATGTTTTCTGTTTCAATGTCAGTACTCGGAGATGGAAATCAGTCGGTCGAATTATCGATTGTAAAAGTGAATATAATGTTCTTAAAACTTTTACCTTTGGATTTGTATCAACGGACTCGATTAACCTTTGTTTGGAACGTAAATTAACACAATAAACGAAAGTTTTTTTGAACTTTTTAAAATTAAAACGAAATTAATAGGATAGTATTATCTATCCTCAAGTTTAGTTATACTCCATGAATGCCAATAATCTAATTGTTAATATCATTTGAAATATATGTTGATTGAATTTAATCGGTGCTTTAAAATGAACGATCGAACAGTATGCGGATAAAAATAAAGCTTCAATTCAATTTCATTAATATGTCAATCAATCTGAATCAGGATATCTTGAGTTATTTTACACCGATAAACTTGGTTCAAACATTTATCCTGACTAACGTTATTTAAAATTTTGGGTTAAAATTGATAAGCTCATTCATTTGAGGCATCATCCATGATCTCATCTTGATCAGTTCCAGTGTTAGGTGAGGCCACTCCTATTGATTCATAATATTTCTGCACAATCAAAGGCCAATTGACAACTTCAGATATGGGTTTTGATTCATGAATTGCTGCTTCCAAGATTGACATACCAAAGTGACTAGTCATTTGAGTAGCTGCTGACATGTGTGATGATTTGCGGCTTAATAATTGTCTGGCAGCGATTACACTTGGTCTTTGATGAGTTAGATGACCAAAAGCTTTCTTAGCCAGAGCCATTTCTTTCATCTTATCTTGATCTGTAAATATCAAAAAATAATTAAGAAAAGTTAGGAATTTAATAAACATATAATCCTTTGCGTGTTTACTACTTACGAAGTTTATCTTTTATTTTATGAAAAGCTAAAATTGGTAAACCAAGAATTAAATTGATCGGAGATGGAGTTGAAAGGGTTCGATTCATGTTCCTTATCAACTTGGCCCGTCCAAATTTCCATTCAATATCAGATTGAGCCTCGATTCGTTGATAAGTATTGGACATCATGGCAATCAACAAATTTATCAAAACAATTACAGTAACCATCATGTAAATACCAAATACCAGCTTCATGATGATTTTGGCAAAATCGGGAGATAAATGCATTGGAGGCATTGTGTCCGGTTCAACAAGACCAAAGAGCGCATAGAAAAGCATCTCGAATGATTTACCTGGTTTCAAGAAATGCTGGCCAATTGGTATTTGAGTCATATTCCAGCTTTCTGGTGCTCGATAAACAGGTTGATAAATGGCACAAATGTGAAGGGTAAAACCAGTCAAAAAGATTGATAGAATGGCTAAGAAACGAAGTAAATCTTGTATCAATTCTTGAATAATCACACCCCATGGTCCAAAGAGTGGATGGAAAGTAAGAAAATTAAGAAATTCAATGAACGACAACAACATTGCAACAGCTAACAATTGATTTCGAATGTAAAGTATGTCCAATCGTCGTACATGCCAAAGATCATCAAGCACCATGTCTTGACGATCGAACACATATTCATCTAATATAAATGTTATACCATGGACAGCAACAGCAGTGAAACCAATCACCAAAATAAGAACTTTAATTCCTCCTAAACCCGATTTGTCTGATGGATTAATCATGTCAGAAACTGCAATCCCAACCAGCCATAGAGTTAGTAACCATTCATTCCAAAGAGGTATGGAATCTTCATGTTCATACAGAGCAGTTCCGGGAAACACTGTTGTGTAAACGAGAACAACTATGAAGAAAATGTGTGCCGTTAAATAAGACATGAACTTGATTATTGGAATCCTGTGGAGACGATGTCCGATTGGAGTTGATACAATAATCCATATAATTGGGCAAACAAGAAATGAGAAGAAGAGAGCGACAAATTTAAGTCCAGGCCAACGTAAATTTCCCATCCAAACGTCTGTCAAATACTTTTGAACAGCATGTTGTGATACAACATCTTTTCGATCCAATTCAATGAGAACATCGAGAAATTCAGTATTTTTATGATCTGTTGCTCTTAGTAAGGCTCCAGCATTGTTAGTTGTAGCAGCAATTGAAAGTAAATCAATCGCTATTGTATCACAATATGCCGAGGCTGTTTCTAAATCACGGGCTCGTTCCTTCTCACGAGCAGCTAAATTTTCATAAGATCGGGCCAATTTGACTGCAGTATCAATGCAAGCATCAGATACTAGGACAAATTCACGTATTGGTTTATTATCATGATTCTTTGAGCAATTCATCAAGTCCAACAGAAACTGTGCAAAAATAAAGTAAATTAGTCAATTTTTATCCACAGAGTACAAAAAGGTTTCATTTGCAAATGATCTTACTAATTTATCATCCATAAGTTGAAGTGAATCATGTTCTTTCTTCAGTAAATAGCTGAGAACATCATAATGACCAGCAGAAGCGGCATTACACAGCGGAACTTTACCATCTTTGCTTGCTGTAGTTGGATCAGCTCCACTCTCGACTAATAACTGTACAACAGATAAATATCCGTGTCTAGAAGCATAGTGAAGAGGCGTCCATCCTTTCTGTAATGGCATTTGTATCAATTAATTTTTGTTTATATATTTTAGATCGAAAGGAAAACGAACCTTATCTTGTGCATTTATCTCTGCTCCTTGGCCTAATAGCAAAGCTACCATGTCTCGGTGACCTGTTGCTGAAGCCAAGTGGACACAGGTTCTCCCTTGTCTATCTCTAGACATCAAAGAGTCGCCCGATCTGCTAATTAACAAACCAGCGACTAACATGTGACCTCCTTGTGCTGCTAGATGCATTGGAATGCTTCCCTGTAATAATCATAAATTAAGTCTAGAGTTGATTGAACCAGGTTGAAAACAATTGACTTACATGGACTCGAGTTGGTGCATCCACTTGGACACCAGTACTGTTCATAAGTAATCGAACTACACTTTCATGACCATTTTGAGCTGCCAAATGTAGTGGAGTGATGCCATACTTTAAAGGATAAAAGTTTGTTAGATTCAATGTTAAATAATATCTTCTTAAACTATTTATGTTCACAAAACTAATAACATACATCAGCGCCTGGGTCTGCAAGTGGCTTTTCACTTAGGATATTTGCAGGAACTTGGGTTAACATCTCACTAACGAAATCTGTCTGGCCATTAGCGGCAGCAACATGGAGAGCAGTAAATCCTGTTTTACGTGAACAAATTTTCCAGTCAACAGCACCTTTCAATGCATGTAATACTCTCAAATGGCCTTGTTTAGCACCAAGATGTAAGGGTGTCATTCCTTCCTAAATATTTCAATAAAGTAAAACAAAGTAATGTGTTACAATAATGTCATTATGCGTCAATTGTCAAATGATCACTTACTAAATTTTCATCAGAAGCCTTTGCTCCAGCTTGCAGTAAAAGTCTGACCACTTTAGTGTGTCCACCTTCGGCAGCCATATGTAGCGCAGTCGAACCAGTTTTCTTTATAAAGACAACACATTATGAATAAAGTTTAAATGTAAATTAAAATCGAAAAATAAAATACCTTAACTCTGGCAGACTTGACTACTTCTACATTAAATTTCATCAACTCTTTGAGGACAGCAACAGATCCTTTTGTAGCGGCAATATGAGCACATGTGAATCCATTCTTGTTAGGAACAGAGACCAATTCAGGTCGATATTGAAGAAATAATTTAAGGACTTCAGGATGATCACTTTGAGCAGCTAAATGCAATGGCGTTTGTGCTTGCTAAAGGGAAATTAAAAACAATCAAGATTAACATGAATATGCAAACAATAAATCCTTGAAACACGTACATTATCCATTGCGTTTATGTCAGCTTTCATTCCGATGAGAGTATTACATACTTCAAGTTGGCCAAATTCAGCAGCCAAATGAAGAGGAGTTTGTTTGTTCTTTAAATTGAATAATATTAAAAAAAACATCATTAGCTTCATAAAAAGTAAAGGGCCGAAAGTGAAAAATATTTACCAATGTCATTGCATCCAAATGAGCACCATATTTGGAAACCAAATGTTTAACCATCTCATTGTAACCCATTTTAGCAGCCAAGTGTAAAGGTGTCATTCCAGTTTTATTACGAACATTAACGAAGGCATTATTTGCCAGTAAAATATCAACCACATCTAGTCTACCAAGTTCAGCGGCTAAATGCAATCCAGCTCTTCCTCTCTAGATTGGAGACATTAAGATGATTTTGAAAAGTTTCGTAAATTAAGTTGAAATTTGTTAAAAGAAACTCACATCATCAAAAACATCAACACGGGCATTTTGTTGCAAGAGAATCTCAATTATTTCAGGATAACCAGAGTTCGAAGCATACAATAAAGGCGTCCAACCATTCTACATTTAAAGTATAAGAAGATTCTAATTAGTAATTGTTTGATTGTCATATAACTTTCTTACTTTAGCTGGTTTATTACAAACAACTTGAGCGTCGATTGGAGGCAGTTGACAAATTATTTCCCTCAAAACATTTGTATTACCAGATTTGGAGCAACAATGAACGGCTGTTTCTTGGTTCTGTAAACAAATTGAATAAGTTTTTGGAGTTATTAAGTTTGCAATTTCGCTCGTTGGAAGCAAATAACCTACCTGATTAGTACCAAGATTAACATCTCCGCCATTTTTAAGGAGTAGATTCATTAAAGCTCGATCTTCATTGCTTTCACGATTACCATTTGGCTTAATGGACCCAGCATAATGAACCGAGCTTTCTCCATTCTGGGGATAAAAATTGAATAAGATGCGTCCAAAAAAGTTATTTAAAGTCTTACCTTATTCTGTTGATTAATCAATTTTCCAGCGACATCACGAGAATCTCGACGAATGATGTAGTCTATCAGTACCCGTGCAATAGCAAAGTGAGCTTCTTTTACAACAATATGCAAAACATTTTCACCCTGAGTGTTTTGTAAACTAGCATCTGAACCCGCTTCCAATAGTAATTTGAATATATCAAGAAATCCCGATCTTCCAGCAATATGTAGAGGAGTTTCACCATTCTAGTAAATAACAAAGTTGATCACAATAAAAACATAAGAAACAGTTTCAACATCATTTTTAAAACAAAGTTTTGTAGCCAAGTAGAGATCTTCAATGTCGTATCCCTTTCATGTTTATGTACCGCCAAGATATCAACACAACACTTTATTGTGCTTTACAAGTCAAACTTTATAATCTAATGAGAGCTTTTATGAATATCTTTTACCTTTTCAATTGCATTAACATTGGCACCACTTTTGATCAACAATTTGGCACATGTTGCCCCTTCTTTAGTCTTAGCAGCCACATGAAGTGGAGTTTCCATATCATAAGTTGTCGCAACATGGACTGAAGCCCCAAATCCAAGTAATAACTCAACAACATGGTCTTGACCTGATTCCACTGCTAAATGTAATGGAGTTAGTCCAGCCTAGTGAAAGTTAGTCAGTTGAAACAATCAATAATCAATTAAATCAAATTGAATCAGAAAGGTTGACCTTTTCTTCTCACTGTAACATTAAAAAACATTTCTTACATTATTTTTAATGTCTATTGATTCACCACTTTTCAAAACTTGTCGTATAATTTCAATCTGTCCTCGAGAAGCTGCCATATGAATTGCTTTTGATCCATCCTGCAAATCGATTGAATAAATATTAATGAAATTGAATGAAAACCACCTAATACATCACAAATGAAATAGAAAATGATTGAACCAGAAAAAACTGATCAAACCTTGTTAGGCATATGAAGAGGAACTCCTTTCCGTAAGAAATGTAAGGCTGTTGCTGGTTGACCACATCGAGATGCAATGTGCATCAATGTATTTCCATCCTGCAATTTATAAATTAAGTCTCATAATTAATTGGCACTGAATAGTTGATAGAAAAGTTATTCAAATTGTGATAGTTAAGAAGTACTGCCAAAAACTCGAGCATTTGATTCAAGAGTTGATAGTACCTACAACCATCATTATTTGATCAATCATTAGATTTTATTACATTCTATAACATAATATGACTGAATGTCGAAGAAAATCTGAGCTAATTCATTTAATAAAGAACTTCTTCCAATTCATCATAAGTTTTGTGTTTGAGTATTTACCTTTATAAATCAGGCATTAAATCTGCCAACATAAATTAAACAATGCTATAACTTTTTTCTGTAAGATCTTGAATCATCTAAAATTTTCGATAAATTGGTTGATCAACAAACGTTACATCAGTAGAATGAATTTCGTAAAAGAATCTGGTTCCGTAATTGAGCAAAAGGCTATCGAACTTTCAAATTTGAGCTCGATTTTTTCGAATACTGTCCATCAGAGAAATTTATTACACTGTAATGCACTCATTGACTCAGTTTTTGTCCCTACAAACTCACTAAGTCTCAATTCGTAACTCAAATGTTCGAGACTTTGTCAGTACTCTCTATGAATGGACATTATGTTAACTTTTCCAGGGAAAACAATTTTTCAATTACCATTCCAATATCGTATTATTCAAATTACCAACTGTTGGTAACATTTTCAGTCTCTATCACGGATAACATGATATCATTTAATATAATAACATGAATCTTCAACTTATATGTTCAGTGAATCGGAAATAACAGTTATAAGATGAAGAGGGAAAGAGAGAGAAAAAAGTTTCTATGATTGGAGTAAATTCAGAGAAAAATGAAAAGTTGTCATGAAAATAAAAACTATATTATTCTCTCCCTTTAATAGTTGGAAAATAATCAAAGGTAAATTGACACGCAATTGAAGATGGAATGAAAAGTTGTTGGTAAAATAATGATTTCATGTTAATTGGTTAATAATGGTAGTTACCTTTGTTCGTAGATTAACATTGGCTCTAAACCTTTCAGTAAGCAAATCGACTATTCGACTGTGTCCATGTTCAGTGGCCAAATGTAGAGCAGTTCGTTCCTCACGATCAGTCAGATTAGCATTTGCTCCTGATTCATGTAAAAACTTAACAATATTTTCATCTCCATCCTGAGATGAAATATGAAGAGGTGTTTGACCATAAGCCTAGTTGAATAGACAATTTCAAGGTTAATTCATTTCCAATGCTAATATAATGGAAAGTATAAATTACATTTTGCATGTTAACATCAGCTCCATGATTGACAAAACACTGGAGTAACATCATGTCCTTGCGTCGAGTGGCGATATGAATGGGTCCATCTTCAGCTCCAGGCTTACGAGCCGCCAATTGTTCTTTTGCTTGAGCAGTCAACAGTTCACGGCAAACACCGTGATTGCCACATTCAGCGGCCAATATTAAAGGTACATTTCCATCCTGAAAGTTTCAACTCAAGATTAGTAAATTGGAAAGCTTGTGATTTCCTTAGCATTCAAATTTCTTTCCTTTCAAGATCTGTGTCAATAGTAAATCTTTGGCAATTGTTTGACCTGATCTTGATTGTAATAAATTATTCTTTAGGTCAACTATTTTCATCTTAAAGAGTTTCTAATAAGCTTTTGTTTTGTTGACCAAAAAATGAGTTCAATTCAATGATTAGGTCAAAATGTTTCTCATCTTTCCATTGAAACCTGTTAACCTTAATTAAATTATTGCTAGCATTTGGTGTTAATTTGTGTCAACAGTTTGGATCAATCTTAATCGATTAGAATTTCTTGCTAATTTTGGTTGACCATTGCATTTACATCTTGACTCAGCAAACAGGTCAATTGATATACAGGATATATTGTTGCAAGAAACTAGAGTAAACAATTCTAGATCCATCTCTTCAGTTTAATAAGCTAAGTAAAATTGTTAATCAACAATTCAAGGTTGTTATAATTACGCATAAAATGCATTTTAATTGCAATCCAAACAATCAAATGTTTTGGTTAAACTATCATACCTTGTCAGGAATCAATCTCATTGATTTTGGTGTTGATCGTAACAGCAATTGTAAAGGTGCAACTGCAGCTCCAGTTTGTTTCATCGAAATAACATGGACAGGCAATTGATCTTTGGGCTGGCATTTGAAATGAAAAACAATTAGAGTTATGAAATGTAAAAACTTTGTTTATGATGGACTTGAACTTACACCTCCAGCAATTAATGGATCAGCACCTCGCGATAGCAACAATCGGATTGTATCTTCTCTGGCATGAGCACAGGCCAAATGAAGAGCAGTGATTCCATCCTAAATTCAATTCAATTAATATTTTCAAATGGTTTATCCATAAGTTAATGATCTTCATTTATGAGAATTAAAATTAGGTAAAATCCATTGCAATATCAAAATATAGTTTGAAAAATCTAATTATATCCATAAGTTTATGATCTGTAATTACTTTTAAACCTTTGAATGAGGCTAAAAATGAAACCTATTACTTTACGATTTTGTCTAGTTTAGATATTTTTAGGTATAAATATGATGTCTAGTTTTTATTAGATAATCGGTAAGAACTTAGTTTGTTAAAAAGAGTATAAATTGCTGCAATGCTACAATTTTCATGGGTAAACCAAATAAGATGAAAACTTACCAAAGCTCTTGAATTGACGTTATAACCGATGTCAACCAGTTTTTCAATAACATTAACCCGATTGTCTCTGGCAGCAAACATTAACGGTGTCCATAAATTACCCTCGGACACAATGTTTACATCAAAAAAGGATGGATCAGTTTGATGGAGTAAAGTGTCCACAGCTAGCCATTCCTCACGTCGACAGAGTGCGATTAATCGCTGTGAAGGTGATATTAGAGACTTTGCATTTAATCCAGGATCAGTTTTAGGTGTAGCTTGTTTGGCTTTGGAGGAAGGTGAAGCTTTAGTATCACTTGGTGAGTCCATTTTAGCTGGATCCATTGAATCAGTTTCAGAATCTGAATCATCTTTATTAGGACCGGCAACCATTGAACGGACACTTTCAATGACAGCAGCATCTTTAGCGGCAGTCGATTCTTTCTTTTCCTTTCCTTCGTTGGCCAATATTTTCACTTTTTTATCTTTTCCACTTTTGTCATTTTCGTCTTGTTTAACTGTATTTTTACTAGACTCTTGAGTAGACATAATTAAACCTTTCGAATCACTAGTTGAACTAGTTTGAGTCACTTTTTGCGATGGATTCAGTATCGCAATTTTGTCTCCATTCAAAGTTGAAACAGTTGTAGTTGTAAGTAAAGTTGGATTCAAAGTTATTGATGTTGTTGCAACTGTTACTGGTGTTACTGAGGTCGTTGAAGTTGCCGGTTTTTTGCTGGTTCCAGGTAATCCTTTGGTTGGTGCCAGAGGTGTTGTTGAACCAGTGATTGTGATTGTTGTTGAGGTTGTTGTTTTTGTGGTCGTTGTGGTTGCTGTGGTCGATGCTGTAGGCAAAGGTAGCACATTTGGTTGTTTGGTTGAACCCACAGAAATGGGACCAGAAATGGTTGCACTACTTTCACCGTTTCCAGCCATCTTTACATTTTTTACGCTTTTCCCTGGTTTACCGTCATTCTGCTGCTTGGTGACCTGATCTTTACCCAATGGCTGGCCATCTTTCACAGAACCTTTTCTCGGATTATTCTCGACATTTTCCAATGGAATCGGAATTGTCTTTGCTGGATCACAAACTGTCTTGTCTTTTCCAAGGGAATCCGTTTCTTCACTTCCATTCACTATTTTATCGCCATTGTTGTTCGGCGGGTTAAAAGTTTTGTTGCGATTTTTTGAATCATCAATTTGTTTATCGTCTTTCTTTGAATCCATCTTTGGTTGAACACAATTTTCAAGAAATGATTTCGATTGTGAGTTTGATTGCGAAGGTTGACTTGAACAATTAACATCATTGTCATCTTCATCATCATCAGGCGGACTTGATTTGCTATTGTTTGACAGACTCACAGTTGTCAAGGAGGTTGAGTCCGACTCATTTTCAGGTTTACTTTGACTCAATAAAAGTTTATCATCATCTTCATTTTCATCGTCTTCTTCATCATCTTTACCTTTCTTATTAACACTTTCCCTTTCAAATTTAACTGAATCAATGATTGATTTAGGTGCTGGCGCTGGTTTCCTAGAAATGGGTGAAATCAACACTTTTGAATCATTTTGACCGTCCAATATAACAGCCAACAATTCATCTCCAGGATCGTTTATCGTCCTTTCCTCAAATTGAATCTCAGCCCTCGGAATAGACACCAATTCACCTGATCGATATTGCACTTTTACAGGTTCCGTTGATCTAACTGTTGCGACTGATGATGATGTCGATGGTTTGGAATTCGTTTCACCCACTTTACCTTCCTTACTTGATTTGCGTTTCTTTTTCTTTCGACGATTAACCAATTGTTTAGAATTACTTTTACCATTAACTAAAGCTCGTCTTTCCGAATTATCTTCATCATCGGAACTTTCCTTTGGATTATTATTGGGTTGGTTGACTACCATTTCGATTTACACTAAACATACAAAATGTTGATCGAAAATTGGCAACAAATGCTAAATTGTAATCAATCCATTAAAATCACTATTAACTTGAACAGTAAAAGATCAATGCAAAGTAAGACGTTGGATAAAATGAGAACTGAAACGAACCATTTCAATGTAAATCCTGGTAAAAACACTAAAAATGGGTTCACTTTTGGGTTTATCAAAAATTTTAAATTTCTTTAAAATTGTCCATCAATTTGAATAAATGTTAACAAACATGAAAACAATCTGTAAATTGTTGAAAGACAACTTGCAATGAACCTATCATGACTTTGTATTGCTCTTTACTAATCGATTTGTCGTTTCTGTGTTCAGATCACCGAGGTAACCAAATTTGAACGTGATCAGGATTACATTGACTGGGAAGCCCTTTGGTCATCATCTTGGTCATCATGAAGAGTTCCTAGTCACACACCAAATTATATTCAAAGTTATGATTTGCATCAATGAATCCTTTACCTTTTTTCCCTGTAACTGCTCATCATCTTGATTCATGTTGAATGAAATGTTTCCCACTTTACTGTTTTCCTTTTCATTCCAATAAGTTGAACCTTTTTTTCCAGTTAATAATCTTTAACTTGATAATTTTCAGATCATTTAAATAGTTTAATTCAACTAGACTTTGGTCAAACCCAATTGGGAATCGAGCTGATTACAATTTGATGGCAACTTGATAGGCAAAAGGTATAAAACAAATTAAAATACTATTTAATGTTGATGCCACTAATTAGTTTCTATGTCCTGATTAACAGCGATTGTTCTGGTCATTGGCCTTATTATTCAACTCTTTCATCAATTTTATAGATTCCTGGTTAAATGATTAACCTTTCAATAACAATTAGCTAATAATTAGTGTTCCAAATTTGGTCAACTTTACGTTTATTCAATGGCTAGTTATGAAGGTGGTTCAACCACGTTTTGGCCATTTCATCAACTCGGTCCCTCTTTCATTATTTCCCATCAAATTGATAACTTGTTTTTTTGCTTAATTGTTGACTACACTTAATTCACGTTAAATATGACACTTGGAATCGCAAAGATGAAACAGTAAAACCATTGATGCGATGATAAAGAGTAGAGCTGTATGATTTATCCAATTTTACCTTGTACTTTTGGTTAACTCAATTGTTGGTTACACACAAGGACTCATCATCAATTAAATTACGCCTAATATTGAAGGTTGGTTAAGAGTAAATATATCTAATGAGTTTGACAAAATGTTCATTGAAATTTAAAATAATCTTGGAATTATCATTTTTAAATCATTTTAATCGAGAATGATATCATTGGTAAGACTGTGAATGACTGGGTGAAAACAAAAGCTTTTGTTTCAAGTATTGTTATTACAATTATGCTCGTTTAGAGGTAATTATAAAGTTAATGATAAATAACAACAAGCATGCTGAAATATTATCTGGTTACAGTTGGGTGATATTTTCATTTGAATTAATCTAAAGCACACAGAATCAGATGAGAATTAAATATAGCCATAAAACATTCATTTATACAATTGACTTCACCCTAGACATTTCTGGCTATTTACAGGTTTCATAAAGTTGGTACAATGATACATTCAATGCTAATTTTCAGTCGATAAAATCATGATATGTATTGCGGTGAATTGATGACCATCGCCTTAAATGTGAAATTTTGTTTCTTCCATTGAAAAGATTCGAGCACTTTGCTAGCCTTTACCTTCTTCGTGCCATTGAACCATTAATTTTAATCTGGTTTCACCATTTTTCAGTCTTTTCATGTTTTTTTGTGCAAGTCTTTGAGTTCATTGCTTCGCGATGGAAGATGAGCTGTCCTCGCTGGTCTGAACATTAGCAATGCATCTATACCAACCAGTTGAAAGCTTTGGAACTCAGAATGGCCCTCGATAAATAGGTGTTAGCCCAATCTCAGAAGATGAAAGTACAAATCAAACATTCGAGCGATTGTATCTCTCGATTTCAATGCTACTGTTCTGGACAAATCTATTTATATATTGAAAAACGAGCTTGAATTGATCCAGTTCAACATTGATCGCAAACTTTAGCATGAGACGAGACTTGAAAGATTTTAAGATAAATGAACTTCAATAATTTACTTTTAGCTTGCAGCCAAACTAACGATGACAGAGTTATTTTTATTGATGATGGCTGAAAATATGTTTTCAGTTTCAACTTCAGCACTGACCATAACCTGATCAATATGATCAATATCAACCTGATATCAATAGATAAAGACTATCAGAATTTTCACAACCTTGTACTCTTTGATGAGACCCAATATTGTAGGCGCTTTCGTTAAGATATGATTCCACTAATGATAAGGTGATACATTAAACAATCTTAACCTTATCCACAAACATAGCAAATCTCAACTGAAAGTCAATGATCAATGAATTGTTGATTTGAAAAATCAGTCAAGATCAACAACGGGAAGGAAGAAAGTTAAACACCAAAATGTGTTTTGCTATTTGCAAATCAGTTTCCGTAATTTTAATTATCTATCATTATTAATTAAAGGGTGAACAATGATGATCAATGAAGCAAAGCTGGAAAAAAGGTTTTCTTTTCAACAAATTAGTTGATTAATTTGTTAATCAAGTTTTAAATTGTGTTTTGTTTTTACGTCTATTTTGTCAAACTAAACAATTAGTTAAACAAAGAAGTGATGAAAGTTGATTATGATTAAAGGAATTAAAAGTGATTGAGAAAGAAACCTGTTTATTTGTGTGTCAATTTTGATAATTACATTCGATTAGTTGATCAACAATCAGATTAGATTCAACTGATTCTCAGTAACTTACGGTATTAATAGTCCGAGTTTGATGGCATTAAGTTTACTTTTGATTTACAAAGATATACAATTAACTTGCAACTATTTTTGTTAGCCATTTATTATTGAATTATCAATTCAAGAAAACATTTATTAATTTGATAATAGTTAAATACGGAAAAATTAATGAACTAAATTAACCCGAAATTGTTTGAACCTGAAAAGGTTGAAGTTAAAATGTAAACAAGGAAAGCTTAATTGTAGTCTGTTTAAGTTTTAATAGTCAATACAGTGTGAAGCAATTTGATTAATGATTGTGATTGGTAAACATCCGAACTTTCATTTTGTAATGATTAGTTGATGGCAATTAAGTTATGTTAATTATAGTCAAAAATAAGACTCAATGAATCTCTGAATGTTGACAAATAATGTTTGCTATTGTGTGATTATTATAAATGATCAGAATATGAAATATATTATGTTAATTGTTAGCTAAATTGTTTGCTTTTCAGCTCATCTGATTTATCAATAAGCCAAACTAATGTTTAAATCGTGCAACAAACAAAGTGAATTCAGTTTACAGCTTTAATTTGACAAATTGTTCAATGTTTTTTAATTGAAAAAGTGAAATTTAAAATTGAATATTGCTGGTTGAAAAGTGAAAGTTAATTTACTGGTAAAATGTATTTTACTTTGCAAAGTTAAAGGTAAACAGAAATGAATTCAAGTTAATTATAAACATGATCTTCAGTACAAAGACCTGGATTTAATTGAACTTTATTATAATTAATCTGGTGATCATGAAATGATCATCAAAAAAGGGCAACCATTCAATGTTAATCACTACAAGTCAAATGGTATTTTTTGTGATTCTAGTAAATAGTTTAAATTCAATAATCTGTAATATTTAGACAATCAAAGGCTTAATTCTTTGGTTATTCAACTTGATAATCCAAGGTTAACTGGTTAACTAATGTTATCGCCTGTCAAATGATTAAGAAAATCATTTTTAATTCTGTTTGTGATTAATTTTGGTTACCTTGGTTGCTTGTTGACATGACAACCTGCCATGTTTGATGAGCAATTATGTCAATCAGTGTAAAGTATGATTTTTTGATTCTTTACTTTTGTGATAAAAATTATGGAAATAATTTCAATTTTATTAATTTGTTAATGATTCTTCTAAAATTGTTGTGACACAAAAAAGGTAATGTAGCAATAATACAATGAATTTATATAATTTACACTAATCAACCATCATGCTTGCCTTTACAACAGCTTTCTCGCCATTTTTAGGCTTTAAGTAGTTTCTGCTGTTCACTTTATGGGAAGTGAACGATGGTGTGAATGAGGTTGACGGTGATGTTGATTGGGAAGATGGTGATGATGTATACAATGACATTGATGGTGAAGATGGCAATGACAGTGACGATGAAGATGAAGATGACGATGGAGTTAATTTAGCTGAATCATTTGGTTTAACATGTTTTTGTCTATTTGCAAATTTGCCGACATTTCTTGACTCTTGTTGATGGTAATTGAATCCTCTTCCGCTCAATGGTTCCTTGAATGCAGCATCAAACTCTTCTTCCTCATTGGATCGATTCTTTCTCGGTTTATCGTCATAACTCTGACCCTCGTCTTTACCACTTTTTGCATTATAACCGTAATCCATTGAACCCGAGTCATCATCATTCTCGTCATAACTTTCATCTGGCTTGTATTCAGCTTTGTACTCTGTTGACTTTCTCTTCTTTTTCTCTTCTGGAGGATTATCTTCATTATCATTATGTTTCTCATCGCCACCCTGCCCTCGGCCTTCAGCAGCATAATCATCGTATCCTTGGCTAGGCTTATAATATTGAACTGGTTCCCCGTCATTTGATGGATTGGATGATTTGGATGATTTAGATGTTAAATACTCGTCGCTTCCTCGATAATTATAGCTTGGCTCAGATGATTGTTTCTTGTCATTTTTATCTGATTTGTCATATGAACTCTTTGAATAACCAGAATCATCTGACTGGTATGAAGGCTCATCTGAATCACTTGTTGTAAAGCCCTCAGGAGCTTCTGATGGTCCATCTGAATAGTCATCATAGCTTTCAGAGGCTGGGTTTGATGACGAAGAAGAGGAAGAAGCTGACGAGGATGACGATGACCGACCAGATTTAGACTTTGATGGTGAAGGTGGAGATGACCCATAGGAAGTTGTTGCTGACTTCTTTTTTGGACTTTCTTCACGATAGTTGTAATCTAATTGTTTAAAAAATAGCAACAAGTTGATTAAAATCAAGATTGATCCTGTTTGTCTATCAAGTCAACATTTTCGTTAATGGATTCATTTTATTGGTAAAAGTTTTGGTTGACTCGAGTTATTACCGTTAATGAACTAAAATGATTTAACTTATCAACATCTGATAAATAATTTTTGCCATCATAGTTCATAATCAACTGTTGGAGCCAACCTAATGAGTTAAACCTTGATTTCAAGATTATTGTTTACCCAAAAATAAAGCAATAAATTAACATCCTCAAAGTAATACTAAATAAATGTTATCAAGATTGTTTTCAATCCAAGTGATTAAAAATTGAACTTCACTTATTAATAGTAAATTTAAGTCTAAAATGAGGCTTGAAATGTAACCTTTAAAGTTGATGTAATACTTGAAAAGAAGATGAAAAGTGTTCACACAAATTGATTAAACTTGGTATTCAGTTTATGCTTACCTGGAGCTGAATAGTATTTATCTTCATCAGTGTTTCCTTTATCAGCAAAATAACTTACACCCAGTTGATCACCGGTTGATTCATGATCATCATCAGATGATGATCCCTGTGGTGAGGGTGAAGAAGGTGAAGAAGGTGAAGAGGGATAATCAGATGATCTTCCTGAACGAGCTCCAAAAGGTTTAGACTTTTCAGTTGAAGAACTTGGAAATTCATCACTATTCCATTCCCTTACACCTTGAGACCATTTTTCCTCTTCTTTAGCCCGATAATCATCTTCATCTCTTCCCTTTCCGCCTTCCTCTTCTCGGCCCAATTTACTTGACATTTTAGGTTCACTACTTTCACCATTACCTTCATTATCCTGATTGTTGCTGCTTCTGTAAATTGGTTGATTTAAATAGCTAAGTTGACTTGCCTTGCCCGCTAATGAAGTCATTGTTGACCTTTTCTCAGCCAATTGTTGCTTACATTGTTCATCACTTAACTGGCGTCCATCCGAGGTTCGACATTTAAGTACCTTCCGACCTTTACCCTGATAACTCGAGGTTGAAGAAGAGGTCGGTTTTGGTGTGGATGTTGGTTCGTTGAGTGATTCATCATAATAATCACTTCGATATTCTGGTGATGAAGAATCAACTTTACTGCTTTTAACAACTATATAAGGATAATCTGAATCAGTGAATCCATACTCAATGGGCGATGAAGAGGAAGACGAAGCTGACGGCTTTAATGATGATCCTGAAGGTGAATTTGTCGATGACGGTCTAACATTGTTATTTAAAGGATTTGAGGATCGAGCAGAAATGGTTGGCTTTTGACTTGATCGACTTGAAAAGGCTTCAGGAAAGGGTAAAGCTTTTTGGTTATAATTGTTTACTTTCTTTTTGATTGAAACGGTTGTGGTTGAAGGTGCTGCAGTGGTGGCAACATCATGTTTAACCCATGGACCAATACCAAAGAAAGGTTGAACATTGTTTAGCTGAGTGGACGTTGAAGTTGACTGCTGCTGCTGTTGACTTGGTTTTAACATAACCTTTCCACTGGCAATTAAACTGAGAGATAAAAAAATGAACCCAAACAGGGTAAACAATTTAACTGGTAAAGTGAACATATTGAAGTTTGAAATACAATTGAGAAGTAAAATTGGTTTGTTTGTACCTTTTAAACCAACACTGAAAGCAAAACAGAACGAAAAAGTAAAAAGAAAAATAAAAATGTTCCGTTTGGGTTAATAGTGAACATCGAAAGGGACCGCAAATCGACATTTGCATTCGTTTTTTGCTCGACTAACGAACAAGTACACCTCACCCTTCCCTCTCATCATCATCATTATCATCATCACTCTCTGTCTACTTTCCTCTCTCAACTCTTTCCATTTTTTCACCTTATTTTTAACTTTCCCTTTCCTTTTCATCATCATTACCATCTTCAAATGATTTGTTTTGTCTGTTAACCATTTTTTATGTTACTCTCAGTTCCGATCGGATTTCCGATTCATAATACGATAACATCACAATTAGGAAGAATCTTTTTTTCTTCTTTCACCTAATCTCATCTCATCATCATGAAAGAAAACATTTCTTTAGTTGATATTATGTTAAAAAAGGAACCAAAACAATTGGCTTTTTTTCACCCAAAAAAAGTGTTGACCTGAGCTTGGCCGGAAAAAGAGGTTTTAATCAACCCACTCAAGTTGTGTTAAAAATGGTTCCGCAAACCTGACGATGATGATATCATGATATCAGATTAGATATTCAGCTTGAGCCTTGTACAGGCCAAAGTGACCATTAAACTTGTTACAATTAACAATACAAAAGAAGCCAAAAAAACAATAATTTCTATTGTTTATAAATTCTCATTGATTGACCAAACGATAAACTTATTGCTATTTTTTATCATTCATCATTTTGTCCATTACTTTTGAAATTCATGTTTTTCTGTATTCTTACCTTTTTATTATTATTGTTAATAATTTGTTGTCTTTTTTCACTTTATTCACGTCAAACTTGTTAAGTGTTTAACACTAATCAACTTGTTGACAATTTGTTAATCATTAGCGGAAGTTGATTGTCGTTGAAACCCTTTTTTGTGTTTGTTACAATTTACCTTAAATAAGATGGGAATGAAATTAAAATTAATAACTTTAAATCATAGTAATCATATTTTTAATAAGACCAATTTGTTGCCTATCATTATCATTGTACAATTTCCCTTTGTTTCTGGTTTAATTAAATATAATTCATTAAATGATAACAATTATTAACTTTTTGAAAAATAATTCATAATTTATTTCATTGAAAATTAATCATTTAAATTCACGGTTTGATTATCATAGATCAACTCACAATATTAATGGTCTTTCGATGGGAAGCGAGTTAGGTTTGGATTAAAACAATTTGTTGGATTGAACCAATTTTTAATGCTAATTGTTGCTGCAAAAGTATTGTAAATATTAACGTTTTTAACTATTGAATGGAAAGATCACAATTTATTAATAATAGCGAATGGTGAAGATGGTAATGACGAGAATGATACAGAAGTGTATAAGTTTAAATGTGATCTTGTGGTGAATGGAGAGCCAATTGATGACAGTTCAAGAATCAGAGCAACCTTGCGGCTTCTCGACTAGAATAATATGTTCGAACAGGTGTTACATTGTTTCGTTGTATGCTGGGTGATGAAGGAGGTGCTGGAGCTGTTGAGACGGTGAAAATGAGTTGTGGAAATGAGATAGTGAATGTAAAGTAAAAAATTACAGCTTTTGATGACTGGACCTAGCCTTTGATCTTGCTTGGTGAATTTTAAATAAGAAAAGTCTTGCAAAAAGTTGGAAAAAAATAGAAGAAGCATGAACTTATATTCAATAGATGCGGTTGTTGCTAAAAAGACACTAACAACACAATTGTAACAACTATACACAAGTTTACACAAATACTGCAAGACAAATGGGCAAAAACGGCTAAAAGTTAATTTCTTTCGAATTTAAACTTTGCTAGTTTGTAGAGACATAAAACCCGAATCCATGAGTCCTATTGAAAAATTTCTTGGATCGACAGTTTTCGAGAAAATCGATGTCAAAGTTGAAACTTCGATCGGCTTTTGTTCAAATATGGAAGCAGATATTTGCACAAGATTTATTTTACAGATGTATCTTTTGATTATCAACCAGAAAAGACACTTATTTTGAGAAACAGAATTTTCTGTTTTAGTAAAACAGATCAAGTTCGATTTTCAGTTAAACCGACAGGATTCTGTGACCATAGCAGTTAGAGAGCTGAAACTTATTATTTGATCATAAAAATTGTTGGTGAACATCATGGATTGAACACTTTTATCGATTCATCAACAGTTCTCGTGATGTTGGCCATTTACCTAAAAACTTTGAGCCTCAATAGTTCGAGAATGGCATCACTTACAATCATCATTCTTTCCCCAATTCAATCCTTTACTAGTTAATAATTCAATTATATTAAAAAACTTTCCATTAGCGCATCTGGGTCATGATTTTCGGGTTGTAAAAGTACAAGCAACAACTTATTTAACAAAACAAACTCATCTCAACCCATTTCTTGGTTAATAAACCAATTTTCTGGTTAAACTTACAAATGCAATGCAAAGAGTGCAGCCAAAAACTCGAACATTTGAGTTAAAGAGTTGAGACTTGGTGTGTTTGTAGGGACATAAAAACTGATTCAATCGCTCCTATTAAATAATTCATCAGATGGACAGTTTTCGAGAAAATCGATGTCAAAGTTGAAACTTCGATCGGCTTTTGTTAAACTATGGAAGCAGATATTTGCACAGGATTTATTTTACAGATGTATCTGTTGATTATCAACCATAGAATGATCTTATTTAGCTAAATATCATTTTCTGTTTTTGTAGAATAGACCAAGTTCGATTTTTAGTTAAACCGAATTATTTCTGAGACCATAAGAACCAGAAAGTTGAAACTTATTAAGAGTTGATAAAAACTGTGGGTGCTTATCAATAGCTGAATACTTTTCTCAATTTATCAACAGTTCTCGTGATTTTGACCATTCACCCAAAAAATTTAAGTCTCAATAGTTCGAGAATGGCAGCACCTAAAATCATCATTCTTCGGCCAAACATTAGACTTCATTATGGGCTACAATAAAGTGATAAATTTAATTATTCAAGATCCTTCAACAAAAGTTATTTCATAGTATTACTTAGGTTGTCAGAATTGAAACTTGATTTATAAAGTTAAATGGTTATTCAAACAGAAGTCTTATGTGTTAGAAGGCGTTTGATTATTAAATGCATTAGCTGGAATATTATTCGATATTCAGTCAAATCATGTTATAGCCCATAATGAAATCTAATGTTTGGCCGAAGAATGATGGTTTTAGCTACTTCCATTCTCGAACTATTGAGACTTAAATTTTTTGGGTAAATGGTCAAAATCACGGGAACTATTGTTAAATTGAGAAAACTATTCAGCCATTGATAATCACCCACAATTTTTATCAACTCTTAATAAGTTTCAACTTTCTGGTTCTTATGGCCACAGAAATAATTCGGTTTAACTAAAAATCGAACTTGGTCTATTCTACAAAAACAGGAAATGATATTTCGCTAAATAAGGTCATTCTATGGTTGATAATCAAAAGATACATCTGTAAAATAAATCCTGTGCAAATATCTGCTTCCAAAGTTGAACAAAAGCCGATCGAAGTTTCAACTTTGACATCGATTTTCTCGAAAACTGTCCATCTGATGAATTATTTAATAGCACTTATGGATTCGGGTTTTATGTCCCTACAAACTAGCAAAGTTTAGATTCGAAAGAAATCAACTTTTAGCCGTTTTTGCCCATTTGTTTTGCAGTATTTGTGTAAACTTGTGTATAAATGTTACAATTGTGTTGTTTGTGTCTTTTTAGCAACAACTGCATCTATTGAATATAAGTTCATGCTTTTTCTATTCTTTTTCCAACTTTTTCCAAGACTTTTCTTATTTAAAATTCGCCAAGCAAGATCAAAGGCTAGGTCCAGTCATCAAAATACGTAACTTTGTACTTTATTGTACATTCACCATCTCATTTCATTGATCAAAACTCGTGTATTTTTACTGCCATTACTATTTTACCAATACTTTTGGGCAACTTTTCAGTTTGATGGTAAAAAGCTTTGAACTGAAAAACTTGAGATTACTGATTAATGAGAAGTTTTTCTAATTGTTACTTGATTATGCCAAAAACTATCCTAGAATAGCTTCGATAACTATTGAAGCTTCAAGACCAGAAAAAGCATAAAAGACAATTTTTCGTGTGACTTTAAAATATATTTGTCATGCTTACTTGGCATACCGACCAGTGACCAAACAACTTGAACTACTGCAACCATATTGACCATTCACAGGATCAACTTAATTTTACCCTTCAAAAGTTGCTCATTGTTCGTCTTTTACTCGACCATAAAATTTAGTTTCATTTACAATTGACAGAAATAAAGCAACTAAATATAAATTTCTCAGCATTTCTATTAATATCAACGAATAACTGTAAACACAACCAAATATCAAGATCAATGTAGCTCCTAAACTGTTTGCCCGTCAATTGGAAGCTCTTAATTCAGCCAACATTATCCATTAATTTTCTTAAAATCAAAATCAATCAAAAATCCTGATGAAAGCTACAGTCCATTTCTGATCAATTATCCTAATGAACCATTTCAATAAACGTGAAAAGTGTAAGATGAGGTTAATGATGACTGGTTAACTGATGGCTACTAATGATGAACCCTTGTTATCATACATTAGTGTTGACCACAGTAACCATCCAGTTAATTGGAATCAAAGTAAATTAAAAGCAAACCATTTCGTGTTCACATTGGTGTTAACATTGAATAGAGCAACAAAGTTACCCAAAAGAAAAAGGAAAAGTTGAAACAGTTATTTCCATAGTCTGGTTAACTTTACTCCTAATCGTACATTTCATCATGAAAATGGTTAATAATCATGTTGCTCATGATGATCCTGGTCATCATAATTACCCATTGCTTCCTTGTAAAGAAACAGCAAAAGGCTTGCAAAAATGTAGTCTTAAGAAGAGCGTTAAATTAACACTTGATGATTCCTGGCCAAGAGTCAAGATTAACAAATTGCTCCAAGTCTATTTACCTTTACCTAAGACCTGTTGTTTATTACATTATTGAACGGGAATCAAACATAGTTAACAATCAATCTGCTGTAGGTAGTCTCAATATTAACCCAAGGGCAATCACGATTGACCTTATACAAGAGAAGATGATCAAAGTGAATCATCTTCTTCTTCTTTTTTCATCATTTCTTTTTCTTCTTTTTCTCCCTGAATATGAATCAAGGCTTGGCACGATAAGATGATTATGATGAGAGTTAACACCACAGATTATCTTCTAAGCAAGAAACTTGAGGTTTGTTTTCAACTATTAATACATTAACGACATTGTGAACTGTTGATGAAAATGTTGATTCATTTTTTTGCTGGTTAATTCATCATCAACATAATTCCGTTACAATTAGATCAACAGTTACTTTTGCTTTACATTTTTCAACTCCTCTTCCTACTTGTTTTAATCATCAATTTAATAAACCTTTCCTTTGATTAATGAGATTCAATGAGTTTGTGACAACTAAATCATCTTTACTTTTAATGTAATTAATTATGACAAGCGTTAGCCTTTAATTAACAATACAGTGAATCAAGAAGAAGAAGAGGAAAAATGAAATTCCATCAACATCATTACCGATGTTGATTGTTTGAAAGTAAACTGTAAACTTGATCAATAATCTATTAACCTTTAATTATAACCAGTTATCTAATGATTTACATGAATCAACATTCCAATGACAATTAAAAATGTTGCCAACAAAATGAATGTTTGAATCCCGGAAGAGAAAAGATGTTTCACCTTGCAAACTTTAACCTGTCTTCAAAGAGCCGGGTCAAAGGTGGCAAACCTGTTGCAATGGTAATTTGACCTTAGCTTTACCTTTACATCTTGTCCATCCAATTCGTTAACCTTACAAATCATTTGAAAAGCATGTTGACCAAGGCCAAGGCCAAAAGTCATATCCTAAGGGTAAGTTTAGGTTTGCTCATTGCTTTTTGTCTAACATCTACAAATGGACTACAAGGTAAGGTAACCAGAAATGAACCAGAAAATGTTGACCTCAACCTTTAAAAATATACATTTAAAGCTCAGTAGCCATAGATAGCCTCAGTAATAATGATCATCATTACTCTACTTCATCAACATGAGAACAGTTTCCATCAATATTACTTCAATATTAATATCAATATTAAACTGAAAGTTATTTCCGCAACATCAGAATGTTGAATGCCTAAAGCCAGGTTAGGTTGAGCTTTTAAGGTAATCTAGGGTGAAGTGAATGTGCAGCAATAGAAGTTTAAAGAACAGGGGAAACTTTAGATTCATTAATAACATGATAATGTTGATCTGCACTATTATTAACGTTACAATTATGTCCCTTTCAAATGGCTTTGGCTTCTTGTGGTTAAATGGTATTTTCAGCCAACTTCAATGCATATTAACACACCTTAAGATCACATTTACATATGATCAACATTAATACTTTTAATCTCTTTCAATGTCTATTGATCAACTTTAAATTAATTACTACTAATGAAACCAGAAAACTCAGTTTGATATAAATCTATAATGATAACTGTAAAGCCAAGTTTGAACTTGAAATCTCAACTCTTGCAAAGTCAAAGGTTCTGTATTTATTTGTTGACTATTATTTAAGGTTGAAGCTAATGATTATAGTTATTGATGGCTTGTAATTAAAATTTACAAATTCATTGGAAGGAACAATTAAAGTGATATTTTTTTATTTTTATAATTATTACTTAAGTAAAGTCTTTAGAAATTTTTTGATGGATTTATTTGTATACAATATGAGAGGCAGGAAGGAAATTATTAAAGGTAGATGAAGATGATAATGACAATGCAAATGATGATGAAGTAGGTGACAAATTATTTGATAGTCGAAATTTAAATGAAATTAAATTAATTTAATATTGGCCACGAGACCGTTTGTCCGGCCTTGAATAGAGAGCAGCTACATCAGCATTCAATGTTATCTCTCCAGTATCACGAAACCCTTCATTACACAGGCCACCAACTCCACTTCGGGTTCGAGGATTGCGGTATGCTGTATCGAAAGCATCCAAACGTCCTAAACCACTTCCAGGCTTATATGAATTGGCATGACGGACGTATTTTAAATTTTCCCATGATTCCTTGTAATTACGATAAAATCCACTCTGATCACCACTAGAGTCAAATGTGCTGATAGTTTGAGCATCGATTGAATTTCTGCTATTTTTAAATCTATTAATAAAGAAGAGCAAAATGATTAGTAATCAAATATTTTTAAATCAATAAATGAATGAAGCATAATTTGCAAACAAAAGCGAACAACGTTCAAAATAACTTCCCAAAGGGTAAACAAATAAGCTTGAAATGGCCAATTGACGGTGAATCCTAGATATGGTAACAGTTTGGGTGAAAACTGAAATGGCTCAACTTGTCTGGTAGAAGTGATTGTTCTAAATCTGGATTTATTCAATATTTAATCCAAAACTTGTTACCATATTTAAGATGTCACCCGATTAACATGCAGAAACAAACAGAGGTTGACAAATTGTATTGAATGCATCTAAAGATTACCCAAAAAGAGACATCAAAATATCGCTAGAAACAAGCTTAAGCAGAAAGACGACAAAAAATGAAAGGATATTAATTACAGTTTCAAGCAGAAAAAATTAGATTGCAATTGATTGAAGCAAATTTAAACCATGGCGGAATGAACCTTCTATGCAATATGATATTAATGATTGGAAATTTGATCAACACAATCATTTGATTGTAGCAATCAAATGATCCGTAATTAGGAGTTAACTGAATGTAAGCATTAATAACAAATCAATATTACAACTTGAAATATCAATAAAATTGAAAAACTAATGAGATACTGGTTCAAATGGAGAAATGAACACAATACCAGAAGATGAATAAATAGAGGAAGATGACAGTTGTAAGTTAAGGGACATTTAACTTGACGACAAAGGAGAAAGAGAGAAAAGAAAGAAGAAATTGAGAGAAAGAGGTTTCAAGAAATGCAAGGTCAGTTGATTTCAGGGTCAACAGTGATTCAGTAAAATGAGGAAAGCTGAAAATGGATGGGAAAAAAGTTTGAAGCTTATTAAGCAGCAGCCAATAATGATAATAATAATAGCATAAATGACATAATAATAATAGTAATAAGGTTTGCATGCAGCAATAAATGGAACGAACCGAATCAACGGTATAAATGAAATTAACTTAGATGAATAATCATGAATAACGGGGGATGAAGAGATACATGAGGTTAAAATTAGTGAATAATGTGAAAGGTTTGGTAAAAATTGGTTAAGGGATTGGACAAGGTGAAGATGCACAATCAATAGATGATTATTGTGCTAAATAAGCGGTAATTGACGGGACAATTTCAAGAGTTGAACAAGGACAATGTTGAGCAAAGCGTATTGGGCTTGTTATTTGGGTCACCCTTTGCTCACCTAAACTTGATTTATTCAAAATTGTTTAATTTCTACGAAAATTTGATAAATATGATGTTCGGTGTGAAGTTGTTGGCGGACTATCCCTCCATAATGAATTAACACGACCTTTTGATGATGAACTATAAAAAGTGATTACATTAATTAAGGGTTAATAAGTGATTAGGAGTAGGAAAGGTTAATCAATCAGTTGGCCTAGAGGATCAGTTGGTAAATCCTTCAGGTTTTGCATTTTTTTTCACGCATTTCAGGTGAAATTGTGCTTTGCGTTTATTCAATTAAATTAACGCATTTTGATCCGGATCAAGATGAATTCAAATACTGTGTATTGATTACATTCATTAAAGTAGGAAAATTGGTAAACCTTGGTTTAACTGAGTAACATGTTAATGTTTTTGAATAAATGGCTAACTGTGACATTAAAATAAAGATATGGAAAGCGGAAATTGACTTACAAACAATTCGATAAACCAACAGGAATCAAGAGAAATCAATGGTTTAAGTAATTTAATTGAGATAACAGTTACCCTGAATATCAAGTCTTTTCAATACTACAACTAATCTACCGAGATGTCATTTTATTTGACCTCATCTTTTCATCCAGCTTCTTCAAATAAGAAGGGATAAAATGAGAAATAAGTAAATCAAGGTCAACTATTTGCCGTTAATCGACAAGCAACCAACAAGAGAAGCGTGAAAAGGTATTTACAATCATCTAAATTTTTCTTAACAAACGGAGGCCATTTTTTTATTTATCTATCTTTTTTATCATGGTAACGGAAAGAACAAGTTGATGGTGATGAAGATGAGTGAAACAGCTCAACTTGCTTAACAACCTTAAAACCCGCCTTATAACGACCTGGACTGTTCTTATTAATACAAGTTACTCTCTTTAATCTAGAGTTTAACCCTCTTAACAGTTAACCAAAATGTTTTGTATTCATTTGTTGTCTGTTTATCTGTTTGTTTCCACATAAAAAAAGTCAATTGTACCTTATTTGAAACCCACTGAGATTCGGTAAAAAAAGATGGAAGCAAAAAAGAGAGAGAAAGTTATCTGATGCGGAGGATGAAGATTTTGATTAAGGTAGCAAAGAGTCAGAAAGTAGCTGATATCAGAAGTACTGTTTGCATTGAGACTAAAGAGGACAACTTTGGTCATCATTTTACCAAAAATATCAAAAATACTTAATTAAAAATTGAAATTAAAACGAAGAGTTAGTGAAACATAAACTAATGTGCAAAAGTAACATTAATAGTCGACTTGAGAAAAGGATAAGTTGTGATAGATGAAGTGATGAATCAGACTAATTTGGTTTACTCATTACACTGTAAAGTTGAAATTAATGAATTGTTTCAACTCACCTTCTAACAATGATGATTATAATTGTAACAATAGCTGCAAGAAAAACAAATCCACCAAAAACTCCAAGGGCGATAATTCCTCCCATGTTAAGCTTAGTAGTTGCTGTTGCCTTAACATTTGCCGATTTGGCTGATGCAGATGAAGAGGATCCACTTGATGCATAGACTGAATCTTCAATTTCATTCTCCTTATCATCATTATGTCCAATTGTTTTCTTATTATTAATGTTAATGTTGCTTGTGGGTGGCAAGGTTGTTGGATAAACGGGTGCTGTTATCCTTTTATTGTTATTAGTTACGGTCATTCCTGAGGAGGAAGAAGGTACAGCTGACGAGGAAGAAGACGGCGATGATGAGGTTGATGATGGTAATGAAGAGGAAGATACCGAAGTGTATCTGTTTAAATGTGCCCTTGTAGTGGACGGAGAGCGAGTTGATGACAGTTCGGGAATCAGAGCAATCTGAGGTGGTCGCCTTGAGGGTTCTCGACTAGAATAATATGTTCGAACAGGTGTTACATTGTTTCGTCGTATGCTGGGTGATGAAGGAGGTGCCGGAGTTGTTGAGGTTGATGTTGTCGTTGAAGTTGTCGTCGATGTTGTCGTTGTCGTTGATGTAGTTGTTGATGTTGTAGTTGAAGGTTTCTTGTCTGTTTTTTTTGGATTGTGCGTTTGTTTCATTTGTTTTGTTTTATTTTTGCGTTTTTCATTGCATCATAAGGCAACACAAAAGATTGATGAAGAAAAAAATGCGTAAACAAAGAACCCAGCAGCAATAGTAGCAACAGCAGCAGCGAGTGAAGACGAAAAAAATGGGATAAAATGGAACAGAAAAGAAAACAAAATGTTAGTAAACAATCGAGAAAAAAAAGTTTGGTTGTAAAAAAAGGTAACTTTAAACATGTAGATCGCTCGAAATTATTTGGTTACTCATTTATTTGCCGTTAGTGGAGGTTTCTATTGTCATTGTTGGTGTTGATTATGATGATGATGTTTGGATGAAAAGTTGAAGACAGTTTAGGATGAAGAGAGATGAAAAAGGAAAGAGAAATAGCTCAAAGAGAGAGAAAGAGAAAGACTAAACTTAATATCAGGTTTATTTGGACTCGGTCAGGCTGCAAGTTCAATTCCCTTTGCAACTAAATTTAGGACAGCAGCAGTTAAAAGACACTCGGCTAGAAATCTCAACTTGATGGTTACAACTATTTTTTGAAATTATTAAATTTCAAAAGTTGCGCATCAATGAAACTAGCGAAAATGTAAAAGTATTTTTTTGCTTCTATTTACCAATTAACACAAAGACACTATTTTAAGACTGGACAAGAAATAGAGTGATTCGGCAAGAAAAAAATGAGTAAAAGTAATAAATTGGTCAACTCACTTTTGCAGAAAGGAACTTGACCTTCCCAATATCCACTGGAACTGCAAATCAAAGTGGATTCACCGATAAGTTCATAGCCGGGTAAACATGAATAAACGGCTCGAGTTTTGACGATTGACATGTTGTTGGAAAGAGCCACTTGTCCGTTGGCAATTGAGGGTGCTGTTGGACACAGGATTGGTTCACAGCGAGGTGGTGGCCCATTCCATCGACCATCAATATCACAGACAAGATAAGATCGGCCAACTACGATGAAACCTTCATTACAGCTGTATTGCACACCCGACATGTAGGACCGTGTTCCGTTGATAAACGAATAATCTCCATTAGTGATTGACGCAGGGAAACCGCATTCAAGGTCTGTTTAAAGAGAAAAAACCAAATAGAATTAATGAAATTATCGCAAAAAATATTGCAATTTTCCAGCGCAAATGTGTAAACACGGTGATTAACATTGAAAATTTCAATCATAATTTTAATAACTGTTATCAAACTTGTTTACTTCTTGTCATTTATCAACTACCAGCTGTTACCTGTAAATTATGTCTAATGTTAAGGCTATTTCAACATTAAAAATGGCTCTTTTTCATTCATTTTTCGTCATTTTTTCAACCTTTCTTTACTGTAACAATTTTGAAGCAAGTTGACAAATACATGATTCTCAATCTAATTAATGCCTCATATTGAGTATAAATTACTGAGTGCAAGGTTAAACTTTTACTGTAAATTTCAATTGATTCCAGGATTAATAATAAAGATTACAAATATGAAGTTTAAGAAGGTGAAACAGCTAAATAGTGAAGGCAATTTGATATCCAACATGTAATTTGGTGATGTTAATAAAGAAGAGGAAGAGGATGAAGAGGTGGATGTCAGGTATGATAGTGAGAGACAAAAAGGTAAAAAAGATGAGGGTAGAAGATAAATTGATGTAGATAACGAGTGTTACTGAAAAATAGAGGAAAAAGAGACAAAAATGTGAAAGAGAGAAAAAATACTACAAAGAAGTTTTGATTGGTTTGGATTGAAAAGAAACAGAATCTAGCTCAAGAATGAGAAAAAATAAAGAAAATTGAAAGAATCAGATAAAGACCAGAAACTGTTATATGTTATGCTAAGGATATACGATAAGGAAGGGTTAATATGAAAACAACAGCATCTTTCAAGACCTGGTGAAGATTAAGAAGTTAAATAAGAGAGGAAAAAAAGAGTTTGTCATTGATGGTAAACAAAGAGTAAAGAAGTTATATTTAACAACCGATGTAACCTCAATTGATTGTTACAGTAAAGTGTTTTTTTTGTATATGATACCAAGGATAACATTGGGGCTAAAAGATTTGTAACGGTAAAGTTAATTGAAATAGTGATACTTACATTTACACTTGGGTGCATATTCACTGAAGAAACCCGTTGGTAAACAAGTTCTCATTGATGGTCCAACGAGCAAATTACCGGATCCACATCGATATTCCACAACAGATCCAATATCAACTTTACGATACAAGATTGTTGAATTAGCGGGTATTTCGGGTCTTCCACAAGTCAATGGACGATGTTGACAGACGAAGTGAATGGGTAAATTACAATTTGTATCGGCCCAAAGCCAGCCTCTGGTTCCATCAAATCGTGAACAGTTGAAATTTTGTCGAGGTTGAGACCAGAAACTGATTGAAACATCTTTACCATTGATCCATTTCCAGTTGTTTGGACTGGCAGTATCTCTGACAGCACCAAGCCAATATTGTCCATATTGGTCACTTCGATGACGACGGTACAATTCCCATGAAAGGAAACCTTGGAGTGCAGGTGATGTTTCATCGACGAGTGAACCGCCTCTTAAATCACAAAATCGTCGTGCATTTTCGAAATTCATCGGTTTATCATTGTAAAATATGTAGCACTTTCCGTTGTAGGTTGAAGTAGATCCAAGTGGTTGATCACGGAAGGAGGGACACTGTTCAATGGATAGAGCTGAAAATAATAGAAACACAAAAACAGTGAGAAAATTAGCAAATGAGAATTAGATTGGAATTGAGATTAAAGATAAACAATATAAAAAATTTGTCACAACACTGAGCACAGCACAGCAAGAAAACTAACCATGATCAGTATAAACAAATGTTTCACAAATTGAGAGAGCCTGTCCATTTGATTCTAGATGGACAGAAACAAAAGCACCTGGAGTTGGACGAGCACAAGGTAGGTAAAGTGGTGCACCAGCTTCAATGTAACCAGTAAACTTGTTACATATGGGATTATTATCCAAATCTGGTCTACTATTTCCAACTCGCACAATCACTGTGGCTGGACGACTACCGCAACAACCTTGTCCAAAGTCAATACGCACTAATTGAATTAGATATGGTTCCAAAAGATTGACGTACCACCACGGTTTGGGCTCTTTTTGGGTCATCGTACATGTTGGTGAATGATATGTGTCTCCTGTTGACCCATCAACGGCTTTTTGAGGGCTTCCTGACCCAAATGTTGATGATTGCATTGCCGCTTTACCAACGGCCACATTTAAAACACAAAATGGTACTCCATTGGGCACCCAGGTACCATTGTCCAAACATTGCCTACGGTTAGGACCGAGAAGATCATAGCCAGAGTCACAGGTATATGTAGCAATTGTTCCTGATTGGAAAGTGTCAACATTGTCGATTAATTCAGTTGAAAATTTAACATTTGCATGAGCTGGGCTTCCGGGGTAACCACAAGATTGAATAAAAGGTAAAAATATCAAAGATATACAGAATAAAAATAAATTACTAAATGAAGCCATGATGATGACGGTCATGAGAAGAGATGTGAATGTAACTAAACAATTTTCAACTTGTTGAACGAGAGAGTCGAGGGAGCAGCTATTTTTGAGCGGTTAAATGAGCAAGATGATAAGGACAGGTTTTAGATCTTCTTAACCTTCTCTTTCTTTCCACCTTAACCCCGCCTTCCTTCTTTTTCACCTTTAGTCTCCTTCAAAAACAAAGCCTTTGCTGGGTCGCAATGTCCAAAAGTAAACAGATTATTTCTACTTGATTTGATCAACTCTACCAAAACCTCAATGGTTTTTAATCTTTCAGCTTCGGGCACTTCAACCACAAAAATAAGTTTAGGTACAGATTCATTTTCCATGCTTTAGGCAAATAATTGAAACAAATCAAACTTGACCCATTCAATAAATTGTTTAGATTAGGTTTAAATTTTGAATATTTTCGAATTTTCCATGCAAGGATTGTAGGTAAATCTAACGATCATTTTCTGGGTTAAAATGCCTGCAGCTGCAAGATTAGGTTTAATCATTGACGTATTGGTAAAATTGAACCAATCCAATGTCTCCAGCTTATCCATCAACAGTCAAACTGTGGCTCTCTGAAATGATAAATTTTAAAACATCATTAGTTAACAGTGAAAAATAATTCAAACAAACAATCAATCAAAACAAAGGGTTAAATTAAACCATAGATATTGAATATTTGATTTAACCTGATGATTTATTCAAGTTGAGTGATAAAAAAATCTATTACTGGTGAGACTGCATTTTATTTGATTAAAATTGAATAAAACATGATAACAAGATTGTTGTTACTGACAAGTTTATAATCAACAATGAATAAACAGATTAGTTCATGTTTTCTGTTAATCCAAATTATTCATGAAAAAAAGAAGGCAAAAAAGAGCAAGAAGAGAAGCTCGCTCACGGTAAGGTTCATGACTTTATTTGAATTGTGAAAAGACTGTAAACCGGTTAACAGGTAACACCGCTTAAAATGATGAATCTTATTGGTTTAGGATCATCAATGTATATAATAAGTAAGATTTTTTACCAAGATATGTAAAATATTCCGGAAGAATAAAAGAAGAACCCAAAAATTGAAAAGAAAAGGTGAAACATGACTTGAATTGTGTATAATGATAACCAATTATACATCGAGTGGTTTATCATTAAATGGGTTAAAACAAGAAAAAAAAGTTGAATGCAAAGAAACAAAAAAAGAAATAAAAATAACAAAATATGGAATAATCTTGGAAAATGATTCAGAAAATCTTAATCATAACACTTAGGGTTACATGGTTTAATCAATTGCAAGGTAAACTAAAGGCCTTTTGCATGCATTTAACCGATAGCATTTGATAAGCATCTAAACTGACCAACTTAATATCATAACAAAGTTGTCAACAAGTTGAAGGGAAACCTAAAGTGATATTCATTTTCATCATTATGATGATGATTGCGATGGTTATTGTAATGATTGTTATGATGGTTGTACTGATGGTTGTGATGTTGATTGTGATGATCGTCTTGTTAATTGTAGCTAACAAACAAATGATTACAAAAAATTAAGGAAGAGATTATGATTTGGTTAAATACCATAATGTAAATGATTTGAAGAGGTTTACAAAAAAATGGTGACAAAAATCTGTTCCATTGACTGAGAAAAGGAAGAGATGAAGATGCTGAGGACAATTGGTTGACTGATTTCAAGGTAAAAACAGACTAATTTTGTCAACCATTCTTCCTTCAAGATGCTTTAATTATCTTTTCCCTCATCATTATCATCATCATCATTAAATCCATTGGAAATACATCTTTACCTTCCGATTTTTACTGCTTTTTGTTTTTACTTATTTTCTTCCGGCTTCTCCAATTCAACCTTTAACTAATCAAACAAAATGAATATATCTCAATGGGAATCGTCAATTTGTGTGAGATTATTCGTTATACGGTAAACAGTTAATTATTAACAGGTAAAGCTAATGTAATCAACAAACCATGATCAGTGTTACAAAAGTCAACATTAATATGCGCTTATGTATGCACAAGGATTCATATTTTAAAACCATTCAACATTCATTTTACCTTTTCATCCAACACATTCACCTGTTGATCACAATTTCATCATTTTGATAATGAAATTTACTTTTAATTGGGGAATAATTTCCAAATTTTTCAAATATCTAAACTCTTTTTTGCTTCATTTGAAACATTTGCTATTGTTTAATGGCGACTAATGTTAGCAATTTTAATTAACAAAAGCAGAAATGTTATTTTCTTGATTAACCCAATTAAAAGAGAAAAAATTAGGAGATTAAAGAGTTGGACAATCAACCTAATTTTGATTAATAGCATTACCATTGTGGTAATACCAATATTTGTGTTCAAGTTTCAAGTCCAACAGGTTTTCAGTTTTTTTTGTTGAGATTTGTTTTGTTTTGCTCCTCTTTGGACTTACATTTGTATTACCTGTTGAGGTAAACAATTAAAGAAAATTTCATTTTCTCTCCCAAAATCATTTCATTTCTACTCCAATTGTTATCTTCATCACAATCCACTAATTTTTCCACTTCCACTTTGGATGAGGGTTAAAATAGTAATTAATTTCAATGATTACAGTGTGCTTTTTGTGTTAATTGTATTGAATGTCATCAATTGGATTCTCAATCCTTCTCATCATCATCATCATCCACATTTCCCTTGATATAATAATAATGATGTTAGATCAAAGAGAAGAAGAAGAAAAGGTAAAAAAAATCTTAACCAAAAATGTTGGTAACTGGTACAGTTATTTACTTATTGCTGGAAAAAAAGCAACAAGAAATACAAGATGATCAAGATCCGCATCATTTTGTACCTTTTTACAGTTTCTTCATTATCCTCACCATCTTGATCAGTTAATCAGGGTCAAGCAATAATATGAACAAAAAAGCCTCAACAACTCTTAGCCAACCCATTTCATCTTTTTCATCATTTTTTACTTTTCTTTTTGCTTGCAAACAATTTAAAGCCTTTCCTCTCTAATTGTTAACAAGTGGGATTAACTCTCTGTTAGTTAAAACCTGAATAGTAATAAATTGCCTGAATGTTATTCAAGTAAATTGAATTTTATTAAGATTAATAAAGGCAACTTTTAATCATTAAACCTATTGTTAATCAACAGAGTTGGCTTTAGGTTGAGTTGACCCATAAAGGCAACTCAATGGTGCCTTAGAGGTTGACCCTTTAACGCTAAGACAATGGAGTTGGAAAGAGACTGATTCAGATCTGTAATTTACTTAATCAACCCAAATTTATTCAACACTATTTGGCACAAATTTTCTGGTTAAATTATTTTCTCCTTTTGTCACTTTGATATTATTTATCTTGAGTAAACTTTCACAAGAATCGGCCAGTTACCTGAATAGCAATATTTATCAACATTGTACTTTTACCTCTCTAATAATGACATTAAAGGGGATTGTCAACACACTATTAACAAACAATCAACATCACCTTGAAGCGTCGAGTGTTGATAAGAATAGCAAATTGTCTTATAAAAATGAGACCAACTGATCCTATTTAATAATAACAAATGATGTACAATTTAGTAATTGTTCACAAGTGTTCATAACTTATTTATATTGTAAATTACAAGTAAATTTATCATCCATTACAGTTTAGTCCAGTACAGAATGTAATTTACCCTGTGAACTGTTGAAACTTAAATTAAATTAAATACAATTGTGAGAAAAAGTAAACTGTAATTAGTGTTACAATCAGTAGCAATGAGAGTTTCAGATAAATTAAGATTAATATCAACAATGAAACAATTTAAATATTATGTAAAAAGCTAATGTCAGGGTTAAATGAAGAGTCAACTGATTAACTGTAAATCTAAATCAATAGTGAATCTTGATGATTGATTGTTTTTACATTGAATGTGTTTTGTATCATTTGGTTAAGTAAACTTCAATACAATTTATACATTGGATAACAATTTAAAATCAATTGTTGTATAATTAGTTGATCAATGTTAACAATAAAATGATGGATCAGGAAGTAACAGAGAGCAAAATGTTGATAATGATTACTATATTCACTATTATTAGATTGATAATGTTAATAATTGAATCATGTTAAACTTGAAATGTTGAAAATGAAATTTTCAAATTGATGTTGATGTTGATAATGAAGATAATGATGAGGATGATGATGAGGGTTGGTTCATCTGAACATGATAAACATCACATTGAATTTTCATTCACACTCAGGTTACTTACCTTTGGTTAAACATTTATTAATCTTTCGAACTTTTTTTTCAATTTTTTCTTTTTTTCTCTTTCATTTCAAATACAGATTAAAATTTTGGTTAACATATTCTGATTGTTATTGGATATTCAATTGTAAATCAATTGTTAAACCTATTATTACAATTGATTTTCCTCACCTTAAACCTTATTGAACCTTAAATTGTTTTGTATCCTTGATATTACAAATATGTAAGTATTAAGTAAACCTTGAATTGTGAACAAACTTCCGGATTAATCCTTTTACCTCTTTAATTTATTGGCTTATGTATTAATTACGCTGAATGGCATCATGATAATTACCATTTAGGATAATTAATAAAAGCTATTATTATATTATTCATAGAGAACCGGTTTTGGGTTGAAACAATAATATAACCATTTTCTGGTTATTACATTTGATTCTGGTAATTTTACATTCATTTACAAAACCAATTTGCTTTCCAATTTGTTTTTTCATAGTTCATTTGATTCACCAATGATTCCGTCATTGTTTACTTGCAATATCAAGGTGTGAACTAATTGGTCTGTAATTTTGTAAAATGCCAATCAATAGTCTCAACTGATCATGAAAACAAAACTGATTAACAAATTCTGAGTTCATTGAGAAATTTTAAATTTAGAAACAGACTGAGGCACAATTGTTGATCAGTTGGGTCCAACTTCACCAATCCCTCAATGGTTTAATCTAAATCTTGAGCCTAGGGCATGACAATCAGAAAATGTTCAAAACAGATTTCAATTCTTGAGACTAAAAAGTCCAAACAGATCAACTCGATTCATGCAATAAATGCGACAAAATCAAACGAACATTCAATTCAATATTTGTCACACAGTTTCATCCTAAAATGTAATATTCAATGAAATTTTCTGGAATTTTTTTCTCGCTTCATTAGACAAGTTTATCCATCGAATGTCCAATATTCAATCTGACAAAATTGGAACTTTTACAATCGAAGATATTTCAATATTCAATCGATTACAAACAATTTCAGATTCGAAAATCAATTTTTTGGAATTCAAAATTGAACGTTTTTCAAGCCTAAAATTGTGCTTTGTTTAATGATGCGAATTGTTGCTTTGGTGAATCGATTTATCGTTAATTTGCGGAAATTTTTGAATCTTTGTTCTGGATCTGAAAATTGTACTCTGAGCAAACAACATGGAGATTAGCCTACTAACTCTTCGAGATTAGGGCAGATTTGGTGAAGATTATCACCTTATATTTTTACTTGTGACTTGTTTTGGTTCAGCATTTTATTTTTGTCTTTATTGCAATTATTAAACCTTAACTTGAGCCTGATTGTGCTTTACAATTATAATCTAATAATTTGGTTTGGATTAAGATTTGACCTGACAGGTTTGTTAACCGTTTGTTACTTTTAATGTGACTAAGATAATCTATTAAAAAAGGTTTTAATTTATCATCAACAATTTAATTTAATCGGGTTAACCGTTCTCTCATTTCTTCTCCTTTTATTTCAACATTATTTACCTTGATTAGTTTATATTTCAAGATTATACAGATGGTAATCAAGCTCCAAATTAATGGTTACCAGATCTTTATACAGATAATGATTCAACAAATTCAATCAAGACAGTACGATATGGTTAAAAAAGGTCAACTCACAAGTGATTTTAATCATTGAAACTTTCAGGATCAGATTCCGGAAAAAAAGAGATTCCCCTGAAAGAAGCTAGTAAACAGAATGGAAATTATTTTTGATGCACAAATCATTTCAATTATCATCGAATGGTCAATAATGTTCATTTAGATTAAGTTGATCTAAGCAAATGTTGAGTAAATAGAAAGGGATAACTGAATGAAAAAACCTTTTAATCTTGAATCAAGTTTCCTCTTGAACATTACTCTGATCATGTAAATAGAAATGATAAATTCTTCTTCCGGATAGTTTCACCTTGAAATTGACAGGTTACCTTTCATCTAATTACTCATCATTATCATTACCAGTTATCACAAGTCCAGCAATCGAAACATTTAAAAGTGACTTTTTTGAAAAATCAGTTTCCAAGAGAAAAAGTTTTTCCATTCAAATTGTCGGTTGAAAATGGATTCACTAATCAATCCCGATTCAATTAGGCTCAAGACTAATATGCTCATTATAAGCAATTTTACTTTCCATTCCTACAATTAGCACTTAGCTAAAAAGATTTAGTTAAGCAACTTTTACTGATGATTAAACTAATCAGCTGACATTTTTTAATCCATCTATTTTCATCTGCTTCATCACTCATTATTAATGTTTATCACGAAAGTTGTGCTAAAAATCTCATTAAATGGTAAAATTGTACAGTAATTTGCTTACCGCTTGTCCAGTGGTCATCCTCTTCTCCCGATTTGTCCGTTATATTGTGCATCATCTGCTCAATTATCAGTCTAGTCAGGAGAACCATTTAAAGATCAATTTAATCAATTTGCTCAATTAATCATTAACCAAAGACAATTGTAATTGTTGACCAACTTTTTGAATGTAATTGCATTGAAAGTTTAACTTTCGGTTTTTTTGTGTGTGTGTTCCTCTTGTTGGTGGTTATTTTCATCTTGTTAACCCTGTTTACCTGAAAAAGGCCTCAATTGAGGAAAGGTGACCAAGCGAAGAAGAGAAGAGAAAAAGGTAATTGAAGAATGTAAATTACAACTTGTTGTCTATGAATTGTAAGATGGGTTGAAATTGTTTCTTTGGGTTAACCTAATTGCTATAGACGGATTAGTGTTGACCACATTTGCCGTTCAATACATTTTTTGTTTTTACCTTTTACTTTTGTACCTTTTCAACCTTTTCGTAATTGTTGTCAGATATTTTTGGAAATAATTCAGTTTTCATTTTTATTTGAGGAAAGCCAAGTTGAAATGTTAAGGGTTAAGAGATGAATGAATCATGATTAGACATGTTATTAGGAGCCAAAAACAAAGAATTTTTGAGTTTTTTTTGGGGGGAAATTTTCATGATAAAGGTGAATAACCGTGAATTATTGACTCTTATTGATCAACAGCAAGATTGGCCTGAAACAATCGAATAACTTTAATCGCTATAAACTCCTTATAAATCAAGCTAATTGTAGGATAATTATTGTTATAATGAGCTTAATCAACGGTTAACTCATTTTGGCTGTTGAATGGTTAACTCATAAATAGCATAATATGGATAAACTGTTTTATCAAAATGATATGAATGATGAGACAAAAAACCTTGACAAATGTTGAATCAAATGGCGAGCGTTGGTTGATTTTGGTTAAATAATCAACTTGTGATACTATTGCTAATGAAAGAGATTAACGATTAAGAAGGTGTTGATAAATAATATCATGTTAATCCAGATGAAAGCTGAAAAACCTTGTTTTCCCATCAAATAGATATTATTTTTCGCTATTGTAATAGCTATTCAATTGAGTGAACAAGACTTGCAAGATGAACAAAAATATGTATTACAAGTGCGAGGATTTGAATAAAAGGCGATGATTATTGTTGTTAATCGTTAAAGAATGAGAAAAGGAAAGAATCATGATAACCTAAATTTCGCCTTTAATTCATTTAACGTTAAATTAGTGTTTTCATGTTACCACAATCGTAGTGTATCAACAATAACAACTATTAGCTAACTGAATTTCACTGAAAAAAAACTGAGTTATCATCAACTTTCAGCTTTTTGATTGTTCAATAATTCATATTATCAGGGAGCCTTGAAAACTGAGAATATTAAGAAGACAGAAAAAAGAAGAAGAAGAAGAGATAAAAGAGTTACTCTTTTCATGATTTCTCACAATTTCTCGTCATCATTATCATTATCACTTTCTCTGAATAATTTGTTCACTTTCATGTTGAAAGTTGAATAAAAAATTGAAATGAAAGATTGACAAAAGAAATTGTGATTATTATTATCATTATTACGTTCATGGATCAAATGAAACAATTTAAAGTGAAAGTGAAGTGCATTGTGAATCTTGAATCAAGAGAAAGTACTAATTGAAAGAGGAACGGAAAATTTATCATGATTTATTCCTAATTGTAAACAATTTTAAGGCCAAACTGATTCTTTCATGGTAAACCTTGAACCACCCACCACCTCCACCTCCTCCTTCATTTCCTCTTCAACGCATCTTGACCTAAAATTAAGCCCATAACAAATATGGGTTTGGTTGGTTACCATCTCAATATTGATCCTTCAAACTTGACACCTGATTGTCCATTCAATTATTAATAGAAAACGATTTGTTTACCTGCTTTAATCAATCTAATCATAAACAATTACTGTTTAGTCACTTAATTTAAAAATTACTGACATTCAATAGCCATTGAAGAAACAAAAAATCAAATTGAAAATGAAGAAATCAAAAAAGAAAGTAAAATCACTTACTTATTGTCTCTCTCTTTGAGTTGGAGAATCACATTGATCACATGTTTTTGAACCCAAAACCTTAGCTTTTGTTGGTTAATCCAATCTTAATTTGCACAGTTAATTAAGGTATTTGTTTAAAAGATTACACACTCAAAGTGACGTTAATTTATTTAATTAAGACTTGAAACAAAAAGATTCATCAAGAATTAAAAAAGCAAAACATTGATTTAGAATAAGGAAAATAGAATAGAAAAAATGTGAAATGGAAAATAGTGAGTCAATATGGCGCCAAAAGTCTTGTCTTAACCTTGCACAATAAAGGCGCCAGTTGCTCTCATTTAGGTAAAGATAACACTTTTTCCCATGGATTTTATAAGGGGTGATCTTTAAAAAAAATATTTCAACTTTTAGTCATTACTCTAATCAGTTACAGATCTGCAATAATCTGACCATTGCATGGAATATTTAATTCAATTTTAGGTGAAAAAGGTTAGTACAATTGATAAATGTCTTTCTAGAGTGTTGAGATCTGGTGTTTTTGGTCTATCTGTTTTAATGTAAGTTTATTCCTCTAGCTCACGTTTTACTTCTGGATGTTTCTTTTTCTGGTCTTTCAACTTATCTCTTTGGGTCTCCGATTTCTTTGTTTTTCTGGTTGGTTTTGGTTTCGGATATCCATACAAATTGTAAGTTTGAATTTTACTGAATTTGTTCAAATTCGATCTAGTCTTTCAGAGTTTCTGGCCATTTTGTTCCTATCTGGTTCATTTTGGTTTTTCCTAGTCTTTATTTACCCAAATACCCAATTTTGCTCTCTTGTGTATTTTTGATCTTTTCTTCGGCTCACTTCTAGTCCTTTCTGGTTATTAGCAGGGTTAAGTGTCATTTTTCACCTGTTATCTGGTCCTGCTCTGGCTTCATGTTTCTCTGCTTAATTTCTGGTCTTTTAATCAACCATTTTTTCAAATTTTAACACGATTTACTTTTTGTCTCTTTTATAAACCTTTCTGGTCTTTTTCAATCTCTTCTTACTCTCTAATCTAGTAATTTTTGGTCTCGTTATTTCATTGTTCGCTTTCCCTTTGGGCCATTCTTATGCTTTATCTGACTTTACTTTTATTTTTCAATCATTTTTCTCTCTACGAATATGTATAAGCTTATCACGTTTGTCTTATGTTTCAGATCAACTTTGCCTGTTACCTCAACAAAACCAAACGGATCTGTTTTTCCTTCCATTAATCATAATCTGGTTACATTTTGATTGGAATGAATCTTGAATTTGAATCGGTCTATGTAGACAGTTATCTTTTGATTACAAAATTGATTCACCTTTTAATTTAAGAATTTAGCTCAATCAATTAAAAGTCAATTTGAAAATCATTGAACCTTGGTTGGCGTAACAATAAACACTTTGACTGGATTCTCGTGTTGGACTCTGTTGGAAACCGATTGCACGCAAAAACCATGGACTTGATCAATCAGATCAAGTTTTAAGCAAATAAGACGATTATCATAATCAACATCATCTTCTTCATTTTCATGTTCATCTTTTTCATTCACACGCAAACAGGGTAATTATATATAAAAATATATCATTTTGATAAATTGAGAAATGTGTGTTAGATTCAGTTATATAAAAAAAAGTTAACCAGTTGATTCGGTTAGCATTCAGTTTAATTAACTGTCGTGAGTTAAATATCAAACTTAATATCAAAAATTGTTTGACACACCTTAATATATTGTTGCTGTTGTTTTGGGTGCCGACAAAAATGTTATTATTATCATTATTACAATAATTATTATTAACTTTGTTCAATTTCTATTCATGACTAAGATTGTATCTTTTGTTTCCTAACTCTTTAGATCCAAATGGTATCCTCTATTTATCATCATCATCACCAATCAAATCATCTTCACTCTCAATGATCAATGTTTGGACCGTTAATCCTGTTCTGCAGTAAAATCCATTTCGAATGGCGAAAGATAATTAAATGGATGAAATTGCAAGTAATCCAGAAGCCACCTGATTGACCGTCAAGTGTAAATTAACATGGCCTTCCATTGAGACTAACCTGTCAAAAAGAAAAGTTAATCAACTTTGATGGTTTACTTGATTAATTAATTTAGCCTGATTCCACCCAATAACCAGTAATTTGGTAGATTGAAATAACCAAATTGTTCAACAATTAGCCTCACCAGTTGATTCACTTAGGTTTCAGCCGTTGAACGCTTTTAATTGTCATTTAATTATTTTTCACCTTTAATCGTTGATTCCAAGTCAGTCAACTTGGAATCGTGAACAAACAGATGAAATTGCAGTGTATTCATCAATGTATTTGTGTATTAACTTCGGGCGTTTCAATTTACTATTTGTGTGTCAGTAAAACACAAATACTCGACCGATTACGATTCTTAATCATCATCTACCAATATTGATTAACTGTTGGTCCATTTGAATAGTTGATTACAAAGTATAACTTTCATTTTGGGCAATTTGTTTACAATTAAGGGTCTTTTAATCTACCCTCACAATAAAGCATATTGTATATGATTAACAAACAATTTAACCTAATATTTACATACTTGTATGAAAAGGACAGACAAAAAAAGGTAAAAAACATGATAAAAGTTGCCATAAAATGGTTGATTATCATATTACTTTAGATTGATTTAAGGTTGAAATCATGTCAAATCAATAAATTACACGTTTCATCAATACCAAAGATTAACCTTTTCAATTCAATTACACCAACCATTAATGAACAACAAAAAAGATGACAGATTCAAGATTTTATCAAAAAGATGGTTTGATTTGTTAGCATTAATCGTCTATTCAAAATTAGACATTTCTTTGGGTGAATCAACTCTTCAATCTGATTTCAATAGATTACCATGAAAAATATTGTAAATGTTTCCAATTGTTCAAATCACTTTTGTACTCACCAAATCAATGTAACCACAATAATGAACATTTGTTGTTCAATTGCTGGCCTCACGATATAAACAAGTAAAGATATTTATTTTTAGGCAACTTTACTTGTTTCCAGTCAATAATCAAATGTTAATGGCGTAAAAAAATAAACTTTACCTGTAAATCATTTTACCAATGATTACCTCAATCGCATGCTGATTAGTTGATTACTTTTACTGAAAACCTATTAACCACTTGTTATCAACTGTAATTACTTGTAATCAAATTAAGTGAATAAAAAATCAGCAACATTTTTGCAGATTTAAAGATTGCAAGTCTAACATGAATTAAGCGTTTTACGAGTTTAGCTAAATTTTTTTGCTCGGTCTTAATCAAGAGTAGTTTAAATTGTTAGTCCACAAAAATCAATCAGTGTTTTACAAAAACAAACCTTTAATCATTACTCCTGACATTTCAATGATTTATTAGATTAATTCTGATTAATCTCATGACTTTATCTGTACCTAATATTGACCGTAAATGACAGACAGTATTTGCAAAGGTAACTCTAACTGTGATAGAAACGAATCAACGAATAAAATCAATTTTAATGAAAAAAAGAATGAATTACTTATTTAAATTGTAAGCCTTAAAAGATTTGAAAATCGCTGGTTAATTAGCTGCTTTGCTATTCGTCAATCCTTATCTGACAATTGCGCCATTTTAACCATTGTTTTAGGTTTCTTAAAGAAGCAATTTTTATGTCGCCATTTTAATCGCAATCTTTTGTTACAGTTTTAACTCGATTTAATCGCGACAAATTAAGTTTATTTAATCAACTTTATAGTGCCAATGATGGACCAAAGTAAGTGACTTTTCTCTTTTTCCTTTCTCCAGCTTGACCATTTATAATTTTGATGGTCAATGTTAACTAATGTAAATGTTAACCGTTAATGTCAATTAGTTGCAACCTTGAGCTTTTACAACTCTTTTTCTGTTGCTTCTTTATATCAAGCCTAATATTATTGTTTTAATTATCCGTAAGACTAATTTAATCCGACATTAACAAGTCAAACTATTTATTCATTCAATTGTTACCATGAAGAAAGTTTGAATTTCAAGTTTCAAGAGTTACACACTCAAAACACGTATCATCTTTACAATCGCATATATTTTCTAACTCTTCTTTTTTTTCACTCTTTTCTTTTTTTGTAGCTATATTTTATCAAATGCTTCAATCTCTAAATTATTAATTGTCCTGGTAACAATTTTTAACAAGCCTTTCAATTAAGGTCAAGGAACAACAATTGAAGTAAAGAATCACATTACTAACTTTCTGTTGAAAACAAACTCTCCCTTTCTCTTTTTCGGTGTAATCAACATGATTATCATGCTGAAGAACCAAAACTTACCCGGTAAGTTGTATCTTCTGCCAGTAGTTAGCTGGTTAACTTTAATTAAGCAAAATTGTACTTATTTTGTGTTTTTTAATTGTTTCTTGCTTTGTTTTTTTGTACAGTAAGCTTTCCTGGAATTCCATTGTTGATCAAATATTATGTTGATGGCAACACTAAAGACAAATTGAAAGGACGAGGAAAACGGAAAGGTTAAAAATATGCAGCTTTAATGTCGTAAATTATTGAATTGCTTGTTATTTCAGCGTTGAAAAGGAAAGATTGGTCTTGCAATGATTCACCTGTTATTTGACTTGTTGCTTATTGTCATTATTGTCGGCACTGTTATTCGTATTTCTGATTGAAAAGACCGTTATTGAGACGAGACTGGAGTTAATACGAAGTGACTTTCAACTTTGATCATTAACGTCGTATTCTTGGTAATTGACACTAAAGACTGTGATTTTATTTTCCACCAATAATGCAAGGTTAGATCAATTAAAATGACATTTTGTTTCAATTTGGACAAATAATATTCAAATTGGTTAGGTCATCTTATATTGAAATTTGATATTATTATCATTAAATTGAGGTATAATCATGAACACATAATTGTTTGTGGAATTTACTTAATGAATCTTTATTGCTGCAAAAGAGAAAGATAGAGACTATTGTAATTGAAATTAGTGGAAGCATTAGTTGAAAAAATTTTGTCCCAAATTACTGTCAAGTCATTATCATGAAATAATCATTCTCAGAATGCTATTTTATGTCATTCTTTTTGCTTCTTTTCCCTCATTTTCTCAAGCTTATGCTGTGTTTTGATATGCCAATCAATCACAACTATTTTACAATTTTTTATCACTATCTAACTTTCGTAACAATCAATATTGGTTTTCATATTCCCATTAACATTTGAACCTATTGGATTTACTTTTCAAGTTTTCTGCTCAATAATTATACAAAAGAAATGATGAAATCAACATTTGTTTTCATCATAATTCAATTCTAAGTCAAGTTTATCTCAAGGGTTACAATAGTTTTGGTGATGCTTTTAATTTTTAATCAGTAATAACCTCAATTATCATGAACAAAGACTAATTATATTTCCCATCACTTACACTTTTGATCAAATTTCAATTTAAAATTTTTCAGATCTTCATGATTACCATTTAATTGAATATGATCATTGACAGTGAAATAGATGGATCCTTTAATTGAATATCAACTTCCAAATGATGAAATTTGAAGTAATTTAATCCCATTAATTTTTATCCTTCTAATTTCTTGATTACTTTCATTGTCATTTCAGGTTACACTGCTTGGTTAATGACCAACTATTCACCAATCAGATGGAATTTTCCGGCACAAATTGATTTGATTTATTTGTTCGGGCATTTGATGGCTGATTTGCTGAAAAATTGAGTCATGACAATGAAAACCAAGCTTAAGACAACTGACTTTGGATTTTTGTCAAACTGATCGCCTTCATATGCATCGTCAAGTTATCCTGCCTCTCCGTTCTGGTCTATCAGCTGATTTCAGTAAAAGTTTTCATTTTTTGAAACATTATTGTTGTATTGATGAAATTGTTTCCATCAATATAGCAAGTTATCACCGATAAATGTTGGATTTCTTAAGAGCGCAACGGTCGATGTTGAACAAACTTTCACCTACAATTAGAAATGACAAGCACAAATGTGTGGATGACAGGTAAATAGATCAATTTGAGTTTCAATTTCCTTCTTTACTTTTAATTCAACCCTTAACTTCCTGATAAACCCATCAACTAATACAACCCTTTGAAAGTCTTGCTTACACAGGTTTAATATTTGTTTTTCAATACAACGACTTGCCGCTCAAAAACAATGAGATCACCAGCAGTAATCCGTCAACTTTTACTTTCAAAGTGCTGCAAGCAAAAGCCAAAGATAAATATTGCAGGTTTGATTCTTTTTTTAAAGTGAAGATGATGTTAGGTAAACAATGGCAATCGCTGACTTCCTCTCAGGCTAATTAAAATTGAATGGCGAGTGTATATCACAATCTTACTCACGCATTTAAGGAATTCATGGTTTTCAGTTATATATTGCATTCAACACTTTTCATTCACTTTCAATGGATTTGTTGATCTATTGTTGATTATCGTTTGTGATGTTGTTTTTCATCAAATTGTGTAGGTAGACTCAAAATATGTTTTTTACAATTTAGTCTCTTTTCTGGTGATACGAATTTGTTTAATTTTAAAGATCTTCATCTTCCTACTCAACAATAATTTAGACGAGCATTTTTTGATGGTGGCAACAAGTCGCTAACAATATCGCGATTAATTGCTGCTACCATTTTTTGCGTAACCTTATGATGTGCTTAAAAATTTGTTAATCCAGTTGCAGCTATTTTTTATTCTAATAGTTTAAGCCCTTTCAATTCACTAAAAGTCAAGTAACTTGAATATTATGTTGAAATTTCTCATCTCAAGCCAAGTTATCTATTTTTTGTGGTTTAAATGCGGAAAAGATTATCTTTCATTTCATCCAAAATCCTTTAGATTCATCGATTTAGCATAAACCACTCACAGTGCTTTACTTTTCATCAATATTATTCATATCATCTTGAGATAATTTGAATAATGTTGATCGCAATCTTTAAGAGGATAGTTATTTTTCACCTTGATTGACATTGGTGATGAGGATAATAATAATGTTCAATTTTGTAAAGAAAACGCTTCAACATTCAAATCAATTTTCAAAACATTTCCGTATCTATTTATCAATGAAGAAGGTTTAAACACGTTAAAGTAACACCAAGAAATAAAAGGTTTATGCAAAATCATCCCTTCATTTCTCCCTTTATCATCGTTTTCATCTTTCTAATCTTTATCATATAAACTGCATTCTATTTACGTTGATTTCAATTTTTGTTGAAAATACTTTTACTGCCTAATATTCCTAACTTGTTTCTCCTTTTTTTCAATCAACAGTAAACATGAAACATTGAAATATCCGGATATAACGGGACGATGTTGGTTAATCCACCGGAACGAGAGATTTTTCAATGAAATGTTAAAGATGATAATGATAGTGATGGCGACGATGTAAAGAGAAGCAATTGCAATGATGCAAAACTTGCCGAACAAGATGCTTGACATAAATTTATCAACATTTCACAAGCAATCAGACTCTAAAGGTTATCCTGTGAACTTTTAATATTACCCGTTGAATCAATCTATTACCCAGTTTTCAGGGGGAAGAAAGGTTTACCTGGTCCAGGATCCACAAAAGCACCAACAAACCACAACTATTATGGTTAATGATAACAATGATGGTTATAATAAAGGTATTTGTTGTTTAACCCCTTTTGTTTGACTGAATGTCAAACACTACAGATTGTTACTTAAACATTTTATTATATGATTCACAAACAAAAATAAAAGCAAAGATGAAGATGTTTTACAAGAATTAATAAACTGGTTTTTACAATATTTATTATTGATAAAAATACTTTCAAATTGAAACAGTTTATTATTTCCAAACATTGTCGGTGTTAAATTGAAATTTAATGAGGCAACAAAGATTTTTTCAAATGTAATTTAATTTACCCGAGTACAATATAAAAGGTGATAAATTTCATATTTTACTAAGCAAACGTTTTAAAATGATAAACTAATATTTTTTGTTTCTTTTTTTCTCCGTTTTCTCCTTAGGCTGGCTCTTAATTGAGGAAATAATTTTGCTAAAGATCAACAAGGCATTTAGAGTGAAAATCATTGGAAAAAAGCTATTCAACTTTATTAAATATCAATGAAACACTTGATTTGATAGTAAAGGAGAGAAAAAAAGTGACACCAGGATAACTCATTGAGAGAGGTGAATTTAAATTCAACGGAGAACAGTTAATTGTTGATGAACTCGGGTAACAAATAAGATGAAACAGTTACATCGTTTACCAAGACAATTTATCATGAGTGACTTCCGAAGGCATTGGCTTCTTAACGTTTACATCTCATAACTTCATGGACTGATGGCTTTAAGTAAGGTTAAAACTGTTAATGAAATTAACTGGAATCATGATGAAAATTGGAAATGTATCTTGTCAATTGTAAGGAAACATAGTTTACAAAGATTGCTGATTTTACTGCTCATATTTAGACTCCATATCTCATGTTGTCTTGAAACGCTTGGTTCATTGGAGATAAATTGTTTTAACTCCACAACCGATTAACAACATGATATCTTGAGTTAAACGACAATCAACATTTCCGGATTTTATTTATTACTAAGCTAGATATATTTATGTTCACTTAATTATGTGGTTAAACCTAAACAATAAGGTAGTCCTGGTTATTTTGTTGCCCTTAAGATTTGCTTGGTTGATAATCACGTCGCTAAGATTGTGTCAATTTATTTGTCTTACCATGAGTCTTCACTTTAATTGTATACTTTCTGAGGCGTAAATTTTTGACGACTAATTCAAGTAAAACAACTCTTCTGATTCTTGATTAAACTTTTTTTACCCCTAAATTCACCATCAGTTGATCTCTCAACTAACCTCTTCCCAAAGAAACAGGCCAATCATATTAATCACGATCTCATTTCCCCAACAGTCTAAACAATTTAACTTATTAACAGATTTATGAACTAATATTTTCCTTCGTTTTATTCATTTTTTCCAGCATCAAAAGAACAGAGAAAATCAAAGGAAATGAAATGTTAAATTGTGGTTAAATGGTATTCATAATGATCCAAGAATAATCTCAATATTGTACTTTTATTTTATGGCCTAACTTAACCATCCTAACACGATTGGATTTCATTCAAAAGCCAATGTCAATGATTTCTGGATTGGCATCTTCATACTTCCATGTTATGCTTGGTTGGATTGATCATCTTTTGTGAAATGATCTTCGTTTGATCATTTTCAATTGATTTGGCCTGAAAAAGAAGAGAAAAGTTTAAAATGGTAAACTGAAAGAGCTAAAATAGGAACCATTTGCAAATCGGAAAAGGGCCACTTATTTAGCCCGATTCCGATTAAATTGTTTCCAAATTGTTCTTCAATTGTTTGATCATTTTTCTCATCCATTTGTTTCCGTACAACCATTCACATCCAAATAAACATTGAGACGACACAATTATACCTGTTGATGATTATCATTGCTGATCCTGTTAATCATTCACCACTAAACCTTTAAATTTGGCAACAAAATGATTTACCTGTTAACTTACTTCCATCATGATCTAGGCTAAACAAAATGACCCTCTAAACCTGTGATATTAGGCAAACCAATTGAAGCAAAAAGGTAAAGATGACAATTCAAACTTTAATCAAACCTGCTTTTATCCTTTGATTAATTAATTCTATCTTTATTGTTGATACTCTTTTCTTTTTCTTTTCCATTAATGGACATTAATTTAGCGCTGTTTTCCTCTTAATACCAACAAATGTCACTGAAAGAGTCACAAATTAAATTACAAATCATATTGAAAATGCAGCTCAACGGGATAACACAAAATTGTTTGTTATTAATTTAAAAAAAGATTCCAAAGTTTCCTCAATTAATCACTTACTGTTAACCTTTATTGTTGTGCTTAAACACAATCAGCATTTGCAAATGAAAATCCTGTTGACAATCACCAGTAAAATACAATTAAATCAAGTAACTATGTTAATGATGGTTGTTTTGGTACATGGATGTTCATTAAGGATTTAAAAACAAAAAGGTTGAACAAAAAAGAAATGCAAGATAATCGTACAAATTAAAGGAAAGAAAAGGAGGTAATGGATTAAGAAAAGGAGATGCATAAAAATATGATTATAATTAACTTAATGATGATGTGTTAACTGCTATTGTCAACAGGTGAATGGAAAGAATTAACCAAAATTGAAGTTACAATCATATTGTAAATTTGAAGACAAGGACAATTTACAATTGAAGCTTTTCTCGCTTAAATTATTGACTTTTACGAATCGCATAAAATTCAATTGAACTGTGATTTTGGTGTCAGATTGAAAGGTCACCAAAGGATACCATCACTAACGTGAACATTAGAAATCGCTAGAACAAGATTTGAATCAAGATAAGCTTATTTTGGACTATTATTGAAACCAGGAACGAATGAAATAATGCCTCGACTTTTATGAATTTTCTGGATTTGGTCAAAGAATGTTAACCAACTTGATTGGTCATTATGCTGAGTTATATTTGAGTTGAAACTAATTCTGATTTAGTTTTTGAAATGTTGAAGCCATAGAATTGGATGATTGATTTACAATCAATCGATTAAACCTGATTGATAAACAAGAATGAAATTCATTGATTGGTGTTATTTTAAGTTTATATCCTTATTCAACATTAGTCTTATACAGAGCGAAAATATTGGCCTTTATGAAAAGTTAATCATGGTTAGAGAGAAGTGACCATAATGAAGGATCAATTTCCTGGTGAAAGTGGACATTGTGTTGATTTTCACGAGTTTAAATGAGATTGTAAAATGAATGAAAATGAAAAAGTTAATGCAAGAAGAAGAAGAAAAAAAAAGATGAAAGCAAATTCATAATGATAATAATAAAGGTTTTGTTAACCTTAATAGCAGTAAACAAGATGGAAAGTTGATTGTTGTGATTAAAAAATGGAGAAAGTATTCAACATTAATTAATAGCAATAGAATAAGATTGTTAATAGCAATTGTCTTTTCCCTTTCATCCAGAGATCATCTTTTCATCCCATTTTGTAATTACATTAAATCCTTTTCTTCTTCTTCCTCTTTTACCAACATTTTTTAGTCCATCTTTCCTCCTCCTCCACCTCATCATGAAAATCATCTTTATTATAATCTTAATTATCTGCTTGGTCATCTTGATCATCTAAAGTGGAAAATAAAATCTAATATTTATCACTGAAAAAGTATTAACAATTTAATGTTTGGATTGTGAAGAAAAAGCTATTTTGATTGTTTCGTTTTCCTATTTTTCTGCCTTTTTTCAACTCTCTCAACCTTTCATCAATACGAATTGAAAATGATGATCATAAATCATGCATCAAATGATGTTCAATTTAACTGTAATTTGTATTTTTGGGTGAATTAAATCGTCTATTAATCTTGTCTTAAAAAAAGATTTAGGAAAACAATAATGGCTAATAATGGTAAGTAAACAGGTCAACTAAGCGTACAAATAGCGTTTCATTTTGTGTGTGTTTTGTGTGTGAACAAATCAGATTACAATGAAAAAATGCCAAAAATAGTCAATAATAAACAAATTAACCTCTCGATTAACTTTATTATTTATTCATATTTAAATCAACAATTTTAATGTCTAACCGTTAAACAGGAGGAAACACGCAAATAAATGTCAACATCAATGTTATTTAAATGTAAATGATTGAGTTGATTAGGTTAGCTTTTAAATGTGTTATTGTCATGAATAACAAAAAATATTGTCCCGTTGTTGGTGAAGCAATATTTAAATGATTACAATTTTAATTCCAGGAATTAGGAAGTTGCACTTTATCCTTGTTTCCATCTAATGATGTTACATTAAGCAAAATATGTATAACTACAATTGGACATCAACCGAGGGTAAATGATGATAAATAATGATTGAACAATAATCGTTAGCCAAGGTAACATCATTTGTTGATGATCAACAGTCCAAAGATGAGTCCAACAATTATCATTAGCCGATTGTCCTGGAATCATTATCTAATCATGTTAACAATGGTCATCATGTTTCAAATCGTGTCCATTGATCGTGTCTTTGCCATCCATTTAGTGGAGGAAACAAAGGGATGAAATGGATAAATCGAAAAATCCAGCCAAATGAGCTTCAATAATTAAAACCTTAATTACTGGTCCTATTTAAGGTTAAAAGTTTCCAATTTTACTTCTGAGAAAAAAATGCGAGAAAAAAATGATTTCACATTAAAATCAGTTCATTAATAAACGACTTGAAGGTTTAAAAAAATGGTCATCTTTTGAATCATTTATGTTAAGGGCTCAATTGCATTAACTTAAATGACCATTGACCTATTAGGTGACAACCTATTTAGCACCTAAAATCATTAATAATAGAAGTTCATTTTTTTGGATTGGAAAATCCAAATGTAAATGTTGACAAAAGAATCAAAATATTTAATAATCGCCATTATTTACCCAATAAGAGTATAATATGTTTACTTTCAGCGATCCGTCAAGTTGATTGTAATGTATCAGGTCAGTTGAGAAAAAACATTGAATTTTGGGTTTTCAGGTTTGGTTTCAGGTCCAATTGTTGTCCATAATTTGCTTATCAAATCCTCCCACTTTTCATTCAACTAGATTTGAGGGGTTTAATTGATTATCATCGAGCCCACCAATTTAGACCACCAAGTTTCTGCTTTTCAAACAATATTTACAACCATTTTCATGTTGATTGCGATTTGTATAAAATATACATTAAGGCCTCTTAAGTTATGTTCCGTTGTTAATTTTGTAGGCCTACTATTGATGATGAGCCTGAGTATAATGAAGATGATGAATGATTGATGGTTGATCTTCACAGGTTTAATTATGTAGACAATCAGATTAATCTTTAAGGTCTCCTCACTCTGGGTTCAACTGGTTGGGGTTGACTTGATGATGATGAAGGTTTTCCCAATCCCTTTTAATGGTCAATCCAATGTTAGTCAATCTTAATCATCTACGAATAAATCATCAATAAAGGTAAATAAAATGTTGTTGAAAACATTTAATTCAACTTGAAATTACATTCTCCAGTCCAATCTGATTGTATTGTTAAGATGTAACTTGTAACAATCAACATTTACATCTGATTTCACGTATCCTTTCCTTGTGCTAAAGAGGTGAGTGAAGAAAAGAGAAGAAAAAGCTTTCCATCTTCATTACAATAAATTATTATTATTATCATTAGTAGTCAATCCCAATAGGTAAAAGTAAATAGCCAATGAATTTGTTACCTGTTAAATGTAATCATAACTACAACAGCAACAGTAACAACCAAAAATGCTAATAATATAAATCAAGTGAGCCTCTTCAAGTTTAATCAAATTGTTTCACAGAACAGAACAGGATGATGATGTTGATGAGGGAAAGATGGTAATCATGATGATTAGGATGAGGATGAAAGTAGCATGAGCTGGCGAATCAACAAGCGTGTTAATTCATTTGACGGACTCACAATCTTCAACTTGACAGGATAAAATTCACTGGAGTTTTAAGCAAGACCAATAACCTGGAAAAATTTTACTCCAAAAAATAAGGTGATTCCATATTTTGTCTTGTGATATCTTCAGTGTAACTTGGACCCAAAATCACCTAAATTACTTGTTGACTTGCGATCAATTTTTGCTATTATTTTCCTGCTTTAATCCAATTTTGTTGCCTCTCAAATACCAGTTAAACTCAAGTTTACGTTGATTATTTTGGATAGGTTAAACCAGAAGCGTTGATGATTGTGCATAATCTGTACGTGAAAGAAAAGGTTTCAATTAAAGTGGCAAATCAAGTTAATTTGAAGATTTCATGGGCTGTTAACAATTTCGTGAGACTAAATTGAAAACAAAATTTGATTATTATACTCACCAAGTTAACAGAAATTAACTTCGGCTAACTTGTTATTACAAGAAAAGATAAATTAATAACCGTAAAAGTGAAAAATTTTCAATCTCTTTGTTTACCTTTTTTTGACTCCTTTTGCTGTTGAGTTTTGCTGTTATTTATGTTCACACTCATCATCTTTACGAACAATCATTTTTAATCCATTAAAGGCATTATTAGATTGATTGTCAATTGATTGTTCTTCATCTCTTTTGTTGAATTTTTGGGTAAAATAATGAACTTTTAAAAACACTTGCGGTTGAGGCAAAATTTTCACAAATATTGAAAACGGCTACAAAAAAAGTAGCTATTTTCAGTAAAGTTAAGTAATCGTAATTCAAGATCTTATGTTGAATCAAATATTTCAAATTCCTGAGTTTCAATTCACCCTTTCGTTGATAATTCATCAATCAGCAAAGCTTATGTTGTGAATTAGTAAATAAATTAATGAAAATTGTGTGTAGATGTTGAAAAACAAATGAAATATTAAAAGGTAAAGATGAGAGTGACTGGATAAGTCCTTTCCAGGCATATTTTATTATACACGATTGAACCAAAAATCTCCATAAAAATTGACGATCACGAACAGAGAATTGCTAGTAAGTTGCTAATCAATAATCAGGCGTAAAGGAAAAATTAAACACAATTAAAGACAATACAAACAATCAAAATTTTAAACAGTTTAATAACTCGGTGTTACGAAACTGGCTAACTTGATAGCTTCAGAGCTGCCATCTGCTTGTTTTGCAATCAACTATCAACTGATTTGATCAAAATGGAAACAATCAATTCTTAAGATTCAACAGTTTCTGTTTCAGTTTCATTCCTGATTTGAAATTCAATATTAAAAGTAAACTCAAATATCTCAGGAAACAGTTCACAAAATTGTCTCTTCGATTAAGAAATGAGCAAGTAAGAAGCGCAATAGGAAAATAGCGTTGATCGCCAGTTTTTGATCAAAATTTGATAGGAAATCAGTGTCCAGATATCAGGTGTGAATCATTGGATAATTTCAGATACTCATTCATTGGATACTCAACTGAATTTGATAATTAAAATTGAATTTTATTTGCATTTTGAATTTAGTTTACTACATGTGCCATCTATACTTTGAAAGCTTTACTATTACTGCATTGTGAGTATTTTGATTCTGTTGAGTGCATAATATTATGAGTAAGATAGGCTTACTTTGTGGCGCTTATGATGTTGACTTTACTCTCACCTGTAATACCAAAACGAGTTTTTATACGTAACAATCATCAGTTGGTTGTGATAGAGTCATTTTTTTATTATTTTGTCATGTTTATTATTTAGTTCGCTTATTAATGTGTTTCAAATGTAAAGTCCAACCAATCTATTGTTTTTAGAAAACAGTTTAACACCTTATCTTTTCGGCGAAATTTTTGAGCTGAACCAGTTTTTTTCATGTATAAACTAATGGGTATTTTGTGGTCCAAATTAAGGGTGAGTTTTGTTTATGTCCCTTTTTACTAAATATTATTACCTTTTGTACCTTTAATTCACGATTTTAATCACCATTTTTTTCATCCACAGGGCAAAGAAACTTCACAAGAAAGGTTAGAGAGGATCACAGAAGAGATACGATCTTTGGAAGATCATAAATTTTCAGCAATCAAGCAGCAAAAGAATATTATTTTTCTCCTTTTTGTCATCTCTGGTCTCATATATATTTTTGCTTTAGGTGTCTTCTATTTCTATTACTTACCCAGCAGCCCGGATTGGGTTAAAAGATGTTTATATTCACTTCCTCTGGTGGTGTTTCCTCTCCTGTGAGTATTCATATCCTACTACTAACCCATTCGTTGCCTATTACGACTTCTCATTTGTGTATTTCTTTTTTCAGAGTTTATTTATTGAAACAATTTCTTCAATGGTATTATTTACAAGTAATAGACAAGAAAGAAGACAAACTCAAAGATCTACGTCGAGAGAAGAAAAGAATTCTTGACAAAGTAATGGAAACAGAAACTTATAAAGTGGCTAAAGAGCTTCTGGAAAAGTATGAGCCTTCAGTGTTGAAAGAATCTCGGCCAAACTCATGTCCATCATCTCCAGCTAATTCAGGATACTCAAATGTTCAGCAGCAACAACAGCAAAGAGTCCGATATCGTGGATCAATGCCTCCTCCAATGTTACTCAATTCTAGTTTTATTAGAACGCCTGAAAGACCCAGATTAATGGCTGATAATAGTATGAATGCTTCACAAACTAGTATACAGCCTATTTCTCCCCAGTTCGGTCGAGTTTCCATGATTCGCCCTGCGCTTACACAATACCCAGCTTTACCAGCACCCAGATTGTCACGTCCAATATTAGATCAAAATCGTTCTATTGTTGATAAACTAGTTGATTATGTTGTTGGTGATGGTCCGAGCAATAGATATGCTCTCATTTGTAATAATTGTAGTGGTCATAACGGAATGGCCTTGAAAGAGGAATTTGAATTCATTTCGTTTCGCTGCTGTTACTGTATGTCCTTCAATCCTTCGAGGAAACAGCGACCTTTTGCTCCAAACATAAGTCAAAGTGATACGAGCAGAGATAAGAATCTCGCACCTTTAATCGATGAGCCTGAAAGTGATAATGATAGTCGGCCGGATGAAAATAAACAAACTGCAAAGATTGCCGAAATTAAAGAGCAAGATGAGGTGTCAGATGCTGAAATTTCTACCGAATCCACTCCAGCGATATCAATATCTCACTTTGAGAATGATGGAGATAAGCCAAGTGGAGTTGGCAAGACTGATGAGGAAAACTTCCGAGAAAAGGAAGAAAAGTCACAAGATGAAGTGTCGAGGGTGGCTCAGACTACATCGTTACCAGATAGCTCAGAAAGTCAAAATAATTCTGAGTTACCATCAAACAGTCCAACTGATGCTCTTAATGATATTGATTTCATTGATGATGAAAATGAAGATGGTGAAAAGAGAGTTTTACTTTGAATTTTTATTCGTTTGTTTTTTTGATTACCCATGTAAAGGTTGAACAGATCGAACCACCTAAGCTAAGTTTTCCTTGATGAAAAAAGTTCTAGGTGAGCCTTAATCAACAATTATTTGCATCTCTTCCTTATATTTTGTTCACACAAAACATAAAAAACTGTCAACCTCCGTGGCTTCCCTATTTTAGTCATATTAAATAAATTTATATGTAATAAATGACGTGATTAAATCGCAAACTATTCAAACTATTCATTTTCCTTTAAGAGTAAATAATAAAGAAACTCCATAACATATTACATAATGTATTAAATTTCCAGTTTTGATATAAGTATTGCATATAAAGTATAAATTCTGGGTGAATTAATAATTTTCATGCCAGCAACTATTGAATGCTTTCAGACTAATCTTACATTCATTCAAAATACATTGTCATGAAAAGGATATTGTTTAAATTGTTGTGGTTCTAAACATGAAAAAAATCTACTTTCAATATAAACATTGGGACTCGATACCGGTACACGAAATATCATGTCACCGCTAGTTTCACAAAAGTCGTACATACTGTACAACCCCATTGTTGTTGTATTTTTGTTTTTGTTGTCTGTTGAAAAAGTCGGTTCCCATGTCAATTAACCAAATAAGGAACATTGCGTTGATCAATTATCACCAAAAATATCATTATAATAAAAATAACATAAATTATTTACAATGAACAATTAGATTGAAGATGTTTCAATTAATATTCTTAAAAGTATTTTCCAAGACTTTACAGCAATCTCGCAATTGGTAACCTAGATCTTGAAGACCAGGTAAATCAGCAGAGAAGCTTATTTTGGTACCATCTTTGCTAATCAAATCTACTAGATAATTTATTTCATTTATTTGGTTTCGAGACTTCGATTTGATGATAACATCTTGCCTCCACCTTGCGTCTACCAAGTCTTTAGGACCATTAGATTGTAAAGATCGACCATCATCAATCTTCATCTTCAGCAAGCGATTCTTCAAGTCTCGCTCTATCTTTTTATATTGGTCAACAATTGGCAGGACAAAGTCTTGAGCGACTGAAGCTTCACTAAGAGCCATTTCAATCAACGAGATTTCTTCAGAGATAGTTTTGTTGTTTTTGGCAGCTTCAAGAAATAAGCAGGCGACCGATAATCCAACCATTTTTAGTTCACATTTATCCATTATCTTTTCATATGAATTTATAGAACGACCATGAACCAATGATTGTCCAACTAATTCAGCTAATTGGATCAGCTGAAATTTAGAAAGTCTTGAATCATCTTTGAGAAGAGATAAGCCGGTCATAACATCTTGACAAAGTTCCATTATGCGTAATCTTGACCTCTACCAACTAAAATTCACCAAAGTTACAACACTTTACATAAATATAAGTCAATTTGATAACAAAAGAAAAAAAAATTACAAATAATTAACGGTTTGTTATTTGGGTAAGCCAACACACCCAATCAGCTGGTGACAAGTTGCCATTAGAAACTCGTTTTACTTTTTCTCGTACACTGTATGCTTCAATTTTCAACAGTTGAATTTTATTATAGTTCTAATATTACATCTATCTATCAAATTGTGTCTGGATATTTTAATCTTTACCTGACGATTTATTTGGTTAAGATCATCTAATCAACAAATGGATACAGTTGGATACCTGAAAGAACTGTGTTTGGTAAGTGTTGTTGACTTTCTTTTTTTTGATATGCGGTAACTTGTGCCGATTATTCAATAATAGGGAAAATTAAATTTACCTATTAATAATTTTTCACCACTCTTTTCCTTTGTTTTGTTTTCTTTTTTAGACCTCTGAACAGAATTGGAGGCTAATAGATTCAGTCTATTCCTCTGATCAAGAAAAATGTCTAAAAGCAATTATGTAAGTATTCATAATTTCACATCACAATGGGTTTTCAGTTATTTAAAAGCGCCATTTTCTTCTCTATCTATTGCTGTCTCTTTGTTTAGGTTCATGAAAAATAATGTGATTGGTAGTAACAAACAGAAGGAGAACGTTATCGAAAGAGGAATTGTACCTCGCTTGTTACAATTAATTTTAGATGAGACTGTAAAGGAACCTCTTTGCTATGAATGCATTGCCATCATTTGCAGTCTGTCAAAAGGCACACCTGAACATTTGCGTGTCATTATCAATGTCGGTACAGTTCCAGTTTTAATTACTAAAATAACTGACCCACACAGTTCTTCAAAACTGGTTGAAATCAGTCTGAGGGCTTTACGATCAATTTACACTTCATCTTTTGCACCTATCGATCTGATTTATGATTCCAAAGCATTTGAGGTCCCATTCGTCACATTTCTTCTGGAGTTAGCTTCTTCAACTCACATCTGGGCCATTCAAGAATGTATTGCGAATATTCTGGCCAATTCTTGTCAGACTACTGAGCACCAAACTGCTTTATGTGGGTACGGGGCGATTCAAATGGTTGCAAATCTCATGCTTTCACCGGCTTATAAAGTAAAAATACCGGCTCTTGAATTATTGGCAGCCATTTGTCATCAAAATGAAGATGCTTCCGAAGTCGCAGTCACAACCGTTGCAAATGGCAAGGATATCCCTCAAATACTCACTGAGCTTATGAACCAAGAAAATACACCAACTATGCAGTTTAATGCGGCTAAATGCATGACTTATATGCACCGAGCTGGTGCTATAGTGGGTAATATAAATTCAGAAGATCACGAAATCGTTTATAAAACTCTCCCAACATTAGTAAGAATGTGTGAAAAAGACAAGGAGCCATGTATTCGAGCCGCTTCAGCACATATTCTGGCCTATCTTACGGAAGTTGATACTGAGCTACAAAGGACTGCAGCCATTTGTAATCACATTATTCCAACCTTAGCAGATTTTTTCAAATATCAATCACCTTGTCAAGTAACCGTTAATAAATCAACTATTCAAAGCAATGCTGCCTCGCTGCAGGACGATGCTTCATCTATGAGTGACAGCGAAACAAACCTTAAAGAAGAAGAAATTAAACTAACCATTGGTCAAGAAATGAAAGAAGCAGCTCTAAAAGCTTTTGCTTCCCTTGCAGCTAATGAAGAAGATACAAGAAAGAAAATTATTGAAACTGATATGTTGATGGAACACATAATAAATGGTTTATCTGATCCAAACGTTAAAATTCGACTGGCTGCCTTGCGATGTCTTCACAGTCTTTCTAGATCTGTTCAACAATTGAGAACTACCTTTCAAGATCATCATGTATGGATACCTTTGAAAAGTCTTTTAAACAACGCTACTGATGATGTTCTTATAGTCGTTTCTAGTACTTTGTGTAATCTTCTCCTTGAGTTTTCTCCTAGTAAAGAGGTAAGATGAAGTAAAACGATTGAGTCTTTAATTAAGATAGCTATGAGGGCATTTATGCTAAATCTCAAAAAAATTCAGGATTATTTAAAAATAGTGCTTGTTCATTTATATTGGTATTTCTCTTCTATTTTTCTGTTGACAGCATTTTTTGGATCGTAATGCTGTAGAAAGACTTTGTTCACTGACTCAGAGGGAAGAGAAAGCTTTACGTTTGAATGGAGTTTGGGCATTAATGAACATGGCATTTCAAGCAGATCAAAATATTAAAAATCAAATTCTTTCTTGTCTTGGAACTAATCAAATTTTTAAACTTTTATCTGACTCTGACTCAACCATTGTTATGAAGACTCTTGGCTTGATTCGCAATTTATTATCTACGAAATATGTTAGTCTTAATCGAAACTATCTTCTAATTCAATAACCACAACTTTATATTTTATATTTTTCTTTGTTTTTACAGCATATAGATCAAATTATGTCAACTCACGGAAAACAATTGATGCAAGCAGTGAATATGGCGCTTGACGATGAAAACGTTGTTGAAATCAAGGAACAAGCTCTATGTATTTTAGCAAACATCGCCAGTGGCAACACATCAAAGGAGTTCATCATGTCAAATGAAGAAGTTCTCAAAAAGCTTCTCAATTTTATGATTAACAGTAACGTCAAATTACAGATTGCTGCCGTTTTTTGTATATCCAACTTGCTGTGGAAAGAAGAAGATGGAGCCGCTAAGCGTCAAGCAAAATTGAAAGAAATGGGAGTGAAAAGTGCGTTAAAGCAACTGTTGCACACTCAAGATACTGCATTGTTCGATAAAGCGAAAACTGCCCTCGATCAATTTTCAAATTTCCCGTGAAATTTAAGCTGATCAACATATTCTTCAACACATTCTCCGTCTATTAAAAAAGCAAGGAGAAATCAACTCTATCTATTCATCAAAAACCATTCTTCCAAAATTTATACAAGGATATAAAAATAAGTCATCATGCTTGAAATTTACTGAGTTTATAGTTATAAAAATCTACTCTACATTTATCATTTTTCACTTTTGTGAATCTGTTTCTCTGTTAACCCAAACTTTGCAGACAATTCCATTACTTCGGAAAGCTTAATTCACTGTGTTCGCCTTTTACACGCTTTTTCGATGATTATCATTAACTCTTTAATCTACAACTCTCCACCTTTCTTGACCCTTGATTAACATCCTAAGTCTATGTATCAATACCAATATATCAACTTTTCCCTCATGCCAAGTGGAACACAGTTAAAGGTGGTAAATATCCGAGTGATTTTATTATTAATAAAAAACATTGCAGACTCATCCAATATCTTTAAATTGAATAAGATATCAACAAAAACAGTTTGTTGCTCTATGATGATCATTTTCGGGTTAAATCTTTATTTCCATTCCGTGATGAACTTTTAGATTTAAGATCACCATACACCCATTCTGTAAAGTCAGTTATTTCAAGAGGCGGCAGATATTTAATGAAATTTTTCAGATTATTTCCGGAATTTGTCAATATCACTCTCTCACGTGGATCATTATCTGCAAAGAACATGGTATTGCCTTCCTCATCATGCTCATCTAAAATAAAAATTTATATATTAATTGTTATTCTCCTCATTGACTTGTAAAAAAACTTAAGGGGAGCATATGCCAACAATTTGACTTTTTAGTAGAGCATTGTTTAGAAACAGACATTTTCAAATCTTTTGTTCTCAAATCCAATGGATTATAAAGAATCAACACTTTTTCATTTGGTAAAAAACCCATTCAAAAGCAAAAGGCTGTATTGTATGTACTTCCCAAAATAACCGCATTTTCTGGTTGTCCATCAGAGGTTACTTCAGCAGAGTGAGTTACGAAAAAATCTGCTTCCATAATTGTACAAAACCCGAGCGAAATTTCAACTTTGACCTCGTTTTCACTTAAAGTGGGGATCGGGGACATTTTTCATAGCACTAATGGATTCAGTTGCCATGTTCTTACAAACCCACAAAGCTCCAAATCTTAACTCAAAAGAAAAAATTTTTGGCATATACTTCTTTTAAATTGACTTACTTGATAAATATTCAATATTTTGCAGTCTTTCAGCAATTAGACTTCTCCATCGTTTTGTGACGTCACAGTGACATCACAATGGATTTTTCCGGTGAAATGTTGATTGGATTCACTTCCGGTGACTTTTTTGACCTGGGAATGTTTTTTTCAGCTTTTAGATCATTTTTAGAACAAATTAAGTCCAAAAATGTCGATGTAAATTGATCTGAATCGACTTTTTTGGATCCAGATAACTCGATCCATTTTTCATCGGAAACACCCTAACTTACTTGATAAATATTCAATATTTTGCAGTCTTTCAGCAATTAGACTTCTCCATCTTTTATTGACTAATTATAAATGAAAAAAATTAAGATTTTTAAGTTATAACAAGACTAGTCAAGTTATTTCAATTGCATGAGATAATGCCTCTCGTTTATCAATTTCCTATCGCGATATTAATCGCAAAACTCGAGTTATCTCAAGCAATGACATTTTAAACTAAACTTGATTTATCAAAAAAGATTGAAAGCATAAAATTCCGGACATTTTTTATGACCAAAACTCAAAAACAGTTATTAATACAGATCTCAGGTTTAATCTAATGAACTTTTGAGAATTGAACACCTTCATATTCGGGTTTTGAAACATAAAAGGCGTAAAATTAAAAAATGACCGGTTTAATGATGCTCGATAAAGGTTTTTCATTATAAACTTTACTTACCTTCGGAACAATTATGAAGCGTCTCAAAGTTTTTGATGCGATAGAAAATGTATAATAAAATTTCATCGGGTAACTTTTCGATACTCATTTTAGCAACTTGAAAAGACAAGATCAAAACCAAAAGCAGCAAGATAAACTTGAAATTATAAAAGACCAAAAGTCCAGTGATGACCAGTTTATTATGAACCGATAGGAACCGACCTGACTTTAAATAAAAAGAAATATCAGATGCTTGACCCGGAGGCGTTCCGATATACGCGATAAAAATCGATATTTAGGTCTCGATATATTTCGATATGCCGTACGATAAATCGATAAATATTCAAAAAAAAAACGGTGTGATTCTTGACAAGTTTTTGTTATTTAAGCATAATATTCTATTAATTTAAAATTGATCTGATTGAGCTCGACTTGTTAAAGATTCAAACGGCATAATAACCCAAAAATTGATAGATTCTAGATGATTTTGGTATTCACTGAATCATTTGAGTCAACAGATGCAATGAAAATCAAAAACATTGAAAGATCAGTCTATGATTGAGCCTTAAAAGAATAATGTGGCTAAATTTTTATGTCATCTATTTAATGTTAATGGCGAACGTCATAAAGTCTCTTTCATGAATTTAAAAAGAGTTTGCATGATAAAATCGACTCAAATAGAAAAATATATTGTGGCAATACAATGTATCCCTAAACCGAATCTAGAGAAAACAAAAGAATTTTTTTGCTCAATGTCGCATTCAGAGCCCTGTAGATCAGCCCCGACAGTTGGGAACAGTCTGGGGCAGTGAGCACATATAGACCAAAACCTCCTCTATGTAATAAGACCCTTTCCCGAACTTGACCTTTTGCGGCTTTCTGCGGCTAGCGCGTTTTATAAATGCCAAATTTTACAAATACTTACACAAAGAAAAAAAATTTGATGTCTTTTTAGGACTTTCCATGAAAATCACTTGTCCCTTCAATGTTATTGTTAATTTTAATCAACGAATAATATTTTTACTAATTTTTTCTTTTCCATTTTATCCAACCGAGCTTCCCTTTGAAAAATTATAGCCATAATCAAGTTAGATTGTATTTATTCAACAATTAGATTTTCGTTTCAATCAAAGTAATTCATTGATACGCTTTGTACCATTACAACCGAAAAATAGGAATAGTTTATAAATATAATATATAAGTAAAAAGAAACATTTTCATAGCGAAATTCAACAGCCATTAGATTGTTAAAAATGTTTTTAAAATCGATTTTGATATGATTTGTAAATTGATTATAAAACATCACAGGATTACATTTGGTTCAGGAACGGATGCATTGATTGATTTGTTAGGAAGTACTTTAACACTATTCAGATAAAGTTCGTCTTTCACGATCACATCCTCACCAAGGACACATGTGTTTTCCATTCGCACCTGAAAAAACCAGAAAGATAGAAACAATTAGATTTAGATTATAAGTTTGATTGGTTTTTGACAACTTACCCAGCGTCCTATGCAGCATTTCCATCCAATTAAGCAATTATCCAACCAGGAATGTGATTTAACTGAACTGTCTCGCAGAATTGTGCATCTTTTGATACACACTCCTTCCTCGATGACGACGTTAGGTCCAATTGACACATTAGGACCGATCCGACAATTTGGTCCGATTTTGGCAGTAGGATCAATTAGTACGTTTCCGTATATTCCAGGTCCCTGATGTAAAGATAAAGGTTGCGTATCACGTAAAAATTCAAGATAAAGGCTCATTCCCATAAGAAAATCTTTTGGCTGACCAACATCCATCCAAAAGCCTTTTAATTCGAATGCATAGAGTTGACCATCCTTGGCCATTTCAGGAAAAACTTCTTTCTCGATAGAGGTTGGTTTCAACTAAAAAATATAACAATCAGTGAGATTGAAATCACAAAATGCGGTCTCTCTGAACAAACCTGAATTCTGTTTAAAATAGATGTATTGAATATATAAAGCCCAGAATTGATTCGGTTTGATATATATTCTTGAGGTTTCTCGATAAACTCTTTGATTTGTCCCCTGTTGTCATATACAACAACACCATACTTCGATGGCTCATTGACTTTATTGACCTGTATTGAGGGTAAAAAACAAAGCAAATAAAATATAAAAAATGAATGATAAAATATATGATAAAATGATATTGCTGATTAGATAATGAATCTTTATAAAACTAACCGCAATAGTCCCTTCTTTTCCGTGCATTTTGTGAAATAAAATCATCTCTTGAAATGGAAAATCACAAATAATATCACTGTTAAGCACAAAAAAAGGTTCATTGTCTTCTAATAATAGATGCCGTGCAAGTGCCAAAGGTCCAGCCGTTCCTAAAGGTTCTTCCTCGAAAGAGATGCTTATACGAATCTTGAGCTGCACCAAAAAAAGGAATAGATTAGAAAAATAATCACAAGTATAGAAAATCATGTCACTTACTCGTTCTTCTTCAGCTTTTAGAGCCTTTTCCAGCATCTCTGCTCGATAACTAACGGCAAGAATAATGTGATTAACATTTGCCTGAATGAGAAAATTTTTGAAATAGTCAAAATCAATTTGAAAAGTTAGTCGGAAAAATTTTAAACAACTGTCATTGACACTTACCTCAACAAGAGCTTCAATTTGATGCAGAATCATCGGCTTGTTGCAAAACTCGATCAACGGTTTTGGTTTGGACAATGTTAATGGACGGAGACGAGTCCCATAACCGCCGACAAGGATAAGCGCTTTCATGATTGATTAAATATTAAAATGATAAAAATTGAAAAGTACACGTAAAATAAATCCTCTGATGGTTTGCTGTCATGGCTACATCTTAGGTGGGAAAATACAAAAATAAATAGACCATTAACATAAGTCTGTTGTCAAAATTAAATTTGTAGCTCAAGATAACGTCTTGACTACGACACATTCTAACTTGGATACTAACTCAATGTTTTTATTCATGTTCAAATCTTCAGTATTATTTATCATGTTTTTTTACAAAATCTGAAACAGGTATCTTTCAATAAAATAATGAAGATCCATTTTTTGTTCATTTTCATAATGTAACAGAACTTTGAAAACAATAACTACCAATTTAAAGTTAAAACAATCACACGAGCTTGTCTGTAACCAGCAAAATGTTTAAATAAACGCAGAACTTTAGACAAAATAACTAAATAATGATAATTTTTCAATTAAAGTCCACAATTTCAGCTCATGAACCTTAAAGTTTTGGTCAACAAAATAAGTTTATTGAAATTTACAGTAGATGGAAGCACATGTTCTTTCGCTTGATGCCGTCACAGTTACCTGTTAATTATCGATTTATTAACAATTGCTAAGCAAATCAATTAAAAAATAAGCAGAAAATTAGAAATAAATGTTTTCAAATCAAGTCAATCATGTTTAATTGGAAATCCTCGTTTTTTAATGGTTTAATCAATCTTTCTATCTGATGCTCACGGATTAAATCGTAACTCAAATTGAACGAAACAAATTCAGCAGATCAAACGAGAGTTGGTCAATTTATTTGATCCATTGGATTGATTCAATAATCTTGAACTTAATTTTAACAGGCAATACTGGTGTTTTTGCGATCCACTTGGATTTACTCTTTCTATCGAGTATATTCCATTGGGATATCGATATCTTGAATCTAGTAATAAGGTGAAAGATGATTAGCTTATGGGACTGTTGAAATCCCCTTCAAGTAAATGGTTCAACTTTTTACCTTAATTTTACCTCTCAATTTGTAAAATTTGCTGCGTTTAATCATTTTTTACCTATTCTATTGTTTGTCGAGGAAATTTTAAACAAAAGTTTGATTGTTATTTCTATAGGTGTTGTTGGTGTTACGGTTCACTCGATAATGTTACCGTATACATCCTAAAGTCGATTGACCTTGCTTTAAAACTAATAGTTAACCAAGTGAAACGTTGAACGTGGCTTGTGTGTTTGTCAACAGTGTCATATTATATAACAGCAAGTTGATTGACAGAGCATCTTGAATCAGTCTTGTGTAACTTTATCTGGCAAGGAAAAATAACAAGCCACATAGACTTGGAGTTACATGATTTAAGGTTACACATTGGCTAGAGAAAGTCAACATCTTGCCGCTATAAAGCAGCTGAATTTTTGGATGGAACCAAGGAAAAGCTCTAGCCATAGATTAGTGTATTGGTTTTTGGTACAAGTCAACAATATGATCAAATCTAGTAATCATAGATATGTATACCAGTATAACTATTATCCTGATTATTTAATTATAGTTTGAAGAAAAGAAAAGAAAAAGGTTTGTATCTCTATTTTTTACCCAAAATTAGCTTCCTTTACAATCATTTAGCTCTCCATACATTTTTGTGGCTATTATATTAATATGATTATTTTATTTATATTCACTACAGCCATATTGTACAGCACCAAACAACTCAGCAGGAATAGATGAAGACATGAATATGATGTCTTTCCAGTGTCAACGCTCTAGGAGGCCCTTTTTGCTAATCATCATCATTACATTATTTGCCAGTGTTACTGGTACATAAACAGGGGAAGAGAGATAGAAAGAAATAAAAGTAAAGCAAAACATGGTAAGTTACTCAATGAAGATTACTGAAAATTTCTGATGAGATTGCCATAATTATCATGGAACCAGGCATTGCTGTATTCCTACTTTGACTCTTTTCCAGCTCAACTTGGTGTGCTCATTTCATCTCAATGTCTATCCCTGTATAATTGGGCGTTTTCATCAGACCAAATAGCTATTTTTTCGCCTCTAATCTATCTCTATATGTGGCTTATGCAATCAATTATCCTTTTTTATTCTCTTTCTCATTCTTCTTTCTCTTTCTCTCTCTCTCTCTTACAAGGTGGGTCCATCATTTTACCAGGCAACTGTGTCATCATCATCATCATCATCAGAGCTCTATCATACTAATCAACTTCCATACACACAACTATTTCTCTCCTCCTTCTCCATTCCATTTATCTCTATGTCACTTTTTCTGCTTCTATTTTGACTTTCCTTCTTTTTATCTCTTATTCCTCATATCAAAGCAATTATTAGTTGATTCCCTGTGATCTGCAATTATTATAGTTGCCATTATTATGACACTACTTTTACTACTACCACTATGATCATTATTACTGTTATAATTATTGTTATTATCGTTGTATTTAGGCTTATGTTTAGATGAGTTTATGCTTTGGTTGTAAAAATAGCGTCTTAAGAAGGGGGAAAGAAGGAAAAAATGTTGAAAAGAAGCAGCTAATGTGTATTAATGTTGCAAAAAAACAGGACTGAGCCAGAAACAAAAATACAGGTATCCGTTTTGTTTGCTGATATAGGGATGAATGGTTGAAATAGAAAGGAGTAAACATCAACTGGAACTTGCCATCATTCAGATTAGGTGTGACTCCATCAGTCTAATAAGTTCTGGTTCCATTCCAAATACAAGTGAGCATTTCTGTTTCTTGTTTTTATAGATAAAATTCAAATATTCATCATGTTTTGTTTGTTTCTTTTCTTTTAGTAATCCTGGTCTTTCCTTTTTCTTTCTGCCCTCCTGGTTTTGACCTTTGCCAAAAAAAGAAACTACTTTGTTCATCTTTTGTACACCATCAGCCATCATCACCACCAACACCACCAATACTGCAACCTACCACCACCAATCGTTTAATTGTAGGTATGATTGCTGTTAGATTGCTCTTTGATTGATCGATGGATAATCATTGGATCTACAAAATTTTTCATTCTCTTTCTTTTCTTTCTCTCTTCGCTTTACCTTAACTAAACATTTCTCTCTTTTCCTAAACTTGACTTCTGCAAATTTTATGTGCGTGTGTAAATTTTGCCCTTTTGCTCTTCAATCACCCTGCAATCGCTTATTCTGATCATTTCCAATTTACACAATACAACAGAAGAAAAAGAAAGAAGCAAAAAATGGGAAAAAAATATTAAACCTGTAAAATGTAATTCATTAACTTATGCAATTTAATGGAATCATTTTGACACTAAATTGGTTCCTTTAAATATCATCTTTTTTTCCAAATGCAAACTGAAAGGAAACAAGCTTATTCATTGTACCTTTACATCATCAACTTGTTAATGTTGATGATTAAAGGTAATTACAATTTTCTATTCTACGTTAATTGTAATGCTCATTGTGGTTTCAGTTAAACTTGAATCGAAAACAGATTCTAGATGAAATCAGGTTATAAATTTTAAACTGCAAGTTTTATCATTAATCGGATGAAATTAGAGTGAATATAAAAAACTAATATAAGGTAAAGAAGATGGTTAAAGGTGCAAAAAATGGTTAAATATAATGATTATGACGATTCTCATTGATATCATTTCTTTTACAGGAAAACCGATAAATGGAATAGCGAGACATTTGAATGACCTGACAAGTGATAGTGACCTTGACCTAAGAAATGAATGGCCTTGCAAGGATAAATGACAGAGCACTGAATGGCAAAAAAAAGAAGAAGAATGAAGGAAGAAAAGGCAAAAAAGAGCTGAAGAGCTTTGATGATGAATACAAAGAGATGAAAATATTGCACAAAAGATGGTTAAAGAAAAGATGAAAAAGGAGAAAAGGAAAACGGAAGAATGAAGAGTGAAAAAAGAGACAATTGAAAAAGGATGATGCTCATGATGATGGTGGAGATGAAGATGAGGAAAAAAAAGAAAGTAGGAAAAGTAAGTGAAGATATATTAAGATATTATCACCTTTTATTTTAATAATGATAATATTTTAATTGAATGCACTGCATTTGAATACATTGGTAGAGAGACACGCAAAAAATGAGCAAAATTGTGTTCATCTTTTTCCATTTGTTAATTTAAATATGATGATAATATTAATAATAATGGTAAACTAATTGATATTTATTATTATTTTATTAATAATGAGCGACTTGAAAGATGTTCATGAAGAGAAAAGGAGAAAATTCCAACTCTTTTTTTTTGAATTGAAAATTTTGCTCCATCTTGTAATTAAGTTATAACTCTTTATTTAATTAAGTTGAATGATTAAAACAAATTAATTGATGATTCTTTGTTTACTTCTGTTTTTTTCCAGATTATTCAGTGATGCTGCTGATGATGAGCCATGGCCATTGTTTAACCCTGTTGATGGTGATGAAGGGAGAAGAGTGATTCAATGGTTTACTAATTAACAATCAAAATGTGAAAAGATGTTCAAATGAAATGAATGGATTTGGTAAAGACATTAATGATAATGACCATTATTTTGATTCCATATTTATCCGTCACAATCAAATTTAATTGTACAGAATCAACCGTGAGAAAGGAAATGATATACACAGGAAACATAGAGAGTCCTAGAGATTGAAAGGATCAAGCAAAAAAGCAAAAAAAAGTAGGAGAGGAACAAGCTTCCTCTTCCTCTCCATCTTCATCTTGATCTCTCCTCAGACGACGATGGTGATGCTGATAATGATGATGATGATAAAAGTGGCACGGGTGGATCAAAAGCTGGCCTAATCCTGTCATCCGTAAACCACAAAAATCAAGTACGTATTCACATTATTGACTCTCTATTGCGATATTTTACTCAACGCATTTCTCTTTCTCTCTCTTACAGTCATTATTTTTTACTCTTCCAGCTTTAATGGATCAATGTTTTCACTCGAATTGGGATAAGATGAAAAAACAAGAGTGATTTAACCCGTGTCTACTCTTGATACGATAGAGACGGAAATTCCGTTTTCCGTCATTCCCATCCGATGAGCCGATTTTGCTTTATTGACCTGAGCATCAGTGGCTTCCTTTTTCACCATCTTCATCTCATCATCTTCTACCCTTCATTTGTCCCTCTTTAAAAGTCATGGAACAATTTTGCCTCAACTTGGACCAATCAATAATCACGAATGTTGAAATGCATCTCAAGGTTTTTACCTCAACGCGTGGCAGACACAAGCAAATTTGAGCTAAATAATCAATGGATGGATTGTCTGTTGTACGTAAGCAAAATGTACATTGCACACTTTATAACTCACTAATACAATCTATTTTTTTTGTATGTCCTTTAGTTTGATGCTCCAGTTGTTTAATACATTGAAATGATAACCTCAACTGGATTGAAATGCATCAACAATTTACATCTCATTCCTGTCTTTTCAATAACAATCGTACAAACAACTAAATGTTGACATGAAAAACAAAACCAGCAGCAAGGAGAAAAAAAGGTTCCATGAAAAGAGGAAAATCTGAATTTAATTCCATGTTGCCAAGTTGATTAACCTTTTCTGACCAATTTGATTGTCTAATGAATTCAACCATAAGTTGAACTAGTCATTAACAGCAAATAGGTCCATCATCATCATCATCATCTTTATTATTATCTTTTTTTCCCCTCTAAACCCTAATAATGCAAGCAAAATCATATTATCATCTTTACTCATCTTTTTAACATCATTTGGATCATCTGCAAATCCTGAGATTACAAATTTATACGATAAACGATTCAACGATAAATGGATTCACATACTTTAACAGCAATTAATTTCAAATCAATCAACTTCACTTTTGACAAAAGGTAAAGTATTATCAGGTTAAAAAAACACAAACCTGAAAAATTATTTCCAAAATGAATGCTTATTCTAATGATATGTCAAATTATAATAGGAAATAGTTACCAAGTATCATTATTATCATACTAATACTAATATTTATTGTTATCATTATTTGATTGCAGCATACATTTGAGCTTAAATTTCATTTGGAAAACAACAATTGGATTGAACAACAAACGAAGAGCGGAGAGTTTGAAATGAAATGAAATATTATCATCTGGTCGATCAATTAAACAGTGGAAAAACGTTTAAATCTAAAGCTACAACAATCTATTTTCAACCTGTTGGTGATGATAAATTTTCAAATCCTCGGTGAATCCTGTAAACAAGTAGAGAGAGAGAAAAAAATGAAACCAACTTGAACTCAATCTTTTGGATAAAATTTTTACTGCTCTCAATCCAGGGAAAAGAAAGATTGTAAAAGAGAGAATCACTTTGAACTTCATGGAATTTGCGCACAACATGGTGTTCCAAAGCCTCAGCCCACTTGTAACGCTATTGGCTTCAAGAATCCTCTGGTATAAAAAACACAGAAACAGAATCAGAGGGAGCAAAAAGAGAGGAAAGAAAGAGAAGATAAATGTTCCCTAGAAGACGCCTTTTATTCCCTTTCTCAGTTTCTCCCTTCAAATGATCCAATAGAATTGATCTATTCTTTCAACTCTCTCTTTCTCACTATTCCGTCTTCTCTCCCACATCTTCTTCATCATCGTTCTCATCTTCATCTTCACCATGTTCATTATAGCTTAGTTTTTATTTACTATTTCATCCTAAATAAGGAGTAAATATTGTTACCCATTTGATTGACAATTTTACTCTCAGCATGTTTCATTCATTTAAGAAAACCATTACCAATCAACATTTTCTTCCAATCAATTTGCTCTCTTCATCCAAATCTTGCCCTTCAAGCCTTTCATCCTTCATCATGTCAACCAAATTACCTAAACTCCTTCTTCTTCTTCTTGATGTAACTTTTTTTCTTAAAACAGTTTCCAATCTTTTCTTACTTCTCTTCCATTCATTATCCTTTCCATCCTTTCACCAGTTTTCATTGTCTTTTCCTCTTCTCGTCACTCATTCCATGATTATCATCACCATACTCATCAACTTGCTAATAAATCTTTCAAGTTATTAATATTCTAATGCACATCAATCAGAGTAAAAACCGTTTACCATGTTAACAGGTCAAAAAAAGGTAACTCACAAAGGTGATGATGATGGAAAGAGAGAGAGAAGAAGAAGAAAAAAAGTTTGTCAACATTTATCATGTTGATCATTTTTTTGATCAAAGGCAAAACATTCACACCAATTGATCAATTTTTACATATAAAGTTTACCTGTCAAAAGGTGAACAAAGCAACATCCTCACAACCTTTATCAAGACTCTTGTATCATGAGTTTCATCATCATTCTCATTATTATCATTATTATTCAGTTCAACTTAAGAAACATGGAAACATTGTTAAACCTTAAACAAGGCTGAATGAAAGTGCAATGAAACACAAATCTAAAAAAAGAGAGAAGCAATTTTGATAAATCACTTTTAACCATTTCCTATTTGTATTTTATAACAAATAATTATCAATTTAGTTGACAAAATTGAATCAATTGAATAGCAATTGACTCTCGTTTGAAACAATCAATAAACTATCGAGAAAATAAAAGAGACTCTTTAACATCTAATTGAGTCTAAAGATATCATCATATGGTAATAATAATTACAATGATAATAATAAATGATGATGATAATAACAATACAAGAATGAAAAAAAGCGACAATTTTTTTCTCTCTCTCCTCATTCTTAACTTTTCCCTGTAACACAAAAAGACTGAGCCATTGTGATTCATTGATATTATAATAACCTAATGAAGAAACAAATTGTTCATTATCATTGATAAATATCATTCTCAATGAATAAGGTTTATTAAGTTTAATGTTAATCATTTCCACCATCAATTAGCAAATTAAAAGCATATTAAGACTATTTTTACTAAATTTATTTTTTCTCCTTTTTTCTTACAGCAAACCTTCAAAACTGTCAAGACTGAGGATGAAAAGGATTGCCTTTGAAGCAACACAAAAAAGCGATATTCTGGTGCTGATGATTCTAATGATTCTGATGATCCTGAAGATGATGATCTTAACATGATGAGTGGAAAAGACACTGAAGAAAATTGAACATTTTCTCAACTCAACTCATGAAACTGATTGTCTCTTAAATTTGTATCTCTTTTTTTTCGCCTCAATTTTTTTCTCATCCTTTTTTCATCTTCACCATCTCTTCATCATTCCATCTTCATTTTCCCATTTCAACTTTACTCTTTTACTGGGATCAATGTTAATCTATAGTAACCTTTATAGGTTTTATTTTAGGAAAAATGTTCAAGAAAATGAAGAGAGAAAAAAATGTACACAGAAAACAGAAAAGACCAGATAAGATGATGAAGATGAAAATGATGAGAAAAGGCGAAAGGAAAAGGAAAAAGATATTTTGCTTCTCTTCAGATGTGTGTTTATATTTATTATTATCATTATTATAATTGAGAATGAAAGTTAAATTAATAGTTGAAATTGAATATCATTGAAACCAATTATAAATTACAATTGAACTTTAGGTATTTTGTGATTGTAATAAATGATAATATTAATAATGGCAAATAATGACTTGAATGGTAAATACATAAGTTTATGTAATCATATTTTTACCATTTGTTTTGGGCCAACATCTAGAGTAACAAATGTAATTGTGATTGATCAATATATTAACCCATAATAAGGTGTTAATCACTGATCAATCTTAAATCAAGAAAAGATTCAAATCTTAACCAGAAACTCAACAATTGTTGCCAGAAGAAGAAGAAGAAGAGAAAATGTTTTCAACATTTCTTTTCATTGATCAACTTATTAAATTGAATACATTATTGAGGTTCACCAGTAACACTTGATTCAGCTGTGACCATAAATATTATTGACTCGAGATTAGATGATAATGATGATTAAATTGGCAACAAACTGTAAGTTAATTTACATATAATATAGTCTCATTCAATATGTTACCTTATGAAGAGAGAGAGACCACAAAACTCTTGATAATAATGGTTTATAATAACAGTGAAGAGACGCTTTTTTTATGCTTGAAAAGAGTCCAAAGCAAGTGACAAGTTGAACGTTATTGAATACATGAAATACAGAGAGTTAAAGGTTTACCAATTTGATTGACGTTAACAGTTAGATGTGATTTGAGTGTTTATTAGTTAAATGTTTGTATTGTAATGGTTTTACATCTTTTATGGTGTGATTTGATAATGTTAATCAATGACACTTTTATTGCTTGGTTCAGTGTAAAGGTAAAAGATGATGGAATGAAGGATGAAGAATGTTAAATGTTGATTAATTGAAAATCATTGCGAGCCTGATCAATCTGTTCAACTCTACTTTTTAGATATTTTTTTACCTCAATTAATTTTCGAACCTATAATTTATATATAATAATGGATAATATTATTGATTCAGTGATTTGGTGTTGATCATGTTTTTTGGCCCGTTATAACACACAGATTGAAGTTGCAACTTTTTCCCTTCTTCACTCAAATGAAATACAATTTTCTGTGTATTGATAGCCCATGGAATCAATTTAGGCTTTTACTTTACGATGATGATGATGATGGTGATGGAAATGATTAGAAATAACTGAATCTCTGAATACGTTGAGATAGCAAAAGATGAACGATGGTAAAGATGATGAGAAGGAGAAGAAGAAGAAGATGAAAAAAAGATGAAGCAAAAAGGGAAAGAATGGTAAGTAAGATTACCCAAAGGAATTACATGGTGAATAAGCAGCCTCTCTTTTTCATCATTTTCATCCATTTCTATCCTTCTCATGATGATGATGAACAAGTTTCAATATAGGATTTCTGGATTGCATTTCTTTCATTGGCAAGAGAAGAGTAAGATGAGAATTCAATATTATACTGATATTGATTAATTCCATTTGTTTATTTCTTTCATAGTCTTGTGACGTTTTCATGGGAAAAATTTTCTCACCAATTTCATGTAAACTTCAGACTTGACTGTTCAGAGGTCCAACGAATGTTGGAACCTTGTATTGTTTCTCAGATATCAACTTGAATTCATCTTCGATTCTCAATCTTACGGTTTTGAGTACCAATCTTGAAACGAACTCAAAACATCCATTTTAGATTATTTGGAATCGTTGAGATGCAAAAGGAAATTTCGCAAAAAAAGAATTTCGATGATTCGATTTCAATAAATGTTGCATTTTGATTGAAGGTTTAGCTGGACAGAAATGCTTGACTCGAGACTCGACTGTTCAAGATTCAGAGCAATATTTTCAGTGAATATTGAAAATTGAAAAATTTGTTCAAGATTGATCTCAGAATGATTTTTCTGTTTTTTTTGCCGATCAGTTCAGGTTCATGATTGTTAAAACAAACAATTTCAAATGAATCTTGATTTTGCAAAGTTCATCTATTGATCAACATTTAATGGCATGAAATGAATGGCTTGGTTGATGATTAAATGTTTGGTAAATGTTGAAGAGACCAACAATTGATAATTGAAAAGTTTTCATTTTTTCTTGTGAAAACAGATTTTCGCCATTCAACATAATTATGAAGGTAAATTTTTCTTCCTCCAATGATAGGCTTTTCAATGTAAATGTAAATGATGAATAACGTTTCTTTTTCTTTCCATGTTAGGTTTGCATGCTATTCCTGGTATCTATTATTCATGAATAATCAATACTTTCTTGTACCATAAACCTTGGATTCTGTGGAGTAAAAACTACATTTTTTTGCATTTCCAGCTTAAACTACAACAAAATGTACACTTAACCTGATTTAACCTGATCCAACCTAATCTAACCTATTCATTAATAAACTTGTCCACACTGAGAAATGAACATTTTCTTCCGTTCATCAGAACATGTTTGTTTGCATATTTGATTAACAAGCCAAAGTTGGATGAAAGGAGAGTTGATTAACCAGTAAAGTGAATTAAAAGTGATTGCCGTTTTTATAGCCTCAATGGAATGGGATCAATCATGTTGAAATGCAATTGGCATGAATCCAAGTGAACTGAGAAACATTACCAAAAGTGTCTTTTGCACAAATTTTGTCTTCCATTGTAAGGCTTTTCATTGCTATTAAATCTGCACGCGACAATTTTGTCACCATCAAAGGCATTCTCAATTGAAGCCAGTTATAAGGTTTTCAAGTGTCTTGGGATTGACTGAATGGCTGAAATTGATTTCAAAGTAAATCAAAAATCCAGAGAGATTTGAAAATGGAAAAGGCGATGAAACTGATTAAAGCGATCATGATTACGAGTAAAATGGAAAATGAAAATTTTCTTTGATTTAACATTTTCTTTTTTCTCTGTTGAGCTAAAAATCAATGAAAACTGAAACCCAAAGATTTGCTGATAAAAATTCTGGTTCAAAGATGAGTTTATCATTGAATTTTCTTCTCCTCATTTCCAGTTGCAATGATGAACAATGTTCACATTTTGGTGTTTGATTTTTAATTTCAAGATCATCTTTATCCGTTTCATCATTGACATTACCTTTTCAATGGAGAAAAAATTCTTTTCCTTTTTTTCCTGTTTACTTTCAAAGATCAGGATAAAGTTCATTCCGAGAATATGAAAAAAGAGAAAAAAAAGTTCTTTTCAGAATCTCATCGACTTCCTTCCTGTTTACATTTGTCCTCAGTCACTTGGAAACCAAATTATCGTTTCTTGCGTCAAACTTGTTCAAACATTGAAAAGAATCGAGGAAAAATGTTGAACTTTTATCAGATGAATTTATTCAATGAATTCTCATGGAATGAGCAACCAGAGAGAAAAAAGAAGAAAAATGAATGAAAAATGAAACAAAAAAGAAACTGTTGCAAGATTAATTGAGATTAATTGGTAAAAATTATCAACAATGGAAACTATTAGAAGCACTTGAGTTTCATGGAGCAAAAGAGCTCACAGAATCCAGGGAAAAGGGTGAAATATTAGTCAAGAAGAGAAGATAATTTCCATCCAAAATTGTCACCTAACCATGGTAAAGGCGAGAAAAGAAGAGAAAAAAATGAACATTTTTTGTTCATTATTATGTTCTTCATTTCCTTTTCCTGTTCATTTGGTTCACTTGAACACAAAAAAAATGGTTAATGTAGTTGATAGTTGATTCAAGTCAACAGATGATGACGATAAAAACATGATAAACTCGTCTAATTGAAAGAACAACAAAAGTTGAAAAAAAGAGAAGACTTTTATCGATTATTTGATTCTGGTTCAGAATGATTATTGACTTAGACCAGCATTTTTCAACTATTTTTGTATATTTTTTGTTGTCGTTGATACAAAGACAAACATTTACTTGATAAAGTAAACTGTAAGCTATTTTGTTAGCTAATAATATATGATGTAAAAAAACGTGTCACCATATAATCAGCTAATAAAATAAACACACTCAAGGCTTCAAGTAAACAGCCTATCATCATCATCAACCTCATCTTCATTTTCTTGTTCATCTTTTCTTCCTTCACCCAAGTGTTTCAAGTGTTCAATGTAATAATGTTATATTTACATATTTTTTTTCTCTCTCCGAGTTAACATGAAACTTGAAACAAATTGTTACAGTAATTTAATCATCATGTAATAACATTATTTACCAATGGACACACTTGCACTGTTTATTGCAAGTTTGTTACAATTTCAACTATTTATTATCGAGCTTTATCTCATTTGTCAAAACGCAATTTTCATTTCAAAAATTCACCATTTTAAATTAGTTTTACCAACTATAAATTGATATTGAACAAATAAAAGGTTTTCGTGTTTTCACCTTTTCAAATTAAATTAATTTCCAAGTGTAAAATGCATCTGCTTTTGGCTCAAATGAAAATGGCCTCAAGTTGCTTTCAATAAGAAAATTTGTTCGCCAGAAAATTTCTCATAATTTCATGCCTTCTTTAATGAACTTTCAAGGATGAGAAATTTTATTCAATTTCAATTTTCTCATTGACTGTCCAATATCAAGTTGACAAACTCGATTTAAGGTGAGAAATGAGAAATTTCGAGTGCAATTAGCTGATTAGAAAATAGAAAATGTTTAGTTGCTAGAGTCTTGATTTTGTCGCTAAAGTTGCACTTATTTTCCAATGCGTTCAGACTTTAGAACAAGGTTTGTTCGATGTCAGTCGAAATAATTTTTTCGTCGAATTCCAAGATACAACTTTCCATTAATTATGAGTAAATCATTGGGATTCTGAGATAAATATTTCAAGCCTTTTCCTCAAAATACAAACTGGCAAAATTAACAAAGAAAAGCGATTTCGAATTTGCAACATTTTTCTCTTTTCCTTTTTCATGATTCAAAACATGACGAGATTCGGTTTTTGATGTTGATTTGATGCAAACTGAGAATAAGAAAGTCTGTGAAATGGATTTCGAGATTGATAAATTAA